CCCTCTCAGCTCTTTTTAAAAGGCACTCACGCTGCCAGCTGTGAGCACCCGAGCCGAGAGGGAACAAGAGCTCGCTGCTCCGCCTCCTCGTCACCGCCCCCAGCTCACAGCTCGGCCGCCCAGGTCGAACGCGAGGTGTAGTAAAGCGGCCTCGCTGCGTAACAGGGGGCGGGGCCCGGGCGGCGGAGCTCGGGACTTGCTCCTTACCCTCGTGCCTCTCATTGCGGGCACCGTCGTCCTCCTCCTCCCGCTGTCAATTGCATCCCTCAGAGCTCGGGCTTTGTGCTCCGTCCCCCACCAATTCGCGGCTCTCTCCCCGTTACTATCCAGCTTGACTCCCCGCAACTTTTCTGTATAAGTCAGGGGTCCTTCCAACAAAATCAAACCACCTTGGGTGCCACAATGTTTCATGTTTATTTTACCATCTTGGCTGTAAATATGTCTCAGTATGTGCTAATATGTTCGTATAGACTGAAACTTTTCTATAAATGAAAATGCAGACTTACTTTGCTCTGCTTTAAGCTTTGGCTCAGCTATAGCCGCTTTTCTCGCATCTCCAGCAGGAAACTTTTCCAGAAAGTAGAATAGTTTCTTGTAAAATGTCTCTTAACATTCAATTTTTTAGTATGTGACAGTTTCTCAATGCAGATTAAACATGTCAGCAAACCAGCTGGAGAGATTCCAGTCCAAGTCTATTCATCTCCAACTTATGCACGTTTGTCTTAAATCTTTCTCTTTGCTTTTTTTGTTAGCTACTAGCTGGGTAAGATTCTTGTCTGCGTTGCAGTGTGACCAGCAGCCTGCATGCCAGTCACCAGGGTTAAAAGGTGAATTAGCAGTTATACATTAAGACCATTTATTATTAAAAGCCGCAACAGAGCAATAAAAGAGCTACATGCGGCTCTGGTGCCGTATGTTGCCGAACCCTGGTATTGGTAGTGTTCAATTTTTTCACTTAGAAAATCTAGGAAAAATCTTCACAAATTTTTCAAATGCCTGTATGTAGAAATTTAGAAAAATTTGTGAAACTGCCTTTTAAAGGAATAATAGAAACATCACATTTACAGTTTTCCCCTTATAACATGCTGTATTATGTATAAAAATGGATAAAAGTATGTTGCATAGCTAAAAACAATAGTAGCCAACTTGAAGCCTCAATTTTGTCCCTACTTGTATCTACTTTTTTAGATAACAGTACATGACACTGCATTAGGAACCATATAAACATGTCTACTTGAAATTACCCAACAACTCAGCACAGATCCTGAGTGTTGAGTGTGATGTATGATGATTTAGGCATGCAGTTGTCAGTTTTAAGTTTTAAAATATATAGCAGAAATTCCAAATATCTGACAGCTCTTTAGCAATTCACTTGTTCTGGATGATGCAAAATAAACAGAATACTGCAAATGGGCAGATATACATTCTCATATAAGGTAACTAAAAGGTTTGAAAGAAGTTTTTCTGAGAAGCTAACACTTCAAAGGTAGATGCTTTTAGCGTAGACAGACAATAATTATGCAGCACTCAAACAGCTATAAGGAGTGGAGTTAGCTGTTAGGCTAAAGACTGGTGTACACTGCCAGAGACTTTTTAGCCACATCTTATTGTGCAATGCAACAACCATCCTGAAACCTCCCAAAATTTTCTTGCATGGTGGACATGTCCCACTCCCCCGCGCTTTCCGCCCCTCCCCCCAATTTTGCATCTCAGTACACACTGATGTTAACTGTGATGCTGCAGTGCAAATCAGGTGAAATTTTCCTGACTCAGCTCGTTAAAGATTCAACAGTACAAACTTCAACAGCACAGTTTAGAAAGTTCACAGTAAAGGTCAGCAGGTTACCTGTCATATGGCAGTGCGGAACAGATGACGCTGACTCAGCGGCAGTGAAGGTCACACTCATCAACAGCTTGGCTAAAAACTTCAGAACATCCTTCATCCTTGAACACACTGGTCATATGACATGTTGATTTGCCAAGTGAAAATAAGTTTACACATCCTCCACAGGGAAATTATATAATATAGCACTTTTCTGCTAATTCTATTGCACAATTTGTATTTATTTGCTGAGTTTAACATAGTGGAAAACAATATAATGTTTTTGCATAGGCTACATTTAATGTTTTTTTTTTTTTTCACTATGCTAAATTCAGCAAATAAACAGTAATTGTGCATGCGCAGAAGTGTGTTCTCTGTAGAGGATGTGTTCACTTATTTTCAGTTAGAAATCCAACAAAACATGTCATTTGACAAGGGGCACCCAAATTTCTGCATACGACTGTACCTACAAAATAACCCCCACTGGCTTCTTATAAATGAAACCAATTCATATTAAACACATCTTTTGAGTCTGTTTGGACATAGTTTTGCATGAGAAGGTAAGGTAATGTCATTTTTACCAACTTTGCTCAGTGATTTCAGAAGAATAATACCCTCGGAAAAGACTGCAATAAGAATTGGTGTCAATGGCTCATTAATGTAATTGAGAGTCGTTATCATCCCGACTTCACTAAGACTTCATAAAAACACTATAAGCAAATTATTTTTCCATGGGTTAAAAGCTCCTACAGTACATTGGTGCCATCTTCTGTCCCACAGTGGTAGCACACCTTGACTTTGGTAAGTAGAGCAGTGTTTCTAAGCTGAAGCAACTTTGTGAGCTTTACTTTTAAAATTCCATATTAATACATACCACTTTGTAAAGCATTACATAAATACAGAGGTGGTGAATTAAAACAGTGAAGTCAACATTTTTATTGTAAATGTTCTGTTGTGTTATAACAAATCTGTACTTTAACATTCTGATGTGAATATGTTGAATTAAAATGCTTCTCAGCTAAGCTCATCTGCAGTGTTATAGCATCTAGCTATGTTAGTTTGCTAATGTATGCAGTTATTTTTTAATGGTTTATACATTTAACACTTTTTTAATTTATCTCAGCAGTAGGTGTGTTTTTACCAGTAAAAACAAATATACAAAACTGGAAAATGGAAAGTAACCAGTCTAAGCTCTCTGAAAGCAGGTCCATTGTACACTGTTTTTGAGCAGGTTTTTATATGTTTATGGACTTAATAAGAAAAAAACATTTCTCTGTGATGTCTGAAGATTTAAATGAACCCTGCCAATCAATAATCACTGTAGCCAGTTTTGTTCTTTATGATGATTTTCATTGTTGAAGTTATTGATGGAAAAAGTCTAATTAACTATGTCAAGTGTTATCAATCCATTCCTTGGGGACCACCAGCCAATCCAAATTTTTACTGTAATCCCACTTCAGAAAGAGCTTAGTCAGTTAGTGAAGAGTTGTATTACCTGACATGCTGATTGCCTGACATAGAATGTAAAAACTTTTTCCCTCCCTCAAACATTTAAATGAATAATCTGGTCATAATTCAATGCTATCAAGATTCTAATGTAAATGTGACTGAAACACAGAAAAAGCACAGCTCTTTAGCTGATGTCACACTGAAACCAGTGAAACCTTTGTAATAATTACTGGAAATGTATGCGTTTTGTTTGTGTGTACTTTTTACACGATTATCAGTCAAAAAACATCAAGAATGGCTAATAGGTTTATTTCATCTTCCCCCTTTCCTGTTGTCCATTGCGTAATTTTTAGTCTCTATGGTTCTCTATATACAGTTACAGTACTGTGCAAAAGTCAGAGATCACTCTTCAATTATTAATTATTCAGAAGCCTCAACAACTAAGCATAATAACTTTTTCAGTATTTGGTGTGTGCACTATTTGCCTTCATTATAACTTCCATATTTTTGGAAGACTTGCTTAAAGATTTTTAAAGAAATCTGCAGGAAAACCTTTACACACCTACAGAGTTCAGTCCTAGAAGTTGGTTGCATTTCTGCTTCTCACATTGCAAGTAATCCCAAACACATTCACTGATTTTGAGGTCTGGACTCTGGGGTGGTCAGTCCATTGTTCTGAGAACATCAGCAGCTTCTTGGTTTTGTCCTTTTCTCAGTAACTGCTTCTTCAGAGTTACACATCTTTTCATAGCATTGAGTTGTCTTTGCACAGTGGATGGATGGACAGAAACACCTGTGGATTTTGAAACAAAAGTGGAGCTTGATATTCTTCTGTCTCTCAAAGACAAAAGCTATAAGGACTGTTTATTTAATGGGGACAGTTGTGAAGGTCTGCTTGGGGCTGCATGGTTGTTAGGAGTCCCATTATTTCTACATTTTTAACCCCTTAAAATCCCAGGATTAATACATACTCAGGCTTATTATTCAGCTTCAATGCAAACTGGTTGAGCTATTCTTAGGTTATAAAAGTGTATAATAAAACTTTGGGCCTACAGGTGGGCCCCAGCCATTTAAAGGGTAAAATCGTATTTGGTAACACTTTACTTTAATAAGCATTTATATAGATTTATGTAGGGTTATGTCAGTTGTCATGACAAGCTTATGTAGGTGTCATGTAGCCTTATGAATAGCACCCTTCAGTAAAGTGTTACCTAACCTTTTTTGACCTCCAGTTTTAGAAACTCTGTTTGGAAAACTGTTTTTTTTTATTATTTTATTTGTTTTTAAACATATTTTCTTTTGACTTTTTTCCTTTGTTTATGCATTATCTTATTTAATCTCATCAGAAATATCTCCTGAAAAATGACTTGTACTTATGGCAGTTTGCACTGAAATTTCAATAAATGGGTGGCCTCTGACTTTTGCACTGTACTGTAGTTTATTGTATAATGTTTGTATAGTTTATTTTCTGTATTTATTGTATTTTTTATCTGTTTTCTTGCTGCTGCTGTGTTAAAGATAGAACTGTGCTCTGGAGGAACTATACATTCCTCACTAAACACTCACGGTGAGGAAAAATGACAGTAACCTTTGACTTTGAGAGGGATGTGTTACAGTTGCGTGTGCAACGTAGATCTAGATGTAAATCTATGAAATGTGACACCGGGGAGGAGAGAGCTAAAGTATTTCTTTGCCAAAGAAAAGCTCAGGTGAAACTGAAAGTGTTGCTCCAGCGTTCGACATCACTTTCTGGCTCGAGATCAACAATATTATTTTTTGGGATCCATGATGACAAAGTGACTGATTACCAAGAGATTTATTTCACCCATAAGGATGTTACATTCAGTTTGTGAATCTTTTTCTTCCATCTCGTTTGTAGGGGTAAGAGCTTTATATGAATATTTAAGTACATCTTATAAAGTAGAAAGAAAGAGATCTCTCTAAATCAACAGCTGCTTTAGTCCATATTAACCTGACCCTCATTAGATTTTCCTTCTTCAGTAAAATTTCAAACCATAAAACAGTTCAAAGTATTTGTACCTTGTTTATCCTGATGGGAGTCCCCTGTTGTGAAGATTTAAGCGTTTTATGGGTTTCACTGCTTTTGTACAGAGTATTTCCTCCTACTGCTAATTCATAAATGTGTGGATACATTTATGTGTTCTTTTCTTCTCGCTAGAACTTATCATTGCTGTTGTTGTGAATACTATTCAGCTTGACTTTTATGCAGAGCTGTTGATGTTTTAGGCACGTCACAGGTGTTGGTAAACCAGAAAAGCAGGATGAACCTCTCTGAGGAGAGTGAGGAAGACAGTTTGACCTCTTTAAAGCATTTATGGTAAGAGCATTTGTCTCTTAGCAACACATATCTAATGCTATAATAGGTCTTTGCCAGTGTCAATGGAATAAGGTTTGAAACCACATTCCTTTGTTGTCATTTATTTCTGTCATGACAGATGCCATAATGTTCGATGTCCCGACTGCTTATGTCACATGCAAATGCTGTATGCTATGCATACTCTAGTTATGCATACTTGCTATGCATACTCTAGTTAGCCATCATGATAGTAAACATTATGGCACGACAGGTTACAAACACAATTCCAAAAAAGGTGGGACAGTATGTGAAATGCAAATAAAAACAGAAAGCAGTAATAAGTAAATCCAGTTTGACCCATATTTAGACAAAATCATACAAAAACAAGACATTTCATGTTTTTTTTATTAATGTAAATATACATTAATTCTGAAATTGGGACAGGAGCAATTAGATTATCAGCTTTGCTAAATATTCAGAAAATATTTTAAGAAGGGTATTGTAATCATGCTTGGGCTTAAGAGGAGCATCCAAGAAAGGCCAAGTCAAGGGTGGGTCGAGGCTCACTACAAATGCATTAGCAAACAGTCTAACTGTTTAAAAACATTCCTCAATAAGTGTTTGCAAGGATTTAAGGTGTCTTACCTTCTACTGTACATAATATCATCAAAAGATTCAAGGAATCCAGAAAAATCTCTGTGTGTAAAGGGGAAGGCCAAAAGCTACAATTAAATTCCAATGACCTGTTATCTCTTAGATGGCAGTGCATTAACAAGCAGCACTTTTCTGTGAATATCACCACATGGGCTTGAAAATATTTAGACAAAGCATTCTCAATAAACATCGTTTTTTGCCACATCCACAAATGCAAGTATAGTATGCACATATATCAACGACATCCAGAAACTCCGCCGACTTCTCTGGGCTTGAGCTTTTCTGAAACGGACTGACATCCTTTCAGGTTGTTCATGGAAAAATGGATGTTGTGTTCTGAGGGCCAAAGAAGTATAGAATCATCCAGATGGGTACCAGTTTAAAGTTCAAATGCCAGGATCTGTAACAGTATGGAGGAGTATTAGTGAATAACTTGCACATCTGTGAAAGCAGCATTAATGCTGAAAGATATATACACATTTTACAGCATACACAGAACATTAAGAACATATGCTGTTATACCTTTTATACACCTTATATACCTTTTGGACATTCTGCATATTTATGAGTTTACTCATATCTACAAACACAATATTTTCTAACATGGGATACATTGTTCCTCAAATGATTCCTAAACTGAGCAACATGGTCAAAAGCAAGGATTTGTATAAACCTGATTTTAAGCACATAGATTGGATTTAATGTCCATAGAATTTGTGTGCCCATGAATGTGTCTGTAATTGTGAATGAAGTGAGAGCATTGCATATCATTTGTAATTTAATTGTTTGGAATAATAACTAAATGTGCATAGGTGTTTGCTGGTATTAGCTGCTTTTTCTGTTGTATTCCAGTCCAATTCAGCAGGAGAGATCAGACTCTCCGATACCCAGTTGTATGTCCATGAAGAGTGACAGGTCTATCCATCCTCCACCAGAGTTCAAAGATAGAGACTCCTCATCTGGACACAGGTAACGGCTTCTCACAGTTTAGCTTGGTACTGACCTGCCTCTCCTCTCGATGCAGTCCACTGGCTGCCTTGCTAGAGGACATGATGTTGACTGAGGATGGTGTGCAAGGGGTCATCACACTACTGAGAGAGAAATAAATGTCAATTTGTTGAAAATATAGCACAAACATTAAAGAAAATATGAATTAAATTGTTAACATTATCTACTGATAGTGACAAATCTTTGAAAGATTCATTAATAAAATAAGCCATGAGAGGCCATATGCAACAGTGTAACAACAACAAAATACAATATGATAAAATATACTAATGTCATTATTGTGAATAATAATCACATTAAATAATCCTTCTGGTAAAAAATGTAGTTTGTTAATGGCTATGGATCCCAAACAACATAATGGTTAATGATTATTCCATTAACGATACAATGTACAAAGTACATAATTACATGTATAGTAACTAAACATGCATAGCTGTTGGCAGGTATTAGCTGTTTTTTTCTGTTGTATTCCAGTGCAATCCAGCAGGAGAGATCAGACTCTCCAATATTCAGCTGTGCATCCATGAAGAGCGACAGGTCTATCCATCCTCCACCAGAGTTCAAAGATAGTGACCCCTCATCTGGACATAGGTAATGGCTCCTCACACTTTAGCCGTCAGATTTACCACTACTCAGCTTTATCATGTATCATGTGGGATAGACTACATGTTCAAAATTTTGTAGGCACTTCCTTGTCTGTTTCTCCTAAAATCAAGGGTATTAACATGGAGTTTGTCATCTTTAGCTGCAGTAATATCCTCTAATCCAGTGGTTCTTAAACTGGTCCTCAGAGACCCCCAATGATCCGCATTTTTGCTCCAATGCATAGGAATAAAGCAAAAATGTGAATCATCTGGGGGTCCCTAAGCACTGGTTTGAGAATCACTACTTTAACCCTCTAGGAAGACTTTGTGCTAGATATTGGACCATTACTGTGAGGATCTGATTGCATTCATTAGTGATGTCAGGTACTGACGTTTAATGGTTGGAAATGGGCCTAGAAATAGATTCTGAATGGCAAGAATGAGTTGTTTTTGAGGTTGAAGCAGGCACTGAAATATGTTACATATTTGAAATATATTGATACATTTATGTTACATACATTTAATCAGTTTTGAAAACTTCAGCTGCAAGTTATTTGTTCCCTGTAGCTTGATGTGTTTTAGCGTCTTTTTCCGATTGTGCAAGCATTTTGTAAATTGAGTTACCCCATGACATTTCACAATCCAAAACTATTCAAGTGGTGTAGTGTAGTGGGTAACACCTCTGCCTTGTATGCTGTAGACTGGGATTCAATCCCTGCCTGTGTAAGCACCCTACACTAAACCAATACGAGTCCTTGGGCAAGACTCCTAACACTACCTTCGCCTATCTGTGTAAAATTAAATTATAAATTGCTCTGGATAAGTGTGTCTGCCAAAGTGCCATACATGTAAATGAACCCTACATTTCCTCAGACTTCTCACATTGTTTCACAGCAGTGAACTATCAGTATAATGTACAGTATAATTCCCCCCTTTGTGTACATGTCAAACCTAACAGGTCCTCTCAGAATTCCTTTCTTAAAAAATCTTGCATATCCCAGAAGCTGGGCAGCATCACTGATATCTGTTGATTCATCTTTTGATAAAGAGAGGCATGGTGAGCTCTGAATGGCTTTCACAACCAGCTGAGCCTGTCCTAGTGTCTAGTGCCTCAGTTCTTTAGCTGTTTCCTCAATTCTTCATGTTAATGTGGTAATATGACCATGGGACCTAGATTTTGTAGACAGACGGACACTTGTGGACTGAAGATTTTAGATTTATTTTACATGCAAACATAAACAAAATCACAAAGGAAACCAAAAGCTCAAAGCTGGCCACCTCTCTGTGGTACCGACACAAACACTTTCAGTCTCTTTTTCTTACATGCAAGTCTTTCATCTCACCAGTCCTTTTTGCTGCTGCTCATCCCTGCTCCACCATCTTTTCTTTCTTTCTTTCTTTCTTTCTTTCTTTCTTTCTTCTCTCTCTCTCTCTCTCTCTCTCCTTTTAAAGGCGCCCATGCTGCCCAAAGCCAAATCAGCATCAGCTGGCTTTTATTAAGGGCAGCGCCAACACCTGAGCTGAGCGGTAACGACAGCCCACTGGCCCCGCCCCCCGCTCCGCAGCTTAGCTGCTGGGATCACACATAAGGTCCATTAGAGTTGCCTCGGTGCGGGAATTTAGGTGGTGCCCACAAGGCAGAGCTAAGGCAGAGCTGCTGTCCCCTCAGCCTTCGCGGTTATCATCCCTCCCCCCGCAGTCCTCATGGGCTGTCGTCTGCACTCAGGGTTCGGCCCAGCCTTCCTGCTGGCTGTCATGGCCATCATCAGGGCCTGGGGGATGAGCACCTGGCACTATCAGTATTACTTTCCAATACTAAAATTTCCTTATGATTATGCTTTGTGGCACTTCACCTTATCACTTTTAGCTTGCACCGTGGTCTCTGTACAGATGAGACTAGTTTGGAACTGATGCAAAAAGAATAAATGCATAATTCTTGGCCCACCAGTGTTTAAAAGCCCTGTTTTTATCATCAGTTTTAAATTTAAAATATATGAAAAAGTGTTTTTCAGGCATAGTGTTGCTAAATAATCTTTGTGTCTGACATAATGTGTCCAGAATGGCAGCTTCTGCTAAATAATTTGCATAAATGCATCTCATTGGAAAAAGACACAAAAGAGCCTCTGCTATTTAAGCCATGCTGGCTCGTGTTTAGAAAACTGCAGTAGCTCAACTAAGGCCAGGTCATTTTAGATCTGTCCTCTGGCTTTGCTACAGATTTTTTACAAAGCTTTGTTTAGTCTGCTTAAATCCTTTGCTGAGTCCACATCTGGATTATGCTCTACTAGTTGATGACCTTACCGAGAGGGTATGGTGGGTTAACCAGCAATTGGCAAACACCTTTCCAGATATGTCATCTTATTGTCTTATTTTCCTTATGCTTTTAAGGTTTGATTCAACAAAAATCTCCCACCCAAAGTTTGCTTAAAACCATTCACCAGAAGCTGAAACTTTGTATTTTTTCTCAGAGAGCATTTTCAAATGAGTCCAGTTTGTTGGGAAAACCTTGAATCTCTAAACCCTGATAGTGAGTATGCAAGCTGTACCAAGCACAACACAGTAGTGATGGCCGTTACAAAGCTTTCCAAAGCATCAGCACAGTTGAACCAATTGGATTGGAAAATGGCTCAGAGTTTTGAAGCATTTCACACCTGGTTCGTTATCACGTGACTCCAGCGTCTGAAGCGTGGCACAGAATCATTGTATCGACTCAATTCTTAGCACAACGTGTTGACACTGCTCCGTTGCTCCGACACTGTATCGAGCGTAACATCTCTACAACACACCATTAGCAATGAATAGCAAAACCACACAGTTCTACATAAACAACTCTTCTGTGTACTCTCAGAAATAAAGATATGAAACTGTCACCCCTCTTGTCACTGGGTACATCTCAGTATCTTTAGTCAGGGAACATAATTGTGCCAGTGAAATTATATTTTCTAAGTTGCATTGACTCCACACACCCCATCTTGTCTCCAGGCTTTTTATTTCATTGCTCTGTTTTAAAACATTAGGTTATGATAAGGTACAAATATGTACGTTTCACCTGGGAAAAACCTATTTACGGTGCACAATTGGACCTTAAAACCACTGTTGTACCTTTGAGGGAACATTTACATTGTTTGTACCTTGATGAATGAAAAATGTACCTGCACAGAGCCTTTATTTCTAACAGTGTAGGTGCAAGCATGCTCTGCTGATCATGACTCGTTTGACACCTAGAGATAAAAATAGTTGCATTATATTGTAGTTCTTTCCAGCAGAAAACACTCAGCACTCTTACAATGTGTCCAGTTTTTTGTAATTGTTAAAGAAATGAGATAACAATGTGAGTGCTTATTTAATTATTTTGCATAAATAACAAAACATAAATGGCTGATGTAATCTTCTTGCTATATTTCAGTCAAATCCAGCAGGAGAGATCAGACTGTCCAGGACCCAGCTGTGTGTCCATGAAGAGTGACCGGTCTATTCATCCTCCACCAGAGTTCAAAGACAGAGACCCCTCGTCTGAACACAGGTAATGGTGCTTCACAGTGCAGCTATCAGACTCACCAGTACTCTGCTCTGTCATGTATTCCGTGCAAGAACTTAAATTGCATAGACATTCTATGCTGTCTTCCAATTATTAAAACTATTTCAAAACATTATATTTATGTGATCAAGTATTAGATCCAAAAGAATTGTGTTGAATGAAGCTGCATAAAAAAGGATGCTTAAGAAAAAAACATTCTAAGTATTTTATATTATAAGCAACACTGTGAACGTTTTTGAACTCTATAAAGTCCACTATGTATCCTAGATATGATCTGACCAACAAATACAGTAAATCAGTTAGTTTTCCCTCACAGTCTTATGCAAAACTTTGAACATTCCCTGTTCAGATGACATGCATTGTTGATTTTCTATGTGAAAATAAGTTAACTTATTCTCTACAGGGAACAAACTTTAGTGCACAATTTTTATTTATTTGCAGACTTTAAATTATTTTCCAGTAGGTTAAAATCAGCAAATAAACAGTAATTGTGCAATAAAATGTGCAAAAGTATGTTCACTGTAGAGGATATGTTGACTTATTTTTACTTAAAAAATCAATAAAAATAATTTGACCAGGGTACCCAAACTTTTGCATGTGAAAGTACATGTTACAAACTAAAACATTTAATTCATTCTTTTGTATATAAATAGCTCAAGAGATAAAGCAGTTTTATTATCTGTTATTACCAAAATCCATCCAAGTTTACTAAATGCTGCAAATACAATCTTTTCACTTACTGAAGATCAAATGGGCTACTTTATTCTTTAAATGATTCCTAAACTCAAGAACATGGTCTGAAAATTACAAATATGTAGAAAATAATATGAACTAATGTAAAAAAACAAACAAACAAACAAACAAAAAACAATGTAAGTCTTTTCAGGCCCAAGGTAAGTTTAGTGGTCAGTTTGGTATAAGCCATTTTTAGTAATTTCCGGCAGAAAAGATCAGTCGCGATTCAAACTTTGTGTCTATGAAGGTTGTTGTAGTAGTTAACTGTTTGTAATAAGTTTGAGATGTAAATGTATGTTTCAATGCATGTCACAAAATATAAATGTTTGATCTAATATTTGTATTGTATTCCAGTTTAATCCAGCAAGAGAGATCAGACTCTCCAGAACCCAGCTGTGTGTCCTTGAAGAGTGACAGGTCTATTCATCCTCCACCAGAGTTTAAAGATGGAGACCCCTCATCTAGATACAGGTAATGGCTCTTCACAGCTCAGTCATCAGACTCACCAGCTCTCAGCTCTATCATGTATTCTGTGCAGGGATTTATACTGTATAGCAGCCTACTGCTGACCTCTAATCAAGAAATTTATTGTAAATCATTTTTTTTGTTGTTTAGCTTTGTTTTAAGTCAGATTCTATTCTGAGATACATACTAAACTATATAGATCACTGATGTTATCACATCATTGCATATAACATTAACATTATTTAAAGTATGATGTTATGCTACACACATTTGCAAGATGATACAAATGCTTTAATGAATTATGTGACAGGTATAGATTTTTAATTCTCTGATATAAAACAGAACTGATAGAATTGGCATACAAATGATGGTGATAGTAATTCGGGTTGTGATGCCCACATAGCAAATATATCCATTTTATTTTTTATGCAAAATGACCACTAAACTTGTGTCTTCTGAGAGTTTATATACAGTGTTGATAATAATGAAACAAATATAAAAATGATCTGAAAAATGTTTTGTTTGTCTAACATAAAAAAATGTCTTAATCGTTTGGCAACATATTTATACTTATTTAATGCTTTACTGGCATTAAATAAGTACAAATGGCAACATATTTTACTTGTTTAATGCTTTTGGAGGCATTAAACCCTGATTCCTTTAAACATTGCTGTAAACAATTCTGACATGAGCGGTTCAGAGCTCTGTAACCCCAGATTCGACCAGCAAAAGCATTATAGATCCTTTTTTATTTCAGCCGTCTCTAAATGGAGTTATGGAACTGAAGTTTGAAGAAAGATCACACCTGAAACATCTTCTTCTCACATCTTACACCCTATAAATACTCTTTCTTCACTCTTCCTTCTCATGATGAAATTTCGCAGCCCACCACCTCCCCTTCTCCTCCTCTTTCTCCACTCCCGCACATCTCCAGTGGGGGTCGGCGTTGTAGCAACCTGCAGAGGCCACACAGAACTCCAGCTAAAGTTCCTCAGAGTTCCCCTTCTCTCTTCTTATCATTTCCCTCTACTCAAAGCATGGTCTGCATTTGCAAATATTTTTTTTTTCCTCAGGTGCTTTCGAAACTCTTCTAAAGAGTCAAATAAGTAAGGTTTATAATTGAGGCTTATAAGGTTTCTTTGTGGTTAAGGTTAGAGCACATGGTGCGTATAAAAATTCACAGAAATCACTGTTTTAAAATTTGTGAGATCAGATAAAATTGAAGAGAGTTGTATTTGAACACTTGAGACTGATATAAAACATAGCAAACTGTAAATAGCTGATGTAGTATTTCTGTTGTTTTCCAGTCAAATACAGCAGGACAGATCAGACTCTCCAACACCCAGCCTTGTGTCTGTGAAGAGTGATGCATGTATTCATCCTGAGTTTAAAGATAGAGACCCCTCATCTGGACATGGGTAACTTCTTCTTATAGTCTATTAGAGTCACCAGTCCCCAACTATATCTTGTTACAGAGCAGGCTAGTCTAATGTTATCCTCAAACCGTGAAATTTAATTCAGATCAGACTCATCATCTCTAACTGTTACATTTTTAGAGCAGTCACATAAAGCTTCTTTAGCCATGCTACAAGGATTCATCTGACGATAAGCAACAACAAGCAATTACTGATGCAGACCAGCGTCAAACTACAATACAATTTCTACACTGAAGCTTCTTAAGAAGTTTTAATTTCTAAAATAACAAGCCCCAGATGGAAAAGAAATGTAAAATGTTTTTCTCAAATGTTTGATGTCCACATACTTTTGGTCATAGCGGAGTGCAATAGAAAACGAAAGCCAAAGCTTTAGGCATATGTTAGATAAACAAGTTCTTTATTTGGATGTAACACTTAATTTGGACGGTCCACTGTAAATGTTTTGTAGCTGCTCAGTTTACTTTTAACTAAAATTCAACTAAATATCTATTAAATGCAACTGAACTTTAAGTTGCGTGTAAAAGATTCTGTTAAATTTGTCCCTAACCCTAAACCTAACCCTAACCCTAACCTCAAGGCAAAACCTACACCTACTCCTAAACCTAACCCAGAAAGTTTGCTAAAAATATACGTTTCCGTAGATCGTCTATAGGGGACACAAATTCTTAATCTGGGTTTTAAAGCCCCTATCGCTTTCTCTCTCTCTCTCTCTCTCTCTCTCTCTCTATATATATATATATATATATAAGCCTGTCTCAGCTGACCAAAGTGTTCTGGAGCAGACATCGCTTCAAATGATGGACAAGATATATGGAGTTAGGTCATTAAAGGCTTTAGGTGCCATATGATGTCATTGTTTGCAAATTACATGTCCTTGAGGCTGTAAAGAAATGGAAAACAGTCTTAATAAATACCAAATTATATTCTATGTTTGAAAACCCCCTGGTTGCACCAACAAATTGGTAGTGGTCTGTTAAAAATGATCTAAACCAAGGTTGGGTGTATTTATCAAAATATCATGGTTGATTTTATTGAAAGCTGTGCAAATTCAGCAGTACTTCACTATCAGAGGAAACCAGTAAATCACTGAACGCTTTAGCCAGTGCTGACTCTGTATTATTCAGACAACCAAATATTCTTATATTATATTCTTATTCATTAATCAAATTCATTTGATTTGAGTGAAAGGTAAGGTTTGACTGGTCCAAGAAGCCCTCAAAAATCTTCACCAGCACCAAAGTTCAAAGGCATTAATATTTTTTCTGCCTTTTTTATTGCCCAGTTTTCACATCTATGCAGAACCACAGCCTGAAGTCCTGGTCTTTGTTTGTAGAGACATGTAATTACATTTGAAGATTTTAAGTTCCTTCACTCTTGCTCTGTCAAGTGTTGCATTTTCTGACTGACAGATCCTTTGTTGTTAATAATTGATCCACATAAGCAAAAGCTGTGCACTACTTCTACATGTTCACGATCAGTGGGAAAGTCAGTGGGCGTTCCAGTTGTCATAACCTTTGTACTTTGTAATCATGCGGTTTTAGCCATTTCAGTTGAACAAAGAACATTTCAACTGCACAAATCATATAAAATAATCATCTTCTAAATGAGAGATCTTATGTTCAATAAAATCCAAACCTAAGTCACTTGTCCCATCTGAAGACTCTAGTATTGATGTTTCAGGGGGATCTCCTTGGTTAACACTACAATGTTCCTTCACATTTGAAAGCATGACCTTGTCTCAGTTTGTTCTGCTAGTCTAAAAGGCTTTTGGTGGAGGAGCCAGATGTGTAGAAGAACTGGGACCAAACAAAACAACATATAAGGGCTCTCTCATCCTTGCGGTTAGTGGGAGTAGCATAGTTTTACATAGTTTTACATAGTTTAGTGTAGGTGTGTACATGGGTGTCGACTTGAATTAAACATTGGTAAGGAAAATTTGACCTTATGTCCTAAGCCCCCCCCATCACCCCCACCCCATATGAAGAGAAACTGCCCCTTGAACTCAGCGCACATTAGTTTAGGTTCAGCTTTGGCCTGATTTCTCCGGTCTACACAATGTTCACCTTTACTCTACAAACAGCACCATTTTAGCTTTACTTTCTGTCTCCCTATTTATTCATCCTTTTGGCTATAAAATGGACTTTCACTGGCTTTAAAGATTAGCAAAGAAACCTAATTATTGTGCTCAAATGTGAATTATAACTTCTGCCATTAACAGAGTAATTCAAAGTACATTACAGTCAACTTTGATTAGGTACTGTAATTTACTAATGAAGTGCTTATAAACTAACAGAAAAATCAATAGATAAAGTAGATAATGCAATCACTATGCATTACTGATTTCTCTTAATATTATGAGCAGATTGCATACTGGGAAAATGGAGAAGGTGAACATTTATGTAAATTATAGCATCATCATCAAGTAAAAATATGATAAAAATCAGTTTCACTATAGCAGCTGAACGAATCAATGTTCTGTGCAGTTTCATTACCATGACTTTTCTCAAGCTTTGCATTAAGATTGTTTAATTTTGAGGACGGCCAATGGCCCAATGCCCACTTATAGTTGCTGCCTAGGGGCATATTAACTACTATAACCCATGTGAATGGTGCAACTGGTAGGAAGTCACACATTTAGTAAAAATATTAACAAATTTTAAAAAATGTACTCAAAGCAAAAGAATAAAGTAGGATTTATTAAGGATGGTGTAAAATTATACATACGGTTTACTGTTTAAATAAACATGTTACTCATGTTGTATTGCCATTTGACAGGTCTGTTCCTGCATATGCTGAAAAAGAAACCCAAGAGGACTTCAAATTAACTCTGAAAAATAAGTTTCAGTGTTTAAGGGAGATAACAACAACCAAGGTAAACCCAACACTTCTCAGTGAGATCTACACTGAGCTCTACATCACAGAGGGAGACTGTGGAGAGGTCAATAATGAACATGAGGTCAGACAGATCGAGGCAGCATCCAGGAGAACTACAACAGAGGACACAGCAATCAAATGCAATGACATCTTTAAGCCTTTATCTGAACAAGACAAACCCATCAGAACTATGCTGACAAAGGGAGTCGCTGGCATTGGAAAAACAGTCTCTGTGCAGAAGTTCATTGTGGACTGGGCTGAAGATAAAGCAAATCAGGATGTCCAGTTCATATTTCCACTTCCTTTCAGAGAACTGAACCTGATGAAGGACCAAAAACTCAGTTTACTGGACCTTCTTCATAAATGTTTTAAGGAGACAAAAGAAATGGAAATATCCAGCTTGCACAAACCAGTGTTCATTTTTGATGGTTTGGATGAGTGTCGTTTACCTCTTGATTTTCAGAGCAGAGTGAATATCTGTGATGTTACTCAGCCATCGTCAGTGGACATGCTGCTGATAAACCTGATCAAGGGGAATCTGCTTCCCTCTGCTCTCATCTGGATAACCTCCCGACCTGCAGCAGCTGAGCAAATCCCCTCTGAGTGTGTGGATCGAGTGACAGAAGTACGAGGGTTTACTGACCCACAGAAGGAGGAGTACTTCAGGAAGAGGATCAGTGATCAGAGTCTGGCCAGTAAAGTCATCAAACATCTAAAGAAATCAAAAAGCCTCTGCATCATGTGCCACATTCCTGTGTTCTGCTGGATTTCAGCGACTGTTCTAGAGAGGATGCTGGGTGAAGCAGAGAGTGGAGAGATCCCCAAAACTCTGACTCAGATGTACACACACTTCCTCATCATTCAGACAAAAATCATAAGAGAAAAATACACAAAGAACCAGAAGACAGATGAAGACATGCTTCTCAAAATGGGACAACTGGCTTTTCAGCAGCTGAGGAAAGGACACCTGATCTTCTATGAGGAAGATCTGAGAGAGTGTAGCATCGATGTTGAAGAAGCATCAGTGTACTCAGGTGTGTGTACACAGATCTTCAGAGAGGAATCTGGGCTGCTCCAGAGTAAAGTGTACTGCTTTGTTCATCTGAGTGTTCAGGAACATCTTGCAGCTCTATATGTGCACCTGACCTTCATGAACCAGAAGAGAAATGTGCTTAAACAGAGTCTGTTCTCTAAACGTAACAGCCTGAAAACAAAAATCTCAGATGTTCACAGGAGTGCTGTGGATCAGGCCTTACAAAGTAAGAATGGACATCTGGATCTTTTCCTTCGCTTTCTACTGGGTTTCTCACTGGAGTCTAATGAGACTCTCTTACATGACTTAGTGACACAGAGAGGAAGTAGCTCCTACAGCAAAGAGGAAACAGTTCAGTACATAAAAAAGAAGATCAAAGAGAATTCATCTGCAGAGAAATCCATCAATCTGTTCCACTGTTTGAATGAATTGAATGACCATGGTCTAGTTGAGGAAGTTCAGCAGTACCTGAAGTCTGGAGATTTGCAAACAGGCAACCTCTCTTCTTCGCAGTGGTCGGCTGTGGTCTTTGTGTTACTGACATCATCACAGAAGATTGACGTATTTGATCTGCATAAATACACCAAATCGTACAGTGGTTCGGAAGACGTTTTTTTGAAGCTACTACCTGTGGTTGCAGCATCCAGAACAGTGCAGTAAGTACTGCTGAACACAACTGTTACACTGACACAACATCAGAATCACACAGGAAATTGGAGTCAATTATTGTATTCAAGAAAGTTTCAGGATTCAGTTTCTAATTAATTTTAATACCACATTAATGTAAATACACAGAATCCATTTGCATAATTAAGGACTTTCGTATTTTGCCTATTTTATTAATTTTTGTTGCTTTATACACTCTATGTTCAAATGTGTCCAGACCCTCTTTCTAGTTAGCTTCTCAGCTTCTCTAAGGTGCATCCATTGCTGACACAGACCTTGAAACACACATGCACAGTTTATTATATCCATAAAAAGGCATTGACAATAGAATGGGAGGCTCTAGAACAGGGTATGCATACCATAGTTCCCAAACTGAGTAAATGAAGTATCTTTTATTAACTGTTATTAAGGTCTGTACGATGCTTTTTAATTGTGTACTTGAGTTACATTCACTTTTGCAGAAGCGGTTTAGATCTGTTGCGCTGTTAAATTATGATTTGATACATGCGATCTGTGGTTCAGATTAGTGAACCTTTAGTTACTTTTTGTTCATTTTACACCCACACACTTTCACATGCACACGTGTGACCTAATATTGATGTTGCAGCATTCATGATAACAAATCAAAAAATGTTCAGTCATCTTCCTCCCTGTTCTCCCTGAGCTCTGACAGAAACACAAGACTGACCCACTCATATAGTACAGTAATACAGAAGTGTAAACCTATTATTGCTTATTTATTATTAAGTATTATCAGGGGTGTAAAGAGTACTGAAAATCCCTAATTAAGTACAAGTACAATGTTACTGTAGTGATAATTTACTCAAGTACAAGTAAAAGCATTAGTAAATATAATTACTCAAGTAAGAGTAAATAAGTAGTTTTTTGAAAAACTACTTCAGTTACTTATTTACTTACTTTTTCGTATTTCTGCTGTCACAATCTGAACATATTTCTGAGCTGACTCAGCAACATCATTGGAAATAATCTGTGCAGAAAAACACTAAAGCAAAATATGATATTATATGGGAAAAAGGTTCTGAGAGCTGAGACTGATCACATTCTTCTCTGCTAGTGCACATTTACACACCTTTCTGTGAGCTGTGTAAGGAACAAGGTTTACATTAAACTGCATGCATTTCAAGGTTAGATGATAATATAAGGCATCCTAGTTTATCTATTTCCAGTAAAGTATTTTAGAATCCCTGAAAGACTGTGTGGAGGATGTTTGAGTCAAAATTATGAGTAGATTGCTTAATTAATGATGTAATTTTAGAGTCCTGCTGCCCATCAGCTCCCTGGACTCTAGCTTACGTTAATAGGTGTGAACCTCTACAGACAGTAAACACAATCAAAGCCTTCAAACTGTATATTTTCACTGATATCTGTTCAGAACATTTCTACCATTAAAATCAGCAGCAACATCAGCAATTTACCCAGCTTTGATTTTTACTGTAATATATTTCACCAGTAATCATGCTGATCACTTCATACAGAATCAAACATTATTAGTGCATTAGACAGTTAAACAGCTACACAGCATCTCACAGTTAAAGACAAACATAGAGAGAGAGAGAGAGAGGAAGAGAGAGAGGAAGAGACAGACAGAGAGAAAGAGGAAGAGAGAGAGGGAGAGAGAGAGAGAGAGAGAGAGAGAGAGAGAGAGAGAGAGAAGGCGGGTGGGCAGTAATCAGATCAGGCCAGTCAACGACAGCGCGACAGAATCACTGTCCAGAGTTTATGAAGCGCCTGTATTAGACTGGATTTCTTGTCTTACAGCCGTTCACGACTGTATATCTCTAAAACAGAAGCTAAACTAGGCTGTATAAATGGGTAAACTGTAGGCTGTGGGTGACACCTGTTAAATAAAGCAGCTGACAGGCTCTTGTAATAAAATATATGCAACGGATTTCAAGTTTAATAAACAGAATCATTATAAAAGAAAGAAGAAAACTGTAAACACGATACCTGTTTAGCTTGGATCAGCTAGCTCGGCTAATGCTCCCTCAGGCTGGAGTCGAGTTGTGAAAGCGTATCTCAGCGGGTTTCATTTTTGGCCGCTGATAATGGCGCCTTTTTCTTTAGTTCATGTGAAAATAAATACAGAAGACCATTCAGGACGCAGTCTGTTCCTCGTGTGTGCTCTGGTTAAGCTCTCCTCTTTCCCTTTCCACTAATCTGGAGATCTCTGTAGTGTTTTTCCTGCCAAAGCTGCTGTTTTGTAATTTATTTTTACTCTGTAATGTTATGAAAATTAAAGTACCAAAGAAGAATATTTTATTAAAAATGAACTCAAGTAAGAGTAAAAGTACTATTATTTAATTCTACTCCAAAAAGTACCATTACAGGGAAAACTGTACTCAATTACAGTAACAAGAGTAAATGTAATTCATACACCTCTGAGTATTATCCATTTTAAGGTAAAAAAAAACAAAAACGTCTTCTGCAATATCAGAAAAATGTACTGTATAAGTAAGTAATAAACTCTCAAAGGTACAGTAATGGTCTTAAGACTCAATTGTGTACCTTAAATGAGTTTTAAATGTACACTACATTCACTTTTTAAGTGAAACTATACTATATAGCATTTTTTACAACAGGCGTTATAGCAAAGCAGCTTTACAGATAAATTCAAGTCCAAGCCCCAATGAACAAGCCAGTGGTAACAGTAGCAAGGAAAAAAAACCCATAAGATCAAGAGGAAGAAACCAAGACTCAAAAGAGGAACCCATCCTCCTAGCAAAATAATAACACGAGCAATATGAGCAGATATTAAGGTTTTCATATTAAAACCTTAATTTTTGTTCAAAACATGAAGTCAATATGGAGAATATGTGAGTGTGTTTATATAAGGAGCAAGAGGGGGTACGCGGCAGAACGTTTAATGTCTGAAGGGGTACAGGACTGTAAAATGTTTGGGAACCACAGTCCAATCTTGGGGAGCTGTTTACCCCTCAGTGTAATTGTATTCTTTGGAGTGATGAGTGTTGGGGCAGGGGGACGTTTGTGATCGAGAACTAATCATAAAATGTCAGTACGTATCTTTATTAATGGTCTTGTGGCTGAATGCAATCAACTCTTCACAAATCCTACAGAAAGGTAAAGGCTGTTAATTCGCATGATTTTAGAAGAAAAATTGGAGGGGATGCTGACAAACTTCTGAACATACAGTGTACTAGTTAGCAGCTTGAATAAGTCTATAAGAGGAGATCACGTCGGTCAAGTTTGTTAGCATTCATTGTGTTATTTTGTTTCAGTCTTACAAATAGTAATCTGAAAAGGAAAAGCTGGGCAGCTCTGGCCTCAGTGATAAGCTCGGAATGCTCCAGTGTGAGAGAGCTGCATCTGTCTAGAAATGAACTGGGAGATTCAGGAGTGAAGCTACTTTCTGCTGGACTGGAGAATCTTCACTGTAAACTGGAGACACTTTGGTAAGATCCAGTGGCTTAGGGTTCATTTCAACATTGAATGGCAGACACACTGCTAATATCACCCAAATCCTCATTCCATCATCTGATTTTCTGCTAAATATAATCTTAAAGTTATGTTACACCAAGAAAAAGCTAATGTTTATTCAATATGCAGAACTTCTTCTGAAACCTCAAACACTTAAAATTACTTGTTATTTTAAACAAACATTCTGCATTATCAATCTCTCTCCCACTAGAACAATTAAAAATTATAATGCAGCATTATGACAGTGTAGTGGCATTTTTTTAGTGTCATTAGTAAAAGCTTTTTCCACCAACATCAGCAATGGAAACATTTACATGCACTAAAGCCTTGTATTTACAGTGCCCTCCACAAATATGGGCACCCCTGGTAATCAAATCGAGCTGTAAAAAATATTGTAATTGCTTATTCTTTTTTATCTTTCATTCAAAATATTAGCACAAAATCTTTATTTAAGGTATAATGAAGGAAAGAAAAAAACTAAACCTTGTCAAGAAATGAATATTTTTCTCAAATCTATGTACGCCAAAATTATTGGCACTCCTACAAATTCTTAAGAGTGAAATCTAACTGAAACATTCCCATTTGTATTTTATGTTTCAAGTTCACCTGAGTGATTAGGAGCACATAAATGGTCAGCCACGACTTCCTGTTTCAGTGGGGAATATACAGAAGTTGAAATGTTGTGAAGCTGTTTTTCTTTCAAAGGCCTTGGACAATTTATTTGGATACATGGTATCACAGACTCCATCAAGTACCAGCAAAAATAAAATTTAAACCTGACTGCCTCAGCCAGGAAGTTTAAACTGGACCATAGTTTAAATCTTTCCGCAGCACAACGATCCAAAGCATATCTTAAAATCGACATAAATATGATTCACTGACCACAGACTTAAGGTTTTGCCATGGCCACCCCAGCCCCCTGACCCAAACCCCCAATTTATGTTAAAATTTTGAATGAAAGAGCAAAAACAATTTCTTTAGAGCCTTTTTCACTCATGTTTACCCTGGGTGCCAATATTTGAGGAAGGCATTGTATTTAATACAATATACTTTCAACCAAATAGTTTTTTTCCCGTAAGGTAAGTTCTTTGTTGATAAAATAGAAAATGAAATCTCATAATGAAAATAATACTAGACCTAGATATGACAGACAAGGTCACTACCAAATGTACCAACTTCTCTGAGCTTGGACATAGAGATGTGAGCGAAAATACAATTAATTATGGATTTAAAACAAAATGTCCTCCAAAAATTGGGTAGAATATCAACCTAGGAGACTGTGACAATTACATTTGTGCTAAACTGAGCTGTATGTCCTAAACTGAGACAATGTAGAGTGTGTAATTGTTATCTCTGCAGGTTGTTGGATTGTAATATCACAGTTGTAGGCTGTCCTGCTCTGGCTTCAGCTCTGAAATCAAACCCCTCACATTTGAAAGTACTGGATCTGTCTAGGAATAAAATAGGAAACTCAGGAATAAAGCTGCTCTCTGCTGGACTGGAGGATCCTCATTGTAAAGTGAAAACACTAAAGTAAGATCATCTCTCTGAGACGCACACATTACCTGACGTTCTCTAATGAAATGTTCAGGAGGGAAGCTGAAGCTGTTTGTTCAACACCAATATCCCATGGATGATATTTGTCTGTTTTGTACACATAAAGCAAAAATGGAAGTGAAAACTGGAAAATTGACTTCTGTAGTGATACTTTGATGACATCACTGCTAAACTGAGCTGTATGTCCTGAAATGAGAGAAAAAAGTGTGTCATTGTTCTATCTACAGGTTGGAGTGTTGTAATATTACAGATAAAGGCTGTGCAGCTCTGGCTTCAGTTCTGGCTTCAAACCCCTCACATCTAAAAGAGCTGAATCTATATGGGAATAAACTAGGAGATTCAGGAGTGAAGCTGCTTTCTGTAGAACTAGAGAATCCTCAATGTAATCTGGAGATACTGTGGTAAGATAAGAACAAATGATGCTACAAACTTGGCTTTGGGGATCTTCTCCTATTCCTTTTTCTCTTGAGCTCTGTCAGGTTGGATTAGACCACTAATTTCAAGTATCTCTTGATATGTTTAATCAGGTGCAGGTCTTGACTCTGGCAGGGATATTCACAGACCTGTCTTGAAGCTACCCCTTGATTATCTTGGCTGTGCATTTTAGGTCACTGTCATGTTGTAAAGTGAACCTTTGCCCCAAACTGAGATTCTCAGGGATTTGCCTGTACTTTGGATAATTTGTCTTTCCATCAGTAATGTAACAATGTTCAGAGAAAATAATGGTGTATGCAATGAAATCCTCCATAATTGCTTGATCTTAGAGTAATATTTGATTCCTCACTGACCTTTTGTTAAGTCCATATCCCAAGTCCATATTAAGTCTATGTCCCAAATTTTAAAGTTTCTTTTTTATTTCCATAACATTGCCCACCTTTGGCCACTTACCACTAGTGATGCCAAAGCATTGGTTTGTGCCTTCATATTATCCCAAATTCATTATTGTAATTGTCTTTTTACTGGTCTGTCTAAAATCACTAACAAACTTCAGATCAATCAAAACTCTGTGGATAATAAGTAGATAATTTTTTATTTAAATTTTGGATTCGTTTGTACCCACATGCACAAATACACACACTGAACTGCATCAAATCAATTGTGTTTATTTTTTAGTAACATTAGTCTTGCATTTTTGCAAAAACAAATATATATATATATATATATATATATATATATATATATATATATATATATATATATATATTTCAAAATGTCAGTACTTCTCTGTCTTCTAAGCCTTGAACTGAGAGAATGTAGTATTTTTTAATGTCCACTTTGTAGGCTGCGCTATTGTAATATCACAGATGAAGGCTGTGCTGCTCTGGCCTCAGCTCTAAAAACAAACCCCTCACACCTGAGAGAACTGCATCTATCTGGGAATAAACTTGGAGATTCAGGTGTGAAGCTGCTCTCTGATGTACTACAGAATCCTCTCTGTAAACTGGAGATACTGTGGTAAGATCATGTCTCTGTGAGTCATACAAGCAGGTCATCAATACAGCATATTCTATAGTAGTGGGACTGAAGTAAGGACTTGCAATATAATTATTGTATTTTTCATTTAATGAACACTGAACCTGAAATGTTAGACGAGCAGTTACAAACACAGTTTCATACAGATTTGTGAAATACATGAAAGCTGCAGTTGAACATCAGGTGAAACACAAGGCCAAGAACTGCCCAAATGTAATACAAGATTCCATATTAGAATATTGTTGTTTAACCCACATGTTCTGTTGATATTAATTTTACTTCCCAGGGACTCTGATGCTATGAGTATAGAAATAATAAAAATATTTTCAAAAACAATCTCTACATATTTTCCACATTCCCTTTTTCCATTCATGATAATAAAGCATTATAATTCCAACAAATAATTATGTATTTCATATGTTTTTATATATTACAAGTTTTCACTGGGGTAATAAAGATAACAAAAGTGGATGTCATCATGCAGTTAATTGTCATGTCATGCAGTTGAAGAGAAAGTAGTTATTTGACAATGTGTTAATGCTATACAAATTAACAGTGCATACATTAGTGCTCTGTGCTTAATACTGTAGTTACTTTTTTGTGAACATTGCTGCTGGCTTGAGCTATGTCTTCTGAAGAGTGTGTCACTGTTCTCTGTGCAGGCTACAGTTTTGTAACATCACAGACGAGGGCTGTGCTGCTCTGGCTTCAGCTCTGAAGTCAAACCCCTCACACCTTAAAGAGCTGGATCTGTCTGGGAATGTCAGAATAAAGACAGGATGTCGGCTGTTGCTTGCTATTAAGCATGATAACCATTACAGGCTACAAGACCTAAGGTGAGTAATAGTGATTTCTGATAAATGATTAAAAATACAAAACAAAGTTCATTTCTACACAAGAACTACAGAAAGATTCTTCTGCATTGAAAGTTACTTTTTGATTGTTTCCATTTTCTTTCAGATTGATATTTAATCCTGTGGATTAACATTGTTGACAAGAACAAATCACAAAAACAAGAAAGTAGCTTGTGAATGTGTGTGAGGTGTTCTGGTAGAAAAGGAAATGTGAAGTCTGTGTAAATAAAATTAAAATGTGTGGACCATGGAGAATCTTATAGTCTTGTTTTGTGAATTTTGTGATAAAAATTGACTAAATACACATGGCTATTACAGTAAAGCCTATACTGAGTTTAAGACTATACTATGTTTATTAGTTACAGCACTTTCTGTTCCTTCTGTAGTAAACCAGAGGGAAATTAAAATATTTTGTTATGAATCATGTTCTCTGCTGCTTACTAAATAATATAAAACAAGAATTATTATTGATGTTATTATTGTTATCTTTTTTACTGGGAAACATAATATTCAGTGTGCAATATGCTGGACATCTGGACTCATGGAAATGAAATGTGAGAGTATTTTTTTTTTGTTAATAAATTTATTATCACCAACAGCAAGACCCAAAGCATTTCAGAACATTTACTGTGTTCACTGTATGTACAGTTGCATGAAAAAGTTTCTGATCCCTTGGAACTACCTGGACTTCTTCCTGAATGACTCCTAAAATATTAAATCACTTTCATAATAATTTTGTATCATAATAACTCACAAAGAGCTTTTAAACACAAAGCACATGCACTGATTTACATTACTATATCTAACTTGAACAAATGGTTGAAACAATTGAGTTAATTGATTAAAAAAAGTCTGACAATATTACACAACTAACATTATATATTACATAGCTTTATATGTAATACTACATATTTTACATACATTTTATGTGCTAGCCCAGTGTTGTAGAAATATTTCTGAAACACATGAAATGTTAAGTGTTTTGTTTGGATTTGTTATTCTGATAATAATAAATGTGTCCATACATCAAAATCATGCAGATTTCAAATGCCTAATTCTAATGTCCCAAGTACTGGACAGTGAAATCATTTGAAGTTTCCAAGAAATGATATTAGAACCAGATTTGCAGAACATCATCTACTGTCACTCCTAAATACACATAAGATTCTACAAAATAAACAAAAATCTTAAATAACTGAGTTTTGTAATACATTTGTCTATTACACTAATCAACGCATAATTTACTACACTGAATCCAGATTACAAGACATTAATCCATACAAAAACATTTTTTGAAACAAATACAACATAAATCAGAAACAGTGTTTGATTTGGTCTTGGAGGTGGTAAGCATCTATCTTGGCAGCTGCCATATTTGATTTTTGTCTATGACAAGAAAAAAAAATTAACCATTCTATTAAATACCAATATACAGAATGTGTCACGTACAAACACATAAAATGAGTATGGTGACATACCTGCTTCTGTAGACCTAGAATACCTGGGGGGAAAAATGTCCAGTATACTAATAATTATTAAATAAATAATATATATTCTTTGGAATGAGGAGGATAAATAAATAAAACGACGAGTAAGGTTGGAACCTTTGAGCTCTCAGACAGCACTGCATTTAAATTGACATTCTTCTGTAATGAACACAACTACATGGGCTCAGGACTACTTCGGAAAAACATCGTCAGTAAAAGCAGCATAAAGTTCACCGCTGCATCTACGAATTTGAGTGTTTGCTGTTGATCTGGGCTAAAGCTCATCTGAGATGGACTGCCACAAAGTGCAAATGAGTCCACCTTTCACAGTGTTTTTTAAAATAATGGATGTTGTGAGAAAGAGAAGAAAAGACCCATCCTAATTGTTACCCATGTAAAGTTCAAAAGCCAATGTTTATCATGGTATGGGGATATGTTAGTGCCAATGGCATTGGTAACTTGCACATCTGTGAAGGCACCATTAATGCTGAGGAGTACATACACATTTTGAAGCATATGCTGCCATCTAGACAATGTCTTTTCAGTGACCTCCTTTGTTTCAGTAAGACAATGCCAAGCCACATTCTGCATGTATTACAACAGTGTGGCTTTGTAGTAAGATAGTGCAGTTGCTAGACTGGCCTGCCAGTCTGAAATCATTTTAACTTGCCAGATCTCGTAGTCTGTAATAGTTATCATGTAAAAGAGCTAACAGCCTGTCCTTGTTTGGTAATTCTCAGACAGATTCAGCTCTCTCAGGAATGAGGGGTTTGATTTCAGAGCTGAAGTCAGCCACACAATTATTTACAGCTGCTCATGAAAGAAGGGTCTGAATCCAGACTGCAAGACAGGGGCGGTAAATGGGGCGGCTGACCAATCAAAACAGAGTGGGTGAGCTGACCAATCAGAGTACACTGGGCTCATCGGGAGGTGAGGCCTAAAGACACCGGAGCTCTAATAAAGTGTTATAGATGGAGAGTGTATAGAGATGTGCAGTAGGAGAAAAAATGTGTCTTTGGAACACTGAAGCATGGAAATCTGTTCTAGTAGACCCCAAAAATAAAATTATGAAAAATGAATATGAGCATAATAGGTCCCCTCTGCTAATGGTAATTTACCTGTACGCTTTCTAAATATAACATCTGTGATGCTGTTTACAAATACTTACTATAATTTTCACACCTGACCTCATTTACCTCAACATGCAATGTTGCACTTCCAATCAAATACTACATATTTATGGCTTAACTATAGTTTAGAATTCTACCTATAATATCTGCTCTAGAGTTACAGTTGATTTACATATTCTGTATTTACTATCTATGCACGTATTTCTTTGTGTTTCTGTCTATTGTCTTTGTGCTGTTTCACTCTATTTGCACTATTTTACACCTGACAGTTATTTGTTTTAATGTACAGCCTTGTATTGGTGTAACAACAATAAATTTGATCTGAATTGAACTGAATTAAATTGAAATAGATGACCAGTTTAAAGGCCACAGTACTATTTTTCTTCTCACGAAGTATCCTGTACATAAACATACAACTCCATCTAGTCTACACATTCATGCGGTATTTTCACACACTGTGTCTCCCTCTGCTGTTGCAGCTCCTCAAACACATTCAGAAATCACTTCCATCTCTTCATGATGTTGCCTCTTTGGTGATTAGTAAAACACGTCATCACATTAGAAACTGTAAAAAAAAATAAGTAAGAAACAAAAAAATAAATTTCAATACAAAAGTAAAGCAATATTTTTAACACTAATTTATTGAATATAATGACCAAGTTCCTAATTTAAAAGACTTGGAACCAGTTTCCCACATGCAGATAAATCATGTTAACTCACCTGAGATCTTGTAGTCTGTAATGATTATTATGCTTAAGAGCTAACAGCAGCTCATGTCCTGTTGTTGTTTGGTAATTCTCAGACAGATCCAGCTCTCTCAGGTGTGATGGGTTTGACTTTAGAGCTGAAGTCAGAGCAGCACAGCCTTTATCTGATATATTACAATTATACAACCTGCAGAGAGAACAGTGTCTATCTGACTTAGATGTATACAGACCAGAAAGCTAAAAGTACATGATTCTGTTGATGAAGAATTAAATAACTAAGCAATCACTGATCTCAGGTTGATTACACACTCTACAATTTTTACATTTCTTTTTATGGAGATGAAGCTAATAGACAGTAATGACAATGAAAATAGGCATTTTCCATGGCCTTTTTAGGATAAATGTTAATTGTTCTGAAGCACAGTGTAATGCTTTTATTCTGGTTATTTATGTGTTTGAATATTTTGGATACATTTTATGTTTCATTACTTAATGTAAAAAACTGAAATCCATTTAAAGTACTATATAAGGCTTACAAATTAAGTTATCAATCAGTCTAAAGGCCAGGATGTGACGCTTCCCTCCGTTCCCACTGTCTCTGCCTCCCAGCCTCTGAACTCCATTACCCAGAACCCCACTCCAGATCACATTGGATCTCCCTCACATGACTCTCCACTGATCTCCCTCACATGACTCTCCACCAGTCTGCTTCACCTGACTAGTGATTACGCACAACTGTTCCTTGTTCACATGTTTGTGAGTTTAGTATATAAACCCAGGCTTTAGTCTAGCTTCTTTGTGAAGTATTGTCTTTGTTTTCAGAGCCTTACTGAGCCTTCTATCTGTCTGTTTGCCTTATCGTCTATGACCATTGCCTTGTTTGTATACATAATAAACAGCATGATAAGAGAATGAAAAGTCTTCATGACTAGAGAATATGTCTTAAGGAGGACCAGGTCATCTGTGACTCTCAGAGAGATGATCTTACCACAGTGTTTCCAGTTTACAGAGAGGATTCTCCAGTACAGTAGAGAGCAGTTTCACACCAGAATCTCCTAGCTTATTCTTAGACAGAATCAGTTCTTTCAGGTGTGAGGGGTTTGATTTCAGAGCTGAGGCCAGAGCAGCACAGCCTTCATCAGAGATATTACATTGCTCCAACCTGCAGAGAGAACATTGGCATATTCTTCACTCTCTCAGTTCAGGACACACAGATCAGTTCAGCAGGAACTTTATTAACATGACAACAGTCATTAAGTATATATTTATTATGGTAGCTAGCGTTATGTGGTAGCTAGCAGTAATAGTTGAAATTAAAGTTGGTTTAAGTCTAGCTGACCTGGCCATCTATAATTGTTTTTTCCTCAGTTATCTCATTCATAGAGCAATGGGAGGAGGCATGAATAGTAAGACATTATGTTTTGCTTAGAGGGAACAGTAAATATTTTCCTGATGGCTAACTTTTACTTAAAGTAACTTAACATTATAATTTTAGTTTACCTATACAACATTGCACCAAAGAATACCTGTTCTTTGGTAGTCCTCTGGGCGTTGTGAAAGGGGGCTAATATTCAATGCTCACATCTTTTTAAAAAAAAAAAAAAAACTAATATTATTGAATCTGTCATGTACAACGAATGTACAATCTCACTTTTAGGCAATATTAATGTACATGTCCTGGTCCTCAGATCATCTCAGAGACATGATCTTACCTCAGTCTCTCCAGGTTACAGAGAGGATTATCCAGCCCAGCAGAAAGCAGCTTCACACCTGAATCTCCTAAATTATTCAGAGACATATTCAAGTTTCTCAGATTTGATGGGTTTGATTTCAGAGCTGAAGCCAGAGCAGCACAGCCTTCATTTGAGATCTCGCAATGCCACAAACTGCAGAGAGAACAAAGACACAGTCTTCACTCTCAGTTCAGGATACACAGTTCGGTTCAGCATATACCTCATAAACAAGGTTTGACTGCAGTTAAAAAGCATCTGTGGCACTCAGAGAGATTATCTTGCCTAAGTGTCTCCAGTTTACAGAGAGGATTCTTAAATGCAGCAGAGAGAAGCTTCACTCCTGAATCTCGTAGATTATTATTGGACAGATTTAGCACTCTCATGTGTGAGGAGTTTGATTCCAGAGCTGAAGCCAGAGCAGCACAGCCTTCATCTGTCATGTTACAATTCTCCAACCTACAGAGAGAACAACAACACATTCTTTACTCTTTCAGTTCAGGACACAAAGGTCAGTTTAATATTCAAACTAAATACTTTATGAAACATCAATACATTTTATTTAAAGTATGTACTAATGTTGTAACATGCAGATTATTAATTTTATGTAATCATGAATATTGCTGTTTTCATGCAAGCAGAATCACAGTTTAGTGGTACAATGTAAGTGTATCACTAATTTGTTTGTGCCCAGTTGCTATTTTGGTGGTCAAAAATTAACAAACCTGTGCTAGCATGCATACAGTGGCACAAGAGGAGGAGGCATGGCATTCAAAATTGCAAACAGTGGTGTTTTTACCCAGGCTCACTCTTAGGATATACTCAAAGGCAAAATGTTCTCTCCCATTTCTGACAAGGTGGTTCTGTTGACAGACATTCTACATGTCACTCATTATAATATAAAGAGATAACTTCAAACATCATATAAATAAATCTATATCACATTTCTAACTTACAAATGATGTTTCAGTTTAGAGGAGTATTGCTAATTGCTTACTCACAGTTTATAAATTGTTAAGAAGCAAACCTTAAAATAAAGTATAACCTATTTTGTATCTGCTTTTATTTATTTTATTTAAGCTTTGTATGATGTTTGTTATTTATTTCTTTAGTCTCGTTTGTTTTATTTGACTTAAGGTGGTTGCACCTACAAGGATTAAATTAAGCAGTTTCAAGTAAATCACATTGTTAGTCTAGGTTTTTAATTTCAATCAAACTGTGCAGCACCAATGCATTTTAAACATGGATAATCAAATCTGTGATTAAAGCCCTGATCTGGGTTTAATTTTGATTATCCACAATGATGGATTAACCGGAGTAAGGTTCTCACTTTGTGGCCACTTTGAGCCTTAAAAATGTGATTCTTTTGTTTTCCAAAACAGTTTTCCCAAGATGTGCATGGGAAACACTGGTGAACATGTTATCATAGACATGTTCAGACACTGCCTGACATTGGAAAAGTTCAGCTGCAGCTTGGGCTGTTACACAATCCAGGCTTCAGGACCTTAGGACTGCATGATGCTCAAGAAAATAGGACACTAATATTTAAAAAAAAAAAAGTACTATGTTTACAAAAACTTTATTAACAAACATGAAAGTGTTGTTAGAAAATATGTCTTAACTAAAGACCAGGTTATGTGTATCTCTCAGACAGATGATCTTACCTCAGTGTCTCCAGTTTACACAGAGGATTCATTAGTCCAACAGAGAGCAACTTCACTCCTGAGTCTCCTAGATTATTCATAAACAGATCCAGTTCTCTAAGACTAGTGGATTCTGAGCTGAGAACTGAGGCCAGAGCTGCACAGCTTTTGTTTGTCAGATTACAATGCGCAAGTCTGAAGAAACAACATGAAAATTCTAGCATTAATTTGACTGATATGAGATCCTAAACGATGCTGGAAATACAGGCAAACAAAGATGAACAAATCATGCAAAATTAGTTAGATTTTGTTTACTTAAATTTATATTCAAAATTTGAATGAATAAAGAATTGAGCAACAGAGAAGTATTGGATTCTCATTACATTTCTAATATTGTGTGAGTGTAACAGTTTTGTTCAGTATTACTTACTGAGCTGTTCTAGATTCTGCAAGTACAGGCAGCAGCTTCAGAAGAACATCATCTGATCTGTTATATTTCTGTAGGACAAATTTATCTAGATTCTCCCCTGATGTGAGCAGCAAAAAGACCACAGCTGACCACTGTGAAGAAGAGAGTTTTCTTTCATTTAGATTGTCAGATTGCAGGTACTGTTGAACTTCATCAACTAGAGAATGATCATCCAGTTCATTCAGACAGTGGAACAGATTGATGGATTTCTCTGCAGAGAGGCTCTCACTGATCTTCATCTTGATGTGCTGAACTGTTTCCTCTTTACTGTGGAAGATACTTCCTACCTGTGTCACTAAGTCCTGTAAGAGAGTCTGACTGGACTCCAGTGAGAGACCCAGAAGAAAGCGAAGGAAAAGATCCAGATGTCCATTCTCATTCTGTAAGGCCTGATCCACAGCACTCTTGTGTACATCTGAGATTGTAATTTCTTTATTCATCAGGGTGTTAAGTTTAGAGAACAAACTCTGTTGAAGCACATTTCTCTTCTGGTTCATGAAGGTCAGGTGCACATATAGAGCTGCAAGATGTTCCTGAACACTCAGATGAACAAAGCAGTACACTTTACTCTGGAACTGTCCAGATTCCTCTCTGAAGATCTGTGTACACACACCTGAGTACACTGAAGCTTCTTCAACATCGATGCCACACTCTCTCAGATCTTCCTCATAGAAGATCAAGTTTCCTTTCATCAGCTGCTGAAAGGCCAGTTGTCCCATTTTGAGAAGCATGTCTTCATCTGTCTTCTGGTTCTTTGTGTATTTTTCTCTTATGATTTTTGTCTGAATGATGAGGAAGTGTGTGTACATTTGAGTCAGAGTTTTGGGGATCTCTCCACTCTCTGCTTCACCCAACATTCTCTCTAGAACAGTGGCTGAAATCCAGCAGAACACAGGTATGTGACACATGATGTAGAGGCTTCTTGACTTCTTCAGATGTGAGATGATTCTCTTGGCCAGACTCTGATCACTGATTCTCTTCCTGAAGTACTCCTCCTTCTGTGGGTCAGTAAACCCTCGTACTTCTGTCACTCGATCCACACACTCAGAGGGGATTTGCTCAGCTGCTGCAGGTCGGGAGGTTATCCAGATGAGAGCAGAGGGAAGCAGATTCCCCTTGATCAGGTTTATCAGCAGCACATCCACTGATGCTGATTCAGTTACATCACACAAACTCACAGTGCTCTGAAAATCTAGATCCAAACGACACTCATCTAAACCATCAAAAATGAACAGAGCTTTGTGTGATCTTGAAATATCTATTTCATTAATGTCTGTAAACCATGTAAGAAGAAGATCCAACAAACTGAGTTTTTTATCTTTCATCAAATTCAGTTCTCTGAAAGGAAGTGGAAATATGAACTGGACATCCTGATTTTCTTTACCTTCAGCCCAGTCCAGAATGAACTTCTGCACAGAGACTGTTTTTCCAATGCCAGCAACTCCCTTTGTCAGCACAGTTCTGATGCGTTTGTCTTGTTCAGATAAGGGCTTAAAGATCTCATTGCATTTGATTTTTTTGTTCTCTGTTGCTGTTCTCCTGGACGCTGCCTCGATCTGTTTGACCTCATGTTCATTATTGACCTCTCCACTGTCTCCCTCTGTGATGTAGAGCTCTGTGTAGATCTCACTGAGACATTTTGGGTTTCTGGTATTTACTATTACCTCACTTAAACACTGAAACTGCTGTTTCAGAGTCAATTTAAAGTCCGCTTGAAGTTTAGATCCAGTATATGCAGGGTCAAATCTGTAAGAAACAAGCCATCACAAGGAATATTTGATTTTGTTTGGAACAGGACAGACAGGTACAGCTCCATTTAAATAATGTGCAATACTGTGAACATTACCTTTATCAGAGTATACCTTTCGGTATACATTTTCAGTAGATGACAATTCAGATTTTAATGAAATTAATCTATGTATTGTTGCATAGCATATTTACTAGTTTCAGTAATTCAGAAATTGTTGTATGTACAGAAGTGAGGGATCCTCAGAACCTTTTCAGGGACTTCTGGGCTTTTTTTGTCTTTATTCAATAGACTTCATGCTTCTTGTATTTAAGCTCTCAAATATTATGGTTAAATTCTCAAGTTTGTAAATTATTAAAACATCACACATAGAAATGTTCATTGGCCTTATATGGGTCCCTATAAATTGCAACACATGCATTATGTAATGGTTTGTTAATGACAGTTAATTGTAACAAAACCAAACCAGCCTGACGCTCACAATAAAAAATGAAAAATAAAGACAGACAACCATAACTAACGAAACCAGGCAACCAGATCCAAATAAGCAAAGACAAAAAGACAAAGTCACAGAATCCATTGTCAGAACATGACAAAAGGCATTCAGAAAAAACACTCGTTCTCACCAGAAGAAACAATACCTCACAGGGAAACTACCTCTAGTAATGTGACAACAAGAATAGGTCAACCAGATTAGTATTCAGGTAACTGTGAACAATGATTAGAGTGCTGTGGAGGGTCAACAGGCACATGATCTCCCAGAGTATTCTGAGAGATGAGGTTCAAAGAAACATTAGAGCTGGAGGAATGCCTGGCATTAATAATATTATCATAATAATTATACAGTTGTTATTTGTGCCTTAATAAGTGCTAGCATTTTAATTATTAACTATTGTAACGGGTTTTGCAATTTTTAATGTTATTATTGCTAGAACCTTATATAAGGGTGTGGGGTAACCCAGATTTATTCGAAGTCTACAGACCAGGGCAAGAGGAAGAAATGCTCGCACCAAGGATGCTTCAGAAAAGGGAATTTATTGGCTAAATATCAAACTACTTTTGGACTACATTCAATGATAAACAATAGAAAATAAAACAAGAAAACAAAACAAAACAAAGTGATAGTAATGAAAGACAAAATAGCTCGAGTAAGTTAGAGTGATTCACGGCTAAATGTTATGAGGCAGTGTGGTTTTGGGAATTCGCTTGGGAGAGCCTCTAGAGAATTAACCTAAGCATGGACGGGAATAACTATATGGCTGGATATACCTATTAAAAGTTCTCTTATTAAATAAATTGGCGTCAGGGCCCTGACTGCAAATTGATGGAATCAGCTTACGTTGGAGTCAGAGGCTGACTTCAGGAGGGGTCGTCTCAGGACAGACTCGATCAAAGGCTGGAACTCACGCGGTGGTTAATCTCCTCGCTGGCCGTGGGTACTGCATCTCCGTGCGGGCACGCGCCTTTCCGTCAGTGATTGGGCGGAGGCGTCTCGTGGCTGTCTGAGGATGGAGCTTGGGCAGCTTTTCGATGGTCGATCTGTTCACAGATCAGTGCGTGGCTCTGGGTGTGATGCTGGGTCTCCGTGGCGTCAGAACCGCTCCCACTCCACTGGCGAGGTTCAGGTTGCAATCAGGGTTCTGAGGCTGGTGATACTAATTTAACTAACTACCTCTCTTTAGCAGAATCGAAAGTTATGGATATATTCTCCCTGGCCAGACAAGAAATATCCACCTTCCTTCTCTGAGGGTGGTTTAAACTTAAGGTGTGTAGATGAACAGGCAAGTTACAAAACAAACAAAGGTTTCAGATCTGAAAATTTAGTGTTCTAATTCCTCTGAGCTGTCTTTCTGACCAAGGCCAGCACAAACTTAGAAATTTAGCTATCCTCTTGTTGAGAACGCAGGACTCTGAACTGAACTACTGAAATTTGCGGTGCACTTTGGTTTTGCTCGGCTGGAGGCCCTAACCTTTGGAGGTGGAGCCAGAGTGCTGATAGGTTCTCCTCACCTAAGGTTAGCTAGCTACCCATTGTTTCCAACTCTGATTGGTGGTGCATAATTTTAGGAATGCCTTCCCCAGAATCACTGCCTCCTTTGTTTCAGCTAGTTTAAACAAGAAACATTCCTATATCATCAAATTGGTTTAACTTTCAAAATCAAGGAATGGACAACTAGGATATTCAGGTATGTTTCTAAGAGAGAGTTTAACCCTTGTTACCTGATACACAACATATGCTAAAGAACACAAGTAATATTTGCCTATAATATCTGAATATGACCCAATGCATGAAGAAATAAAATCGACAATAAAAGAAAAGGAACAAAGGAAGAAAAGAAAAGAAAACCACATTCAGGATACATATTGGTCAATGGTCTAAACTCATAGCAATTAAATGGTTGGGTCTGTCTGTTATCAAAGTTATACACTACGTATTTCTAGCACTTAATAGTAGAAAATGATACAGGTAATATTTAGGTAATACACAACAACAAGATTAATACAACAAGTAGTATTGCTTACAGATTATATAAATGTTGATAATCAAGCTGACAAAGCCAGAAGTTTCTTGGATTCCTTATAAGTACATGTCCTTACAGTGGTGATGTGGTAATTCTCGTTTTCACCCCTTGGGGGTGCCATGGGTCCATGCTTGAGATCCCCAGGGAATTTAGAAAGTTTAAATTTGCAGTCCAGATTGTCGTATCAGTTCCGTTCTTGGTATGCCTAGTTTAATTAAAAAGAGTTCTAACGAATGGTTGCAGTTTGGAGTGGACATATACCTTAGAAATGTACTTTCTGTTACTTAAAGATAAAGTTGTCCACAGGACTTTGGAGGGCCATGTGGCCAATATTCCAGGGAGCTGTTCTGTTGCCCCCTGGGTCGAGGGAGAGGGGTGCTGGTTCTTGGTTCAGTCGTAAATTTGACTGAGTTTGGAGTTGGGAGTGTTGAGTCGACAGATTTACACTTTACACTTTCAACTCCAGACTCGCTGGAGCCAAAAGGCCCTTAACTTTTAGGTTGTTAATAAATTAGGTAAACACTCAGCTTGGGGGTAAAGTTTCAGGCAGTGTTCGCTACACTATTTACCTAGTGACATACAAATTATTAAAATACTGTAAATGCATTATATTTAATTCTAAAAAGAAACAGAGTATATCTTTACAAATACATAGTAAAGTTTCAACTTTATTTTATAATTATTAATAGAGTTAGAGTTTTTCTGGCCCAAAGCAATTACCGATTACCTTTCAGCACAGACTGTTAAGGACTGTTCACATCAAGTACAATTTTTTCAGACAAAAAATAGAAGCAATTTTAATGTGGTAGGACCTTCACACAAAGTCTAAGGTGTTTTTCTGTCTAAACACTCTGAACTTTCATCTTTTTAGCACTGCATCTAAATGATGCATAAACACACCTCTTACAAGAGATAGCTGAAGCTGTGTAATGAGTAATTCTGAGGTATTTCCACAGGTCAGTGAGGAAATTCAAAGTTCTGCTTCTGCTTGTTGCTTGTTAAAAATAAGTGAATGAAGTCCAATTAAATACAGTCACTGTAACATACTCACCATCATTCATAGCATTTCAGTTAGAATGCGGAGGTTCCCCATTGTGGGACTAATAAGGGACACTTAACTTAATAGGCTTAGTCAAAAGGTCTGTATTTCCATCTAGCATTTGAAGGAGGAACTTCAGGTTCCCGTGACCTAGGGGCCTCGCGCAGGGCTGTAGCAGTCCTTAACTCACAAAATATGGCTCACATGTTTTACATCCCTAATCAGTTCTCATGATTGGCTAAGTTAGAGAAATATTAGCCAGTTGCATATTTGGGCTGAAATCGGCCGATATCAATACATAACCAATCAATCCTTCTGTCTCTGATCATTAATGTTTGAAAACATTTGTAATAATCACTTAAAAAAGATGAAGTCTTCATTAAGGGAATTGCTAATGCATCACAATACATAAAATAGAAAATAACTACTTATTAATTTATAACAGTACACAGACAATTCAGTCAGTTTTTAGAAATATAAGATAGTGGTGGGAGCGCTATGCCAGGGCTCTTTACTGAAAAGGCTAATGCACACAAGGTAAAACATTTGCTAGCATGCCTGTGACAAGCTTCAGATGTTGCATTGCATTTAGCTTAGCATTAAGATACCATTTGAATCTCAAAGGGGTGCTAGCAGAAAATACCTCTAATACACAGGTGTTTTTCTTCATTGTTTTGACATTTTGACGAGTTTTGACATTTATGGTGCAAACTGAAACTTAGCTCTAAAACTCACAGTTTGCCACAGATATGCAGTATATAGTGAATATTCTACACAATACATTTGCAAGAGTGGGTGTATTTTAACCTTGAGAAACTGTATGATTTCTAGATGTAAAAGTGCCATCAATTTAGAAATGTCTGTCATTCTTCATAACAGCAAAAGCGGGTTCAGGCGGGTTCAATCAGTAATTTATCATTAGCTGTTACCTGTATCCAGATGAGGGGCCTCCATCTTTGAACACTTGTGAGGTTTCCTTAAACTTGTCACTCTTCATGGATGGACAGCTGGGTATGGACGAGTCTGACCTCTTTCCCCGGCTCTGACTACAAAAGAATATAGAAATCACTCCGGTGATTTATTTAATACGGCCTTTAAATTCATCACTGTCAATGGCTGCCACATTATTTTACAGTCATGAAATCTTCTTTCAACAAAAGGTAGAGATTATTTGCCAAGTTGAGCACATAAATAAGAACAGAACATAAACTGAACATTTAAATTTGCTGTGTTTCTTTTCCTTTGGTAGATTAAATTACAATTTATTATGAGTAGTTTTACAACATAAACACTCCTGGACCCGAATATTTTCCAACCAGCCCCAGGTCTTATATGGTTAACTTGTCACACGTTTCACCCTGGCTTGTTTGGACATCCTCCATGGTCACATTTACCTACTCCTCAAACTCCTCTCTCCTCTGAGAGAGAGAGAGTGAGTGAGAGGCAGAAAGAGAGCAAGAAAGGGAGTGTGCATGTGAGAGTGTGGCACAATAGAGAGAGAGAGAGTGATGGGGAGAGAGAGAGAGAGAGAGAGAGAGCAAGAGAGAGTGTGAGAGAACGAGAGTGCAAAGGAAAAAATGTCTGAATGTCTGAAATATTTGTAAAAAAGGCAACTCTACACCACTATAAAACAATTTGTTTCAAAATGTCATGTTCACTGAATATGTAATAGTAAATTAACAGAACAAAACACAACACAACAAAACTGACTGTTTAAAGTTAAATCTCCAAATTGTTTTTACAGTGTGCCTAAAAATTCACTCATTTAAAGCTAATAAAACCAGCTGAACACCCCGATGATGTACGTCAAGAAATATTTACTCTATATTTTGTCAGGCCTGTCAGGCATGTTTTTTTAATCCATATTTGAGTCTACACTGGCTAGATGTGCATCTCACATCTGGTAGGTCTTCTGACATGCCCTGCTTTTTTCTACATTGAGTACTGTTAGAGTAAAGCGTAAACTTCACAGTGATCCAGTCAAATCACACACTCCCCATATCTACAGCATTGTAAAATATATTTCAAATATTAATTTATTTAAACAATGATGGTATTGTTGGTCTCGTAGTTGCAGAGTGGAGTGGGGGGATGAGGAGACCTTTCTCTGGAAACAACTAATAAAAACTGATCTGTTTGTGCTGTCAAACTTTAAATCTGCCAAAAATGTTTCATTTGGTAAAAAAGAGGAAAAAGGAACTGGTATTTCAGAGTTGGAGGCAGTGTGGATTCTAAACACAACTGACTGCTTCACTTGTGCTTCACTTACATGATGCAGATGTGTCACATCTGGTGTTAATTCACAGTAATACTAGCCTTCTCACTCAAGAAGCTTCCTTTCTTTCAAGAGCCAAAAAGTCCACCAATCTCTATAGTCAGTTGCTAACTTACTTTAGCTTCCTTTAAACTCTAAAAACCAACCATAACCTGAGGAGCCATTACCTGTGTCCTGATGAGGAGGCTCTGATTTCTGGTGGATGATACATAGACCAGTCACTGAGTGCTGGAGAGTCTGATCTGTCCTTCTGGACTGAACTGGAATGTAACATAATAGAAACATTGCATCAGCCATTTATATTTTCCATTTAAAATAATAAAATATTACATTATCTCACCGAATTAAGAATTACAGAGCTCTATAATGAAATAAGAGAAAAAAAATCTTAATCTCTTACAGTGAGTGTTTCATGGAGGAGGAGCTTTCTTCTTCACACTCCTCAGCGGGGTTCATCCTGTTTTTCTGGTTTTACAAAACCTGTCAGACAACGCAGTGCAACAAGCAAGCTCAGAAAAGAGTAGCGAAAAAGAATTAAAGCTATAATGAAAAACAAAATTGTGTACATAATGAATTAGCAGTAAATTAAAATGCAGAAGCAGCTAAACTCATTTAAAATTTGCACATTCACAGAGGCAGCAGCTCAGATGATGCAAAAGAACACAGAGTCAGAACACTCATCTTTCTTTTTACTCATGGAGAAGAAAAAGTATCTTTAATGAGAGTCAGGTTAATGCAGCAGCTGTTGATTTGGATGTTGATCTCTTTCCTTCTTCTTTATGAAAATTACTAATGCATTCAAATGAAGCTCTTACCTCTGCAAACAAGATCCTAGAAAAAGTCTCTTTAACTGAATGCATTGTCTTTTTGTATGTGTTATATCTCATATCATTATGTCTCCATGGCTTCCAAAAAACAATATTGTTCCTCTCAAATCACCAAGTGGTTTCAGGCACTGCATAAACGCCTTCGGTTTCACCTGAACTTTTCTTTACCTGAGAAATGCTTCAGCTCTCTCCACACTGGTGTCACATTGCATTGATTTACAGTTTAGTTTTATATTCAGCTTTAACACTTTGTAATCTCTCTGCCACTCAGAATTTTTTTGACTGACAACCATATTAAAATGACCATCAAGTTATTTTCCAATGTAAGCACGGTATGTTTATTAGACACTAACCTGAAGCCACTGTACTGAATAAGTTCCACTTATAAACTCCTTCAGTGCAACCAGTCATAAACTAACACATTATTTAATGTTGTTCTATGGGAGAAAATATGATTGTTTTTTTTTAAAAAGGTATCTGAACGCTACAACCTTACAATTTTATTTTATTAATAGTTTCAAATTATTAATAGTTAATAGTGTACTTAGTTATTAATTACTAAATACATAATCAGTTCCCAAGAAATTATTAGTGCTCAAAGAACACTTAATTAATATAGAAATAACAAGTAGTTAATGACTTACTAAAAACAATTCATCTTTAATTTGTGATGAGTGATCTAAAATGTTGCTGAGTAAATTTATAGTCCTAGACCTGTGTTGTGTAAATATGCAATACTTTATTTTAAGCTGAGCAGCAACAAGAATATTAGCTCGATTTAAACAACATCTGTCATAATTAAAAGTAAATAAATAAAATAATAATTCCAAATTCCACAACAAACATGCATGACCACAGAAACTGAAGAACAAGTGCACTGTGAACTGTAAAGCCTGGTAAGTTAAACGCTGACACTCAAACCTCAAATGAATGAAGAGTTTTGAAGCTCTACTTTTTCACCTGCTTCATTAGTTCATTAGTGTCTTAAAGACATGCAGTCTTTAAACATAAAAGACAATGCTTAAGTAGTCTCAAGCTATAGTGTTGTAATAACTTTTAAGTACTATTTACCCAGTCAGATTTAGGTTTATAGCAGTTTATATACATTTTTCTCATTAACAAAGTTTTTATTTATTTTATTAATTTCAATAACAATTAATTATTTAACAATTTCACAATATGCTAAAGTGACTGTGCTTGTTAATCATCAGCATAGTGATCAGAGGTTCAGATTTGGGGAGTTCTGCGAGTTATGCTCTCTGATACTAGCCTTTTAAAAGACTCATTTAGTTGCTAGTGAGCTGTGAGTTGCTAGTTGGCAGTAACTTATTAGTTACAATTATTGACATAAACAGAGACACAAAGCACAATCATGGTTAGAATAATTAGCATGTAAAATGTCAGATGGATCAACGTTACAGAGAGCTTTTAATAATGCTGACCTGTGATTAGCCATTACCTGTGTCCAGATGAGGAATCTTCTTGTTACTTACTCTGAGTGTTTAAACAATGAAGAACTTTCTTCCTCACACTCATCCTGCTTTTCTGGTTCAACTCCTTAAATGACCAGAGCCCACCAGCAGGCCCAACACACTTCTACAACTTAAGAATAGCTCAGCCAGTTTGCATTAAAGTTGCTGTAATTACTGAATAATAAGCCATATGTAATACGCCTGTGATTTTAAGGGGTTAACTTTGTATATATATGAAATTTGACTTGTTTCATATTTTTGCTGAATATAAAAGAAACTCCCTGAAAATCAAGTAGGGTCAGATTAATTTGGACTACTCTTTCCTTGTTCTTCATAAAATCTAATGAAGTATTCAAATAAAGCTCTTACCTCGACAAACGAGATCCTAGAAAAATGTTATTTAATTTAATTTGCTGTCCATTTGTGTGATACAAATCAAATATAATGTTGTCGTATCCTTCTCATGTCACCAAGTGGAGTTTGATACTGAGGAAACACATTTATTTTCACCTGAGCTTTTTTTTTTACCTGAAATATAATGCAGCTCTCTCTACCCTGGTGTCAGTTTTCATAGACCTACACTTCTAGATTCACATTCAGCTGTAACACACCTCTTTGCCACTCTTTTTGTATAACTATACATTAATCTGAAGCACATGTACTACTAGTCAAAAGTTTGGACTTATCTACTACATTTTAGAAGAATAATGAAGACTATAACATATATGGGATCATACAGTGATCAAAAAAGTGTTTATTGAATTGAAACCTATATTATAATGATAATAAAAATGTTATACTTTAGAATATTTAAAGTACCCCACCACACACACACACACACACACAACTTTGTCTTGATGCAGTTTTACACTTTCTTGGCATTTTCTACAGAGAGTTTAATACATTTGTGTACATTTGTACAACAAGTGTTACAACAAATTTAAAGTATTTTATTGTAAACCTTTAAGATTTTGAAAATATTAAAAGATTTCTTATTTATATATTGTGTTCATTAAGGATTAGTCATTACTGAATAACTGATTATGTATTCAGTAATGAGTAATTAAGTGCACTGTTGACTAACAGTTTATTTTAATATTAGTTCATAGCTTAATTACTGATTAGTCATTACACTGCTAATTAACTGATAATTGTGTTTACTCATGTAATATTTAACTTGAAAACTAACAAGTACAACAAAAGTTGTCCAAAATGTAAATAAAAATAAGCACAATGATGTACAAATCATGTAAACCCTATATTTAATTAATAATAGAACAAAGAAGGATAGAATAGAACAGAGAAGGCGAACTGCCACATACTTAATTCTTTGAGCAGGTCATGAGTTTGCAGTATAATTAATAATGGAAATTATCGCTTTAACAGAAGTAACACAAACAGTAAATGAGTAGATTAATTAAGACACTTTTAATGAACTAGTTCTCATGTTACTTCTTTATTTGTTAGCAACATTAGCTTCAAAGTTCCAGCACTAAACTACAGCAGAAAAAATTATTTCCTCATTTCACGACCAAATCAGAAAGAAAGAGTTGTTTCAGTGTAATAAAGAGACACAGCAGCAGTGACAGACTTCTAATCAAATGAGCTTAATTAGAGCACAGAGAGGAACGGCAGAGATCTTCGGAGTACAAGAGTGAAACTGATGCTCATGTTCTCCCTGTATGAGCTCAGAACTGATAACAGTCAGAACCTCTCCAGTTCTCCAAACATCTGTCTTCATCACTTTTAATCCGAAAAGAAAGTTTAAGAAATACAAATTTGAAATTACATCTGAAAATCACACCCAACACTGTTCCAATAAAAGCTAAAGAACCTCCAATTAGACTCTCAACAAAAGTGGATATGAAATCAATTCCATCAATCCCAAATTTTAAAGCAAAATAAAACAAAAATTAAAAACTTTTAAACTTTTATGTATATAGTTATACTAAAAAAGTAACTTGTAATTGCACACACTTTAGTAGTTATAAAGAATGAAAAAAAAATTACACTGCAAAAAATGATATCTAAAGAGTAATCAGTCTAAACCTAGTCCAAATATGTGTTGTTTCTTATTTTGAGACAGTTGTACAAATATTATCCTATTCTGAAACTTATTTTTAGATATTTTTTGCTTGTTTAAAGTAATTCTGTTAAGTAAAATTATCTCACTTTATTGGCAGATGATTTTGCAGGTTTCAGGCATATTTCTTAAAATAAGCAAAATTATCTGCCAATATAGTGAGATGATTCTGCTTAATAAAATTACTCAAAACAAGTAAAAAATGTTGATACATAAATTAAATAATTTAATTATAAGCCTACAACCATCTTAAAATGAGGAAAATTAGACATATTGACTAGATTTAAGACGATTCTACTTGCCAATAAACAATTTTTTGCAGTGTAGAACTAAATTCTGTATAAAATGTATAAAAACCCGCGAGACAGGATCTTGTAGTCTGTCACTCCTAAACAAAATATGTGTACTTAAAGAGTGAAGTATGGTGGAGTGGCCGCAGTGTTAGAACAGCACATATTCAAAACATATATGTTTAATATTTCAACATTAAAAAGAAATAAACTTCGGTGAACTTACTACATGACGTTTATCACTGAACATGAAATATCCTGTGTATCAAGTGTGTGTTCTTCTAGAGGCAAAATATCGGGGCCATCAACAAACAGAAACTGAAAGTTCAATCATGACGAGTCTTGAAATAAAGTTATTTCCCACCAAAACATACTACAGTGGTGTCACTTCACTCTGGCTACACAAACAGACTTTGTGAAACAAAGACTGTGCACACACTGCCTGTCTTCTCTCTCAGGTACATCTGGAGGCTGTTTCATGAATTTTGCGACAAAGAAACTGCAGCCCTAGCAATGAACACATATTGCAGGGTTCATAAAGCTACTACAAACCAAATAGGCATTTTTAAAGACATTTGAAATGATACAACTGGCCTATACTTAAAATGTAATATACTTAGTCAGGTTCTTCATTAGGCTATGTAGGCCTTTAGATTTGAAGTCAATAATTAAACGGTCTGTAACAGTCAGGTTCAGTGTGGCACAGTAAAATTGAATAAAGGTTAGATTTGCATAGGTACTGCATTCACTTGTCAAATCCTGTGTTTTTCTATTTGCTGTTTTATTCATTTTCATATTGTCTATAGTAGTCCAACACGTCAGAGTAAAAATAGATTTACATAAGAAAGAGTCTTAGTGCTGCATTAAATATATGAGTTAATAATGAAAAAAGCACCTGTTCCTGACAGTTTAAATAATGCTATTGGATTGATAGATATGAATTCAGTACATGTCGAGTACGAGTCTCATAGAGATAAATACATGCAAAACTGGCCACTGTGAGCTGCTCAAAATTTGGTAAATCGAGAGGAATATATAATCAGCCACATATCCAACATCTTCCCCATTTTCTGTGCAATCCTCCCCCGTTTTGCATGGCCCTCCCTCAAAATCATACGCAAGAGGAAGAGAAGGAAGTGCATCCTATGGTTTTCCATGCCCACAGCCCATAAACTGTGTTTACGTTCAGGCTCCAGTATCACACATAACATGCAGGCAAAATGTATCCAAACTGCACCTGAAACTGCCTCAAAAAGTTTATATATCGGGCCCCCTGTGTCTCCCTCTGCTGCTGCAGCACCTCACTCACATTCAGAAATCACTTCCATCTTCTCATGATGTCATCTCTTTTGTGATCAACAACACACATTGTCAACATCACATTCTGAAAAGGAAGCACAAAACTTTAGAATTAGTAAATAATAATAACCATGTTACTCACTGAAGAGATTTAGATCCAGTTTCCTATACACAGCTTAATCATAGAGATTTTAAACTGTGGATGATTGTTGGCATTTCAGTCTAAGATCAGATTTAATCTCTGTCTGGGAAAGCAGCCTGCAGTGTTTGTGTGTGTTTATGTGTACACATTTCTCTGAAATCATTATTACTTACATTAGTTCGTCTAGTCTGTAATGTTCATCATGCTTAAGAGCTAACAGCAGCTCACGTCCTGACTTTATTTGGGGATTCTCACGCAGATTCAGCTCTCTCAGGTGTGATGGGTTCGATTTCAGAGCTAAAGCCAGAACTGCACAGCCTTCATCTGTGACTTTACAATCCCACAGCCTGCAGAGAGAAAATGTCTGTGTCTGATTAGAAGTATACAGCCCAGAAAGCGAAAAGAACATGCATCTGTGGATGAAGACTTAAATCACTGAATGAAACTGATATTAGATTGATTACATGCTCTACATGTCTAACATTTCTTCACTTATTTTGCAGATCAAGCTAATAAACTATAGTGAAATATCTTATGGCCTTTCTGCATTTTTATGGCCTCTAATTAGTAAAGTGTCAATTATTTTCAAGGGCACTGTAATACTTTATTTTTATTCTGGTTATTTATATGTTTGACTATTTTAGCAAGTTAGAATGTCTTTCATATTTCATAACTCAATATAAAAATAATTGCATTAAAATAAGTTACTTTAGTACTATGTAAGGCTTATATGTTACATTATTCTGTTGCTGCATTCATTAGTAAGGGCAGTGTTTCAACCACACTGAATAGTTTATAGTTGCTGAACATTTGGTATTTGAGCTCAGTCTCGAGTCCATAAATTAAAGATCTTGGTCTTTTCTTGGTCTCAACATCTCAACACATATTGCAGTGCTACTCAGTCATCGGTGTGTTGAGAATTTGTAGTCAAATTGGCTATTGAGGAAAAACAGGTTACTGCTGTCCTCATTTAGCACTCAGTTTTAATCTTATGACTACTTTTTAGTGTTTATTTCACAGTTATATGTGTGTCATTGCTAACTACTTTATAACTCTCTAAGATCATGATTTACATTTGAAATATGGGGTGCAATATAAATATCTAGATATGCAGATTTTATGTTTTCACTGTTCTACAGGGTGGAAGTAAAAATAAAGTTAAATCTTTCTATGAGTAGGTGTGTTTACTAAATTGATTTACAACTGAAATCACAAGGATGAATTTAGTCATCTGTTACAGCTCCCATATGGCACATATGAATATAGAAAACACAACAAACCACATGATGAGAAAATATAAAGTCTCTGAAGAACTGAAACAAACATCCTCAAAATATTGATTCTGAAGCTACAGACTCAAATAGAGATTAGAGAATCGTCACAAATAAAGTACATATCTTACTGAGGACCAGTGTGCAACTCACAGAGAAATGATCTTACCACAGTGCCTCCAGTTTACAGAGAGGATCCTCCAGTACAGCAGAGATCAGCTTCACTCCTGCATCTCCTATTTTGTTCTTAGACAGATGCAGCTCTTTCAGCTGTGAGGGGTTTGATTTCAGAGCTGAAATCAGAGCAGCACAGCCTGTAACTGTAACATTACATCCCCTCAACCTGCAGAGAGAACAATGACACATTCTTCACTCTCAGTTCAGAACACACAGAACAGTTCAGCAGGAACTTCATCAACAAGGTTTGACTAAAGTCATAAAACACAGCTTTATTTATAGAGCACTTTTCATTGCAGCAGCTCAAAGCTCAAAGATTTTGTTTCACAAATCAGTAACACTTTACAATACAGCTCCTCAGTTACCTACTAACTATGCAAGAACAAATCATGAATGAATACTGTATTATCTACAATGCATTATGTGTTAAAAACATGACAATGACAGACTTTATGGGCTGTGGCAGGATATTTAATGTAAAGTATCAACATAATTTTTTTTATGTCTTATATAACCAAACCTACGCTATCTGATCCATTATCTCAATTAGCTATTTGAATACATGGATGTCCAAAAATTCACATAAATATGTTGATATAAAATATTTTAGGCAAAGATTTACCTCATCCAGTTTTCACAGTAGCAACGCTAAAGCTTGACTTGCTTTTTTTCTCCTAGAGTTTTTAAACTTTTACTTTTAATTCTCTTTTGCTCTGGTTATAATTATTTTAGTTTTTTTTGTTGTTGTTTGCTTTTAGCGTTTTCATATCTTCCATATTATTTTGTAAGACTTATTTTACTATTTTATTGTCATATTATTTTACAGTCTTTTTTCATTGCTTTGTTTTTTTCACAAGGATTTACTGTCATACAAGACTATCTGTTATCAGCTTGTTGCTTTTTATTCAACCTGTAAGAATTGGCTTCATTGAAAATGAGGATTCCCCTCAGCATAAATGAACTTAAGTACTGAATATGATGATAATTTTTAGATTAGCACCTCCACCACACTCTAACTCTCTAAAAGATAATCTTACCTCAATGACTCCAGTTTACAGAGAGGATTCTTCAGTCCAGCACAGAGCAGCTTCACTCCTGAATCTCTTAGTTTATTCTGAGATAGATACAGCTTTCTCAGATGAGAGGATTCTGAGCTGAGCAATGAAGCCAGACCTGCACAACTTTTCTTTGTCAGTCGGCAACGTAAAAGACTGAAGAAAACAGCACACAAAATTCTAACATTAACTTGACTGATACTAACTGATCTTGTACAGCCAATACAGGCAAACACAATAATCAAACTATACAAAATGTTCTGACATATGCTGGCAATTGGATTTTGTGTGTTTTAAATTTCCTTTCATATTTGAATGAATATAAAGTTGAATAATGATATTCAGTATTACTTAGCTGTTCTGGATTCTGCAACGACAGGCAGCAGCTTCAGAAGAACATGGTCTGATCTGCCATATTTCCATAAAACAAATCCATCTAGATCTTCTTCTGATGACAACAGTATGAAAACCACAGCTGACCACTGTGAGGGAGAGAGTTTCCTTTTCTTTGTTTTGCCAGTCTGCAAGTACTGCTGAACTTCTTCAACTAGAGCACTGTCACCCAGTTCATTCAGACAGTGGAACAGATTGATGGATTTCTCTGCAGAGGGATTCTCTCTGATCTTCTTCTTGATGTACTGAGCTGTTTCCTCTTTGCTGTGGGAGCTACTTCCTGCCTGTGTCACTAAGTTCTGTAAGAGAGTCTGATTGGACTCCAGTGAGAGACCCACAAGAAAGCGAAGGAAAAGATCCAGATGTCCATTCTTACTCTGTAAGGCCTGATCCACAGCACTCCTGTGTACATCTGAGATTGTAATTTCTTTTCTCAAGAGGCTCATCAGTTTAGAGGACTGACTCTGTTGAAGCACGTTTCTCTTCTGGTTCATGAAGGTCAGGTGCACATATAGAGCTGCAAGATGTTCCTGAATGCTAAGATGGACAAAGCAGTACACTTTACTCTGGAGCAGCCCAGATTCCTCTCTGAAGATCTGTGTACACACACCTGAGTACACTGATGCTTCTTCAACATCGATGCCACACTCTCTCAGATCTTCCTCATAGAAGATCAGATTTTCTTTCATCAGCTGCTGAAAAGCCAGTTGCCCCAGTTTGAGAAGCATGTCTTCATCTGTATTCTGTTTTTTTGTGTATTTTTCTCTTATGATTTTTGTCTGAATGATGAGGAAGTGTGTGTACATTTGAGTCAGAGTTTTGGGGATCTCTCCACTCTCTGCTTCACCCAGCATTCTCTCTAGAACAGTGGCTGAAATCCAGCAGAACACAGGTATGTGACACATGATGTAGAGGCTTCTTGATGTTGTTACATGTGAGATGATTCTATTGGCCAGACTCTGATCACTGATTATCTTCCTGAAGTACTCCTCCTTCTGTGGGTTACTGAACCCTCGTACTTCTGCCACTCGATCCACACACTCAGAGGGGATTTGATCAGCTGCTGCAGGTCGGGCAGTTATCCAGATGAGAGCAGAGGGAAGCAGATTCCCCTTGATCAGGTTTGTAATCAGCACATCCACTGAGGCTGATTCAGTCACATCACACAAACTCACAGTGCTCTGAAAATCTAGATCTAAACGACACTCATCTAAACCATCAAAAATGAATAGAGCTTTGTGTGATTTTGAAATATCTGTTTCGTTAATGTCCTTAAACCATCCATGGAGAAGATCCACCAAACTGAGTTTTTTATCTTTCACGAAATTCATTTCTCTGAAAGGAAGTGGAAATATGAACTGGACATCCTGATTTGCTTTATCTTCAGCCCAGTCCAGAATGAACTTCTGCACAGAGACTGTTTTTCCAATGCCAGCGACTCCCTTTGTCAGCACAGTTCTGATGGGTTTGTCTTGTTCAGATAAAGGCTTAAAGATGTCATTGCATTTGATTGGTGTTTCCTCTATTGTTGTTCTCCTGGATGCTGCCTCGATCTGTCTGACCTCATGTTCATTATTGACCTCTCCACAGTCTCCCTCTGTGATGTAGAGCTCTGTGTAGATCTCACTGAGAAGTGTTGGGTTTCCCTGGTTTGTTGTCACCTCATTCAGACACTGAAACTTCTCTTTCAGATTTAATTTGAAACTCTCTGGGATGTGCATTGAAGCATGGCCTTGTCTGTGAGATGGTGGGACATGTGGTGAGTCATAGGATCAAGATGAACATTTTGCTGATTCAATACATTTGTATTTCCCCCAAACAAAGCAGTTGCTTCCCATTTTTCACTAACATATCATCTATCACGTACTCTCTGTATATTCTCTCTAGTATATGAAAAGTTCATCAGCAAAAAAACAAACATTTTAGAGCAGAAACAGTCAAGCACCAGCGCTGTTCTCGAGCAGAACCCGATAAATACATTCAGCGAATCAGCAGGCAGTATTCAGGTCAGGTGACGCAACACTGCCGCGAAATGTTTTAGGCAGAGTTTTAAATGACAATCAGCCATGTTTCCACAATTCCACACTGACAATTCCATACAAGACGTAAAGTCTTGTTTGGGTGTAAAAGCCAAAATTTCATAAATCACATAGTGCACTTACACAAGGAGCAGTGAGCCATTTGAGATTAAGATTTTTTGAGATATGATCTTATAGATCTTTAACATTGCTCATGTTTTTGATGCAGTTTTCAGGACTTTACCTGCTTGTTTTATGTTAAAGAATGTTAAATTTTGCACTTAAAAGAAACATGTATCCATTACATAGCTTTGTTTAACTCTGAAACATGAAATGACCTTTGAAGTTATCTGCTTTTGCCAAAAAACAAAATAAAAATAAAAAATTAAATACAGTTTAATTTTGGAAGTTACCTGTATTTTGTTGAGTTATTATTACTTAATCAAACAACTCAACTTTAGTTTGATTGATATTGCCTGGAATGTGCAATAAAAACATGATTTATGAAAATTCATTAAAATGGAAATTGCAAATGAACTCCCAATTTGTGTTGTTTACAATCTTAATCAATGTAAAAACTGAAGATGTAACAGGACAAGTTATGAGATGTGTTTACAATATGCTGTCACTGTATGTTGGTTGTGATCTGTTATGATTTCTTCTTCTGTTCTGATGATCTCCTCTATTGTTTTCATTGTACAAGTCAGTGATTGTATGTTTTTCACATATTCTTTGTGGCTAAAAGCTCCTGTTTGAGCTCCTGATTCATAAATATAGCATTATAGCAAAATAACTTTATTATTCTCTAATATAAAGACATGTTATAATAATAAAAAAACATCCCTGAAAGCAAAACAGGACTTTTAAATTTGTCTTATTTTTGCCATACTTGATCGTCTTATTAAAAGCACTTTGATCTACAGTTTAAATGCATGAAACATGCTGTTTACATTATCAAAACAGAATTTAAAAAATAAGAGTCAATAAGTAATTGGTTGTGATTAGTCATTACCTGAGTCCAGATGACGCATCTCTGTCTTTTAATGTTACTGGCTGATTCATAGACGCAGCCCTCCTCATGGACACACCGCTGGGTTCTGGAGAGTTTGATCTGTTTACTTGCTGTGAACTATAAAATTTATACAAGTTATTAAAATAATTTTTATTATTGGCTATTTGTTTAACTAGCCTATCTTAATGATTTGTAATGACTTTAATTTTAATTACACTACTTTTTAAAAATTTGTCTTATTTTTATGCACTTTTATTTCATACAGACTCTTATTACTCAGTAACTACAGGGGCTTCAGTGGAAACTGGCTGAGTTATTCTTAGGTTATAGAAGTGTGTAATAAATCTTTTGGCCTACCCACGGGCCCTGGCCATTTCTGGGGTTAAAGGTTCTTGGCAACCACACCATTTTTAATCACTCTTAACTGAAAGCACTTTGTCACTTAATCTAGTTTAAATGTGTGAAACATGCTATTCACATTATCAAAATAGAAATAAAAAATAAGAGTCAATAGTAACTCTGATTAGTCGTTACCTGTGTCCAGGTGAGGGGTCTCCATCTTTGAATGTTACGGAACGATTTATAGACACATCACTCCTCAAGGACACACTGCTGGGTTCTGGAGAGTCTGATCTGTTTGCCTGCTGTAAACTATAAAATTCATATATGTAAATACAAGTAAATAATCTTTATTACTGGCTAGTCCATCTTATTATTGTAATGACTTCAATTTTAGTTCCATCACTATTTTTGTCTTATTTTTGCTTCACTTCATGATTAGTGCTTATTTCCTATTAAATATTTTCTGAGTTTTTAATGTTTCTTAAAGGTTCTAGTTAACCACATCATTTTAATCATAATTAATTAAAAGCACTTTGATCTTCATTTCAAATGTATAAAACATGCTACTGACATTATCAACACTGCTGTTAAGAGCTACAAGAAAATTTAGTCTTTCCCTGAGCAAGAGCTCAGCTCTGATTGGTCGTTACCTGTGTCCAGATGAGGGGTCTTCATCTTTGAACGTTACCGGAAGATTTATAAACTTATCACTGCTCATGGACATACAGCTGGGTTCTGGAGAGTCTGACCTCTTTACCTGTTGTAAACTGTAAAATTCACACAAGTTATTTAAATGATCTTTATTATTGGCTAATTTTGTTTAACTAGCCCATCGTAAAATTATGATGACTTCTGTTTTAGTTCCATCACTATTTTTAATTTGTCTTATTTTTGCAGTAATTGATGATTAGTTTTTATTTCCCATTAAATATTTTCAGGGTTTTTAATGTTTCTGAAGGTTCTAGTTACACCATTTTTAATCATTATTAATTGAAAGCACTTTGATCTACATTTTAAATGGGTAAAACATGTGATTTACATTATCAAAGCAAAGATAAAAAAAATCTCTGCTGCTAAGAGCTACAAGATAATCCAGTCTTTCTCTGAGCAAGAGCTCAGCTCTGATTAGTCGTTACCTGTGTCCAGGTGAGGGGTCTCCATCTTTGATTGTTACTGGATGATTTATAGACAGATCACTCTTCATGGACACAAAGCTGGATACTGGAGAGTCTGATCTCTTTACCTGCTGTGGACTATAAAATTTACACTAGTTATTTAAATCTTCATTATTGGCTTTTCACTATTTGTAAATGTCTCTTATTTTTGGCATCTTGATTAGTGTTCGTTGGCAATAAAATGTTTTCTGTCATTTTATGATTCTTAAAGGTTCTTGTTAAAAACATCATTTTAATCGTTCTTAATTGAAATCAGTTTGATCTACATTTTAATTGCAGGAGACATCTCTCTGTTGCTTTCTCTCAGCAACAGTTAAACTCTGATTGGTTGTTACCTGTGTCCAGATGAGGAGTCTCCATCTTTGAATGTTGCTGGTTGATCCACAGACTCATCACTCCTCACGGATTCACAGCTGGGGTCTGCAGAGTCTGATATCTTTAATAGGACTAGACTGCACAAAAGCACAGATAAAAGTGATTTGCATTATTTTTATTTTCTTGTTTACATAGACCATATAATCATTTTAGGAATTATTCATTTAAGTTCACTTTTTCATTGTCTTCTTTCTGTACTTGATGTTTATTTCTCCCCTCTTATTTAAAATTTTCTTTCTCTTATTGTTTATTTTTTTCCTAAAGGTTTTTGGTTTTCTATTTTCCCCCATTTGCTTCTTTCACACTTAACCTGAAACATATTGTTATTTTTGTTACTGTTGTTCTTGTTGTTGTTATTATTATTATTAGCAAACACTCTTCAGGTATAACCCCATTTAAAAAAACTAGACAGGTATGATGATGTTCTAATCAGTTGAAACTCTATAATTAATTGAAAACAGTAAAAAGACAACATATCCAATGTTAAAAGTAGGAAATTGTATTGTTTATTGAAAAATATATGCTCATTTTGAACTTGATGTCAGCAACACTTTTCAATAAAGTTGGGACAGGGGCAACAATAGACTGGTAAAGTTGTATAATGCTAAAAAAAAAAACACCTGGTGGAACTTCTCACAACTAATTAGGTTAATTGGCAACAAGTCAGTAATATGACTGGGTATAAAAAAGCATCCTAGAGAGGCTGTCTTTCCAGTGTAAATGGGGAGGGGTTCACTACTCTGGGAAAGACTGTCTGGTCAAATAGTGCAACAATTCAAGAAAAACGTTTCTCAATGTAAAATAGCAAAGAAATTTGGGCTTTGGTTGAGCTTTGGTGCATAATATCATTAAAAGACTCAAAGAATCAGGAGAAATCTCTGTATGTTGGGACAAGGCCGTTAACCAATAGTGGATGGCTGTGATATTCGGGCCCTCAGGCAAAACAGACATGATTCATGAGAACATGAGTTGAGCAGCTGAAATCTTGCGCAAGAATGGGAAACCATTTTACTTTCAAATTTACAGTAATTGTTCTCCTCAGTTCCCAAACGCGTACAGGGTGTTGTTAAAAGAAGAAGTGATGCAACACAGTGGAAAACATGCCCCTGTCTTGAAATGTGTTGGTGTCATTGAATTCAAAATGGACATATATTTTTCAAAAAAAACAATAAAATTTCTCAGTTTCAACATTTGAAATGTTGTCTTTGAAGTATTTTTCAATGAGTTGAATTTTTTTTTATTTACATTTTTCACAGTGTCCCAACTTTTTTTGAAAAAGGGGTTTTATGCACATATGCCTACTGGAGAGTCTGATCCTTACTGTTGTATAAAGAGCTGAATTAGACAGCAAAGGATCATATCATTCCTTCAGAGATTTAGATTAGCCTTTAAATTCTATTTAAATAAATATGAAAATATCACAGAAGTAATACATATCATAAAAGTATCATGTAAGTATAATCAGCAAATGTCATCACAAAATACTTTGGAGGACCATGTGTGTAGCGAACAGCTGATGCTTATAAAAATATCAACTTCTGACACTTTGTTAAGACATCTTTATACAAAGCGACTCACAGGACAATATAACAACGATATACATTTTTAAATCTGTATGACATCATAGCTCACCTCTGGCTTAAGCTATTTAAGTCCTGATGAGGGGTCTCCATCTTTGAATATTAGTGGAGTCTCCACATAAAGAATGGACTTCACTCCTAAAACAAAGCAAAAACAATTTTGTCACCGAATCCTGCAGATCAATTTTCAAGTCTTTCTATTAGGTTAGATGTGAGGGAAAACGCAGCTCCTCTGGTGAATTCAAAACATTGTTTTTACAGTATTTAGTTACCAGTGCACATATTACACACACACATCATCAACAGGTCACCAGTCCATCGCAGGTACACTCACACAGACAGATACACTCACACACACATTCATACTTAAGGGCAATTTAGTGTGTCCAATCAGCCTGACTGCATAACTTTGGACTGTGGGAGGAAATCCATGCAGACACAGGGAGAATATGCAAACTCCATGGGAATTGAACCCAGTCCCTTCTTGCTGTGCGGCTACAGCGCTACCCACTGTTCCACTGTGCCACCAGTGCACATACAAATTTTAATCATCAAATATCAAATCCATGAACACTAACTGCTGTAGTTTCCTAATTACTATAAGTATAAATATCATAATATAAGTTATTTGTTTCATTACCAATCAAGTTTGTGCTTTGCTGTTTGTAAAGAGCACAGCACTGAGACATCTCTTAAACCAGAATCTCAAGCAGAATCTCTCAATATAAATCAGAAACCGTGGTCCTCGCTTGTGGACTTTTCTCTTCGATTCAGCTCACGTAGTTTTAAGCAAAGTGTAGGCCAGGAACCACTAGTGCATTTTACAAGCTAGATTTCTGAAACATGTTTAAGTAGATATAAAGGAATGGTTTGGATCATTGTCTGAAGCATATCCCATTTCAGCTGCTTCAGGTTTGTTCTAACATATCCAAAGTGGAATGAGTCCATGTTAGCATGTGTCAAACAAAAGAGCCCATTAAGCACCACATATCCATCAATATAATGTGAAAAGAATTTTTCTCAACAACCATCCCTCATTTCACATGAAGTCCACCTGAAATGTTCACAGCCAAAAATCTCTATTTTTGACTGTAGAACCCAATAGTAATAAAAGCTCCAATGATTTTTTTTAAGAAACGCCATCTACTTATATCTGCACTTTACTGTGGGAAGAATGGGGCCATATGGGCTGTGTTCAACAGTTTAAATGCAAACACGCAAATACAAGCAAAATAATAAATACAGAAGAAAACAGTAAAATTGGCTGAAGTACAGTACTGTGTATAGGTCTTACAGTCTAATCGGTATTACACCCACTTTTCAAAATTTCTGCATAATTCAGTTGTGAGTAGTTTGATGTGAAATGGTTTATTATAAAGAAACTCTCCCATTCAGATTTCTTAACAGTGGTGATGATAGTAACCAGTGAACATAATGTCTATAATGCAAATATTGCCATTTAATTTACTATCCAAAACATCCAGTGCACCTACACGTCATTTTTATGTGTAATGGTTATAATGGTTATAATGATAAAATAGAGGTCAACGTGAAATAATACAATTTTTTAGGGACTACTTTGCCTTATAATGCTCTGCATGTATTTCTCCACCATGAATATGTTTAGAAAAATAGATTTTTAGGCCAATAGCTTATCTGAAAACTACAGTAGAAGCAGTGTATTCAAAACCATTTCTTGTAATAACTGTCTGTGATGAAGCTTTTAGAGGCAATAAACTCTTCAGACATCTGGTTCCTATCACCACCACTGTGAATCATTCTCTGTACATTTCTCCAGAATTTCACATCAAACCACCCTGAAACACTTTGTTTACATTTTCATGATTTTATTATGTGATTTTTTTTTTTTTTTAATCAGTGGAATATATTTAGTATTTAGTATTATATCTTTAATATTATTTGCATTTTATATATAATTTTCAAGGTACCTAAAACTCAGCAAACAGTAAGCGGATAATTATTGTGAAATACTCACCAGAATATCTAAAAATAAGCTTCACTTTATCATGAAGATGCAAACCGTTCCCGTCAGTTCAGAATTACTGCTGTGTAGAACTCCTGAATGAGTGTAAATGTTTCTGAAAATGAACAACCAGAAACGAAGCCTGATTCCTGTTGTCATGTAAAGGAACTACGTTCGTTACTGCGTTTGTTCCTTTTTTCCCTTCCTCTTGTTTTCGTACTGTCTTTTTTTCACAAGCGTTGAAAAAAAACACATTCAGACACAACAAAGAAAAATATTTTCCACTACGTCGAATCTCCTCTTCCTCTACCAGTAAAATCAGTAAAATATGTCACCTTTCATCAGCAGCTTCTTGACAAACGTTTTGCTGTACCTGAAGAAAATGGCGGCTCAGCAGCACTAAACTTTCACTTTCAGTATTAAAGGAGGAAATCGGTGAACTGTCTCTGCGAAACACAAATATGATTCAGTTGAATTCCATCTGGAATTATACACCGTCACAGAAACCACAGAATGTGAAGTATTGATGCTTTGAGACTAGAGTGTGAGCAAGAGATTCTGCTTATTTACTATGACATTATTTCCTGATTATAGAAAGTGCCACATTCTTCACGTTCACACGTAACGCGAACGTGTAACAGGAAAAAAAAACACTCTAGGAATGTGAAAATGTGCTTTATTGCGCTTTACCAATACCTCACATTCTACAGTCTCTGTACAACGTCTAATGCCAGATTGTGTGACAGTCCGTTATTTTATGTCAGGGTCCTAAATCCGGCTTTACACCAAACGACTTTTCAAGCGATTTCACTGTCGCAGACAAATTTGCAGTGTCGGAATAAAATCATGAGAGGCTTGCTGGAGTTAACTCGATCGTTTAGTGTGAGGTGGTCAGAACGGCCGTCTTAAATCAGTCTTTTTCTCCTCTTGACGCTGCGACAAAAGCAACCACGTTTAATATTATCGTAAGTTTCTTGGCTCATGCAAATGGTGATGTGCCAGTGCGAGCGGGCAAGCGCATGCGCGGGCCGTGGTCGAGAGAGAGAGAGAGGGAGAGAGAGAGAGAGAGAGAGAGAGAGAGAGAGAGAGAGAGAGAGAGCAAGGGAGAAAATGGATGTGTCAGTGCCTGAAATCTCTGTAAAAAATGGCAAATAATCTGCTCCGCTTTAAAACAACAATCATATTAACTTAAAAATTGTTAACTGCCTGTTTTAGTATTTCAGGTTCACTGAGTGTAACATTGATGTAAGGAAATGCGCAGAGAACTTTAAGAATGGCTTTACTGAAGAATCATCAATGTTTTTTTCACTTGCTGCCTGTTACACTGATTTCTTATTTCGTTTCTTATAGTTTAGTTCATGACACCCAATCAACAATGCTGAATCGCTGCATGTTTGTTGATGTGTAAATCTTTATGTTAAATAAAAAAGTAACTGCACATTTTACAGGTTAGTTAAAAAAATTCTGGGTGATGATCTGCCAGAGTATATAATGCCACAGTGAACTGTGCTGAGCCCCAGATCTTTACATGCTCAACCAACGTATTTTCCCATCTGTATCACTATATAGTGGAAGGAAAGGGTTTATCTGCTTGTAAATTTCCACCAGGTGCATGATGGGAAATAGACTCAAAACTCTAGCTGCAGTCTTGCAAATAGTGACCCTACAAGATCCTCAATCTTAGCAAAATAATAGTCTGTGACTAAAAACTGTGACATTGTCTTCAGATGTGAAAGGGGGGCCGGTTTTAGTCTTTCAAAAGTCTTTACAAATTCTTCTCAAAGTCTTCTAGTGTATGGTTAGCATACATGTAATTTCTTCAGGCCTTTTCTCAGTCAAGATGTAAGGCCACAGCCAATGCTGGAATTCCCAGTGTGTTTTAGTTGGTTACTGTGAGCTTATGTATAAACTCACAAACATAAGCACAATAACAATCACAGAAACTATATGATATAAATCTTTGTCCTTTAGTAGTAATATTAAATTTTGATTTCATATAGCCAACTCAGGAATATTTTCAAATTTTGACTGTTCACAAATAAAAAAGGAATCAATAAACAACTTATTTACTCTTGCTTTTTCAAAACTGAAATTAAATTAATTTAAATTACATAGAATTGAATTTGTCTATTTTAAGATAGACGTTAGAACTCTGAATTCATGTACTCTACACCATTAGAATGAATAGTGGCAATTAAGGTATTTTGTGAAGCCAAGGGTCTCTTCCTCTCCCTCTCCCCTCCCCACCTCTTTCTGACTTGCTCTCTTGCATCTCAAGTCATTCAACTTCTGCAGCACTGAAGGAGCCGCACAAAAGGTATGTATATATTTCTCTTTCTAAGATGTTTAAGGTTAGAGACGGAGTGAGAGTTTGTAAAATGCCTTATATTAAGGTCATTAAGTTCAGGTGCAGAGTTTAAACCTTAATGCTGTTAATTTCTCAAAACAGATTTGGTTGGAACTTCATAACAACTAAAACTAAAACTCATGAATGATCACACTTTAATGGCTTTCATTCACCTGCTCATTTTTGAAACTTGCAACTTAACTCACATTGACCAATGTCCTGCTACATAGAAAATAGAACACATTTTTAAGTGTTTTAACTTAGTTGTTCCATAAGAAGTTGCCTATTGTGTGGATATGCAGGATGAAAGATCCACAGTTCTGCCCAGCCACATTCACTCTACTGAGAAATGTGTTACCTTGGTGTTATAGTAGACAAGGAAAGTGATTCAGGCCAGGAGTCTCACTCAAACCCAGACCACCTTTCACATACATGCCACTAATACTGCATTCTACTTTATCGTGTAAACTTTGCTGCACTTCACTTAGATACTTTTATACTTTTAGATACTTTATGCAATTATTATGTTTGCTAGCAGCCGCAGAGCTGAGCTATACTAGCATTAATCACTAACACAAGTGATGTTTCATGTTTTAAACCTTAACCTGGAAGTGCCTTCCTTGCGAGTTTCTTTGTAAGGGTCTTTCTCCTCTTCACTCTCTCCTTTTTAGCTCTTTTTTTCTCTTCCTTCTGTCTCTGCAGCTCAGGTAAATATATTGTCTGTAAACATAGAAGAAAATCAGCGAATGACTCATCTGCACTGAGAGTAAAAATTACCTCACATAACCTTCTACAGGACACAGAACAGCTATCATGTTGTGACTTATTATGATGTACCATGAATGTTGTAATAATTTCCCTGAAATGTTAAAGGATAAATATTTTAGTATTCCAGCCACAGTGTTTATGGAGTTAATTTTTTGGCAAAAGTTTCAAATAAATATATAATAAGATAATAAGAATTACATTTTCCAAAGATATTCAGTTTATTTACTCCTTTTTTTGGCTAGCATTTTGCCAGGTCTTGCTTTTGTTTTTTTTTTCTAGGAGCGTATTTTGCGATTTTGCATTTGGAAACTCACTTCTGCTTCTCAAACTTTCTTTTGCTTCTGAATTTTGTGAGGTGGGAGGGTCTTAGAAGAAGGTGTTGACCTTAACCCCCAAATGGCCAGGCCCTGTCAGCAGGCCCAAGATTTTATTACATACTTTTATTACATCATATGTAAAGAAAGACTGCAGAAGCAAAACCAAAATAACATGTTTGCAATCTTGCGGTCTCTTTCTACCACAACCTTGGAGCCTTATGGGACGTCATTTTTGTGCAGTATTTTACCCTTGAAAATGGCTTTTTTTAAGGACAAATTTTCTGTTTCTTACTTAGAAACAGTTCACCGACATCCATGTTGTGCTCATTTTTGCTTATAGATGCACCTGATGAAGTCTGTGGCCATCCTGTGGCTGACAGCAGTGCTGCTTTTGTTGCCCACACTCACGCAATGTGGGAAGTGCCCTCGTGTCTGCACCTGTGACAGCAAAAAGCTCACTGTATCATGCACGGGGAAGAACCTCACCCAGGTCCCGGCCACCATTGATGAGGTTCTTTTCACTGTTCTCTCACCATCTCACCAGCCACTTTATTAGAAAGCCCTACCTTGTGTTTCCACTCTCTGCCCACTTTAAGTGCTCCAGTTATCTTATACGTCGACTATATTGATGTGCTCTAATTGTACATATGCTAATTATGCTCTAATTATACATTAGCAAGATGGAGCTACAAGCTGGGGGTTTCTAATAAAGTGGCCACCATCTTTGACACACCACATGGCCAAAAATATGTGAACATCCCTTCTTAATGGGTGTTTCAGTCTCCGCCATTGTTAACAGGTGCATTAAAATAAGTATACATCCAGCCGACCTCTATATGATGAACACTGGCAGTAGAGATAGCCCAGATACAATACCAGTATCAGTACTGGACTGATATCGTCAGAATCTGCTCAGTTGCTGGTGGGAAGATGAATGAATCATATTCAATTCTGTAACAAGTGTAGCTTGAAATAGAACAAACATTGCGAGCTCTTGTATTTAGTGAAGTTTTAGTTCTGAATTATTAGCAAAGGCTTCTTTTTGTTTTGTATAATCAGAGTACATTGTTCCAGAAGATCTCTGATTTGTGTAAATACTTCTCTTTTAGCAGGGAACTCAAGTGTTACAACACGGAGACAGCTTCTTCACCTTCACCACAGTTGTAACTTGTTCCAAGAAATCTTCCCAGCCAATTGTAACATTTTTCATAATGCTAACAGACACAGTTTGCACAAGAACATGTTTTGCAGCATTAATATTGTAGCCTCGGCACAGAGGAAAAGAAGCAGAGTCTGCCATTTTCTGTTCAGGGAAAATGCTCTTTATTGACCAGCAGAACAGAAACTACTCACACATGGGGGAATAGGGGAAGGTCACCAACACCCAAACACCACACAAAGAGGGTAAACATTTCATCACACTAGTTAACCTATAACAGTACATGATAAACCCAAAACAAACTGCATGCACATTTCAGCTTAACAATCAACAACATTTACCCACTTTATTTAAACTAAGTAAAGGCTGTGGAGAGATGGACAGCATTATGTGAGTCCTCTACATGCTCTCTCTGCTCTCCCTGTTGGCCCAAACCTTAGGTTCAGTGGTGGCGCCACAATATCTAGAACTTGATTTATTTTTTATGTAACCTTTACATACACACCGATCAGGCATAGCAGTATGACCACCTACTTGTTTCTATGCTCATTGTGCATTTTATCAGCTCCACTTACTATATAGATGCAGTAGTTCTACAAATACAGACTGTAGTCCATCTGTTTCTCTGCAACATTGTTAGCCCTCTTTTACCCTGTTCTTCAGTGGTCAGGACCCCCATGGACCCTCACAGAGCAGTTACTATTTGGGTGGTGGATCATTCTCAGCACTGCAGTAACACTGAGGTTGTGGTGGTGTGTTAGTGTGTGTTGCGCTGGTCTGAGTGGATCAGACACAGCAGTGCAGCTGGAGTTTTAAAACACCTCAGTGTCACTGCTGGACTGAGAATAGTCCACCAACCAAAAATATCCAGCCAACAGCGTCCTGTGACCACTGATGAAGGACTAGAGGATGACCAACACAAACTGTGCAGCAGCAGATTAGCTATCGTCTCTGACTCTACAAGGTGGACTGACAAGGTAGGAGTGTCTAATAGAGTGGACAGTGAGTGGACACAGTGTTTAAAAACTCCAGCAGCACTGCTTTGTCTGATCCACTCGTACCAGCACAACACACACTAACACACCACCACCATGTCAGTGTTACTGCAGTGCTGAGAATGATCCACCACCCAAATAGTAACTGCTCTGTGAGGGTCCATGGGGGTCCTGACCACTGAAGAACAGGGTAAAAGGGGGCTGACAAAGTATGCAGAGAAACAGATGGACTACAGTTTGTAATTGTAGAACTACAAAGTGCACCTATATACAGTAGTAAGTGGAGCTGATAAAATGGACAATAAGCATAGAAATAAGGAGGTGGTCATAATGTTATGCCTGATCGGTGTAAATATGAGTATGCTTATGAATTCATACATTTTAAAGTGGACATATACACTGGAAGTATAATAAATAACAAAAACAAAAGTGTCTGAACACTTGATTTCCCTCGCTGTAACCAATTTAAAGCTCAATAGTTGGTCAAATTTCTGCTGCGCTAATTAACTGTAGGTACTATTAATGTGAAGTGGAAACATCTAGGAGCAACAGCAGCTTAGCTGCAAATTGGTAGCTTACACAAGTTCATAGAATGGTGCCACAGAGTGCTGAAGCACAAAGGTTTTTGAATGAGATGTTCAGCAAGCCCTAATGGATGTGTATGTTAGGGGGTCCACTTACATTTGGCCACAAAGTGCAGATAAGGAATTCTCTCAATACCAGCCTCTTAATGATCACAGTCTCATCACAGATAACAGTGAAGTTGGATTTGAAGAGGAACAACCTGGGGGAGTTGGTGCGGGGAGAGTTCACACACACACCATACCTCACACACCTGGGCCTGCAGGGCTGCAGAATACACTCCATACAAGAGGGAACCTTCAGGGGTCTCTCACGCCTCGTTCAACTCGACCTCACCAACAACAACATTGAGATCCTTCCCCAGGTACGCATCTATGAAGGTGTTAAGGTGTATGTGCTATATGTTTTTTCTTCTACATGTACACTATTGTTGATAAGTTTGGAATCACTGTTCAAAAGTTTGGAATCAGTGTTTTCAACAATATAAAACCAATCTGGTTTCAGATAAATGTATAATATGAATTCACTATGCTAATCCTGTGCAATTTTTTAGATTTTAATCAATTATCTGAAAGCTAGGAAGCTGTAAAAATTAAGAAATTCTAGATGTGTCCAAAATGATACACAGCTTTAGGTAATACTAAAAATGTCTATGAAAGCTGTAAAGCATAGGAAATTAAATTAGAATAAAAATAATTTTTTTTATTATAATTTATACCACTTTATTTAGTCTAGTGTGTGTTTGTCTAGTTCCACTTACAAATCAAAAAACTGCATCTCTCTCTCTCTCTCTCTGTCTTTCTCTGTCATTATTGCCTTGTCTCTCTCTCCTTCTTTCTCTAGGAGTCATTTGATGGCCTGTCATCGCTGAAGCAGTTGTTCCTGGATCGGAATCGTATTGATGAGATCAGACCAGGGGCATTTTCTCAACTGGGATCACTGAGCCTCCTGTCTCTCACCCATAACCAGCTCATTTATATCCCCAATATGGCCTTTCAAGTATGTACTCCAATACTTCCACAAATCTACCAGTACACTTCATTCAAAGCTTCTTACAAAAGTGGTGCATAGCTGCAAAGTGCAGCCTAAAATCAGTCCTGGTTTATAGGCTGGTTTATTCAGATATTGGTCTCCAAAACAAAGAAATTGTGAGATATTTGTGTGTTTTCTTTGGTGACATTCCCAAAAATATTTACCCCTTGAACCCTACGCTCATTTCTTCATCCCTCAGACCCCTTACATTTTGTTATATTATCTATATATGTATTTCTTGCTGTAACATTAAAGTGACATCTCTACCTCTTTCTGTCTCTCAGGGCCTGTTGAATCTACAGTCGTTGCGTCTGAACCATAACTCTCTTAATAATCTTGAGACTGAGGCCTTTGCCAGCCTTCTCTCCCTCACCCACCTCAGTCTCAGTCACAACGAGCTTCAGTTCTTCCCCACTATCACCATGACCAGGTAACTCTTCTCAATATGACCATCTATATCCTGCCATGACCAGGTAATTTCTCCCACTATGACCAGTCATAACCTGCCATGACCAGGTAACTCCACCCACTATGACCTGTTATCTCCTACCCTGATCAGGTAACTCCTCCCATTATAAACAGATCAGGTAAATTCCCCTATCATGACCAGGGAACTCCTCCCAGCTTGACCAGGTAACTCCTCCCACAATGACCAGTTATCTCCAGTCATGATTAAGTAACTTCTCTTGGCACGTTCAAATAAATTTCCCCACAATGACCAGGAAACTCCTCCCACCATGACCATGTAACTCCCCCTTCTATAATCAGGGTACTCCTCCCACCATGATTAACTAACTCCTGCCACAATGACCAGGTAACTCATCCCTGCATTATCAGGTAACTCCTGCAACCACGATCAGGTAACTTCTCCTGCTATGACCAGGTAACTCCTTCCACCATTACAATGTAACTGGACCCTCCATTACTAGTTAATTTCTCCCACCATGAATATGTAACTTCTCCCACTATGAGTAGATAAGTCCTTTCACTATGATTAGGTAAGTCCTCTTGCCATGATCAGGTAAATCCTCCCACCCCAATTAGGAAACTCTTTCCACTGTGACCAAGTAACTACTCCCACAATGATCTGGTAACGCCTCCCAGAATGATTAGGTAAATCCTCCCACCATGATTAAGTAACTCCTTCAACTGTGACCAGGTAACTCCTCCCACAATGATCAGGTAAAACCTTTCACCATGAGTGAGTAACTCCTAACCCAAGAGCAGATGAGTCTTTGCACCATGATCAAATAAGCTCTCCCACTGTGACCAGGTAACTCTCACAATGACCAGGTAACTCCTCCCACAATAACCAAGTAACTCCCACCAGGACCAGGTAACTATTTCCACAAATACTGGGTAACTCATCCTACCATGATCAGACAACTCCCACCATGACCAGGTAACTCCTTCCACAAAGACTGGGTAACTCATCCTGCCATGATCAGGTAACTCCCACCAGGACCAGGTAACTATTTCCACAAAGACTGAGTAACTCATCCTGCCATGATCAGGTAACTCCCACCAGGACCAGGTAACTATTTCCACAAAGACTGAGTAACTCATCCTGCCATGATCAGGTAAATCCCACCAGGACCAGGTAACTCCTCCCACAGTGACCTGATAACTGCTGAATTAATTCTGAATCACACTTAAATATTTAAATTGAATTTTGGTGAAATTAGAGATTTCAAAATGCATCAAAAAAACTCTTAAAGTATTGTAATAAAATGAAATCCATTATGTGGATATATAAGATAAGATAATGTTCTTCACTTCCTCTCTCTCACTGTCTCTATCTGTCTTTCTCTCTTGCTGTTTCTCTCAGACTAGTGGGGCTAACCCATCTGGATTTGAGCTTTAACCCCATGACATTCCTGGGTGAGATGAGTGTGTCAATGCCCAAACTCACGCACCTGTCTATGGCGCACATGGCCCTGCAGGATGTGTCTGCAGCAGCACTGTCTCTCTCTCCACTCCTGTCTCGCCTGGACCTGAGTCATAACCAGCTACACTACCTCCAACCATTGATAGGAACTGGACAGCTCCAGACCATCAACCTCACCGGTAACAACACAACATACATTTCTTAATACTTACAGTACCACACACCAAATTACTGTTGGTTGGTGACTGATACAGGCTGCTTATTCAGTAGAGGTAGGCTTAATGTTACAATCATTTAAGCACAGTGTGATATAGAAGTTAAAATGTCATTGACAATTTTACTGTTAACTTGGTAGGCCACATTGCTTGGCTGAATTCATGTGGTACCAGAGAACATTCTAGGTGGTAATATGTCACAAATGGTAAACTCCAGTTTTTCAAGAAACTTGCCCAGGTTTACTACTAGTTTTGACTTTGTTCGTTATTCATGCAGCTTCCTTGTGGGAATCTGAATATCGACTGACTGAAAATGAAACTGTGCTGGAAATGTTCTGCTTTACTGAAACATGGTGTTGCATCTGGTTTTAAACCACAATTAGAGAGGAAGCCTGAGAGAAACAAAACCTGAGAGAAGAGAGCTGCTATATGAAATTAGAAAGCAGAGCAATATAAAATTTAAATGTATTCACGACTATGAGTTGTGGGTATTTCAGCTGGGTATTCCACATACTGTAATAAAAGCATCCAAAAAACTAAAAGATATACATATATTTACACCACTATGTGCATACTGTATAATTGGTAGCCACATCATTGGATACATCAATCAAATTTGATCATTACCCAGTATTAGGAACTGTCATTAAAGTAGGCCAAAACATCCCATTATACACATACTAAAAATGATGTAATTTCACTATAGTGTTAACTAGTAGACTAGCTATTTTATCTAAATTATGTGGTTCCCACCACTAAGTAACTAAGTAATTTCTTACACTCTTAGCAGGTAACCCCTATGACTGGGTAACACTTTCCACCATGAGCAGGTACCACCACCTCCACTGTTGAAGATTTTGTAAAACAAGTTAACTGATTGTTTTCTGACACATTCAAACACAGTTATTTCACATTCATTCAGCTCTTCTTTTGGCTCTGGAGAAACTCTGAGAACACTTGAATTGTGCATTGTGACAATTCGGCGCTTTTTCTTTTTCTCCGCTTCATTTTTTTTCCTAGCATAAGGCCACTATTTCTTTAAGCTACACTACGTACGTTTTGGGGATTTGGAGACCTCTTTGGTGGAACTATGTAATTGCATGCAACTTGAGGAAGAGCATTTTGTAATGTTGTCGTGCTTCGGATGAATCTGATTTTTAAGAAGTTCTTTAGAATATTAAAAGAGAACCAAAGAATGTGTCTGCCAAGGATGTAAGTGAATACTATTGTCATCATATGTTCTTCAGTATAATGTTGATTTAGCATTAGAGACCTAAACATCGAACCATATCTTCGTTTTTAGTCTGTGCTTATGATATTAATACGTAAAGCTGTATGATGAGGCTTGAAAAACTCCTACAAAGTCTGGCTTGACACCTCTGAGTTTTAAATTATTATTTCAGGCTTTACACATGACTTGCATCAGCGCACACGCACCATATTTTAGAGTGTTTTTTCTTCTGATTCAGTAATGCTACTCCTTTCATCTTACATAGTGCGTGCTTTAAAAACCTCAGCTCCTCCAGTCTTACGTCACTGTATGTTTGGTGCTGACTACAACAAAAACTGAAAAAGACTGCTACAACAATAGCTTTTGTAAATTTCTTTTTATTTTAGCTAATCCGGTGCGGTGTACATGCATGCTGCTGGACCTACGCGTCTGGGCACGGGATGGCGGGGTCAAACTCCAAGGAAACTGCGCTGGACCACCGCACCTTTCAGACGAGCCACTAGAGGGTGTGCTGGAGCAGGACCTGCGCTGCAGGAGACGGGATGGAGGGATGAAAGAGGAGGAAGAGGAGGAAGAGAGGACTGTGACCATTACTGAGCCAAAGAGGAAGGACAACTGCCCTGAGAACTGCCTGTGTGAGGTGAGGGTGTGAGTGAGAGGGAAAGAGAGAATGTGAGGCTTTCAGTGGGAGACAGCATGAAGATATGGGCCTCTCCTGAATGGTGCCTGAAGTCGAGTTCTCGAGGGTGCTAGATTTAAACGTGTGCGTTTGGTACTCACGCAAAGGACTATAGATTTAATATAACAAATTAAGTAAAGAAATAATCCTTTTTAATGATATGATCTGATTAATTTAGCAAAAGTTGTTCAGATTTGTGTGGAGGCAAGCATATTAACCAAAAGAATATATAAAATTTAAGATATGGACAGTTGCCTCATTCTGCAGGCCCCAGTGACCAATGGAAATGTTTAATTCATATAATCAAATAAACTAACATGAATATTAGATTGACTAGGACGCTGTTGGCTCTCTGTATGTGAAAAGTTGTGGCTCTATGTAGGGCTGCTAGTGAGCAATGATGGGGTGAAAGGGGAGGGCTTCTGTAACCCCCCCCCTTTTCTTAACATAAAAAAACAGTACCATTTAAACACAATAAAGATACTTTTATAAATGATAACCTGCTTGATCACCAATGAAGATGAAAATCTAGTTTGTTTCCCGTTTAGTAAATCACATTTCCATGCACATTTCTAAATATATTCTGTCAGTGTTATTGAAGGAAATATATGCATAGAGCAAAGACCGTGGGACCCCCAAAGCAAGCAGGAAATGCATTTTTTGACTACTGCAAAAAGAAGTCAATGGGTTAAAATAGCTCATTTGTTAATGTATAGCTCTACAGTGGCAGCTCATTGGCAAGATAAATGACCTGATTAGCTTCTTTTCTGCCATTTTGGTCAGACAGCTGTAAATAGACCCCAGTGCTCTGATTGGTCCTAGCCAGTATTTCACAAAATTTAGGGTGAGAAATCACTGCTGAGTTCACCCTGATGTGGTCTTTGCTAAGGCCTGCACTAAAAGCAAATAGTGGGCACTTGTAAGTGCCCCTTATAACACCAAAACAAGAAATAGAAAAGGTGGAAAAACAGTTAAGTAATTGTACTTTACTACTATACTATAGGTAACTGTACTTTTAGTATAGATATTATTTTGGAAGTACTTATATTATAAAAGTATTATAAAAATATTAAACGTGTACTTTTACTCATTTACCTTTTTTTTTACATTACACATAAAACATATTTTTAAGGCACATTTTTAAAGCACATAAAGCAGGGAACTGGGAGGCAAAATTAGTACCCAAATAAAAATTGTTTTTTAACTTTACCACTGTTCCTAACATTTCATGTAAACTCAGAAGACACGTAGTTTCACTGGTTGTTTTTGATAGTAAATAAAAAATATTTGCATTGTAGATATCGTAAATCCTGGTTCCTATCAACACCCCTGTAAAGAAATCTGAGTGGTTAACCATATCACATCAGAGTATTCATTCTGAATAATTTTGTTTACACCTGAATTTTGCAGAAATTTCGAAAAATCTGTGGAAATCCCCTTTAATGTCAAGTGTAAACAGGGACAAAAAGACTCGCTTGAGTGGTTTCTGACTCTGTATTACACCCTGTTGTCTATATAAATGGACAAAAGTACAGACAATACTCAGGCTTTTTATAAATACAGTGTCAGAAAACACATAAGCAAGTCTACTGTGCAAATTAGATGTTTCTCTAAACTTTCAGTAGCACCATGAATCATGCTTTTTTGTTTCTCTATCTCTCTTTCTATGCTTTATTTCTCTCTCTATCTGTCTTTCTCTCTCTTTCCACTAGCCTGAGGCTCAGCATGTGTCTTGTGAAGATCGTGGCCACACCAAAGTCCCCCGTGGTTTCCCCAACAGCACCCACTTGCTGGACCTGCGTGGCAACCACTTCCACTATATCCCTGGCAACAGCTTCCGTGGTATCCCTGAGGTAGTGTCCCTGCACTTGGATGGCTGTAAGATCCATGAAGTTGAGGCTGGAGCTTTCCGTGGGTTGAAGGGGCTCATGTACCTCTACCTGTCAAACAACGAGCTCTCTTCTCTGGACAAGGAGGCCTTTGCTGGAGCGCAGCAGCTCATGTACCTCCACCTGGATGGAAATAAACTCACCCACTTCCCCTCTGCAGCTACGCTAGCACACATTCCGAAACTACTAGAACTGCACCTGGAGAGAAACCTCATTGCTAAGCTGGAGCCAGCAGGGCTTCTCCAACCAATCCCCATGCTCCGAGGACTCTACCTTACCAATAACAGCATCTCCACTGTCTCAGCAAAGGCTTTAGACCCTGCCACAAACCTCGAGGTCCTACATCTAGGAGCCAATCAGCTTACAGATGTGCCAAATGGTTTGTTAGGCCATGCCCCTCTGTTGGCTGAGCTCCATCTCTCAAGGAATCCAATTCGCTGGATTGGTCCAAAGGCATTTCAGGCGGTGGGAGGGAGTCTGAAGCATCTGTACCTGGATGGGCAGGGGCTGAAGAAGGTAGGGTGCATATGTGACACACAGCTGAATATAGTCTTTTTCAAATGGTGTAAAAAAAAACTAAAGGCATTACAAGGAGTTTGTAGACCAATGAGCCAGTTCCAGAAACAGCCTTGCATGCCTGAGCTATGATACTGCCACCTCCATGCTTCACAGATTAAGTAGTGTGCTTAGTATCATTTGTAGTCCATCTCCACATTTTGTTCTTCCGGTCACTTTGATAGATTTATCTTGACCTCGTCTATCCACAAAATGCTGCCCCAGAACTGTTCTGGCTCATTTTGTGAATTTCAATGATGAGAGGTGTGAGACTTGTAGTTTGGCTATTGTAGTCATTCTAATCTTCTGCAAATTACATGTTTTGACATGTTCACCCCTGCATTCTGTAGACTGTCTTCTAATTCTTTGGATGTTATTTTGATGATGCTGTGTCATGCTCATCTTTTGATCTTGAATACAGTTTTTTAAATATATATAAAAAACATTATTCCAATATTTATGCTTCTCACTGTAGCTGAGTCAGGAGGCTCTGGCTGGATTGGGTTCATCTCTACAGTCTCTTGCTCTGGAGGACAATCAGCTGGAGCAGCTGCCTGACCTTTCACCTCTGACTGGACTGCGACACCTCACACTGGACCACAACCCTCTAATGTGTGACTGCAATCTTCTGCTGCTCTGCAGGTTAGGCACACATACTGGGCCATTTCTAAACATTTGGGGACCACCAGTCATGTTATATTCATTCATTGTGTCATAAATGCTAAGTTATGCACAAAAAATGATATATACGGATAGTCAAATCTTGGAAACTATGTTGTCTATTTAATGAAGTAATTAGATATTGAATAAAAAAAATATATATTTGGGTACCCAAATTCAGCATAGGTACTCAGATACAGTCCACTTCAACTGGCGGTGCCTAGCAACACTAAAATTGCTAAAATAACCCACACTGGCTCTCTCTCTCTCTCTCTTTCTCTTTCTCTGTCTCAGATGGATGGAGCAGACTGGTCTGATTATGTCTGCAACGTGTGGCTACCCTGCTGAGCTTCATGGTCAGAGTGTCAGAGAAGTGGACATCTTTAAGAACTGTAGCACTGAGAAACCTCATGCCATCACCAACTCCACCAGCCTTATCAAGACCCCAAAGTCCTCCAAATCCATGCTCACACTACTGAATGGAGCCACAACTAAGCCTTCCAACACAAAAAAATCCAAACCTAAACCAACCAAGAACAAGCCAAGGGTGAAACCATCAGTAACTGAACCCAACAGGCCCCTAAAATCAGCTCTGAAAACCGCACAGAGAAAGAACAAGAAGAGACAATGATTCCAAAGGACAAAAAGTCTTTCTTAAGATTCATACTCAGCTGTCACTGTGTCTTAAGATGTCTTAAGATGTCTTGACAGTATTTATAAGATGTCTTGAGACATTTTTTTATGCCAAGACGTCTCAAGAACGTCTTAAGACGTATGAGTGAAGACATTGTCTTTGTCTTGAGACATGAAAGTTAACGTCTTAAGACAAAGAAGTAATTATTTTGTGTGTCTTGAAGACGAGGCATGACTTAAGACATCGCTCTGTCTTAAGACATAGAGATGTTGTGTCTTAAGACAGTTCAGTTGAGACCAAAGAGTGGTCCATTACAAAAAGTCCTGTGGTATGAGTGTGGTATTCCTGTGATACTGCCAAACTGAAAATTACTACTGAGGATTACCAGGATTACCACAGCACTGCCCAATGTACAATATAATGAGAATATAACTATATAAGAGAGAATATAAGTATGTCCTCAAGAAACAGCCTCCTGTAATGTTACGGTTTTTGTGTGATATTACTAAAAGAACATTCACTAAGGTTTTACTTGCTGTACTTTTGTGATTCTTTTTTTTTGTATGTTTTGTTTTTTGATTATTGCAGAAATGTGTTTACAGTGGCAAAATAGCAAAAGAAAAAACCAATTCTTAAACCATTTACGTTACCTTAAAATGTTTAAACTCATTTCCTTATATCATTGAAGTTCATGGTAGAATAACTTTTAATTTGTAACATTTACCAAAGGAGATAATCACAGTCAGTCACAGCCTTTTGCTCATTTGCAGAAAACATGCTATGATTAAAACAACATTGATCTATTTTCAAATGTACAACTGTAACCAGAGACAACAAGCTAGGAACCAAGATAAAACAACTTTGAGCTAATAGGAAGTAAATGTACTTAACAGCTAACCTGAGTACTTTAGAGATCACATACCACCAAAACTTAATGCAAAAAAAAGCACTTGGTTCCCTCTCTTCAACATCTACACTTCTGTTTATTTTCTTAAGCAGATCAGGGCTGCCCAAAGTTAGACTTAGAAAACACGAACAATAATAAACAAATGTATTTAAGTAGTAATATATAAAGATCTATATTGTTTCACCACGTAAAATTACATAATAAACAGATTTTTGTTTAAATGTCCAACTTCATACTTTGACTTTAATATATTAAGACATGGCCTCCAGTGATGCTGTATGATAATGCTGCACAGCTGTCGTATGTATTTCAAGGGTTTGCAGTTTTCTACTCTGTGTCTAGATTAAAAAAACAAACAAACAAAAACAAAGCAGCACAGTTCATTCAGTACAGCAGAGCCGTGCGAACCAGAAAAAAAGCTCTATGGGAGGACAAACAAAAGACTGGCGGGAGTTTAGACCAATCAGAGCGCGGGACTCCGCCGCTTGGACGTTCGGTTTTGAAGCGCGAGCGCTCTCCGCCGTTCCTCCGTTTAAAGCCAAACGCGGCCGTTACAGTGAGCGGGTCTCTCAGGTCGCTACCGCGGGCTATCGAGTTTGTTTAGCGAGTGTTAAACCTGATAAGACTCTCTTACACTCCTTACTAAGACAGCGCCGCCTGTCGGGTGACGCTTTCAGCTCCCAGAAACGAGGATTTTCAGCTGCGTAGCTGACTAACGATAACTACTGACTGGACCGAGTGGAGTGGAGACTGGTTTTACGACTGGAGTCCCGACTGCAGCGGTCACTCTGCTTTTAAAAGGTGAGTAGTGACAAAATGAGATGAGCAGCCTCACTGACAGTCAGCTGGAGTAAAATTTTGTTTCTGTATTTCTGGGTTGATCTGCCGAGTGAAGACACCGGCGGTAGGTTAGCGTATGTAGTTAGCTAGCTAGCGGCTAAGCGGCGTGTCTGTTTACGCCTCGCGGCTGCGTCAGATCTCGCTTAGCACGCGCTCCAAATGAAAGACTGCCTCAGAAATAAACCTAAGACTGAACACAGTGCAGCAGGGTCAGCACACTGATCGCAGCGCAGCAGGGTCAGCGCACTGAACAATACAACAATGAAACTGAACATAGTCCGTCAGTCTGTGTAGTTCAGAGAGGGTAGTAATGATTTTAATTTGTTCAGTTACATTTACTCTAGTAACGTCTTGGTGGATTTGTACTTTCTAGAGTATTTTTAAAATGTATTATCTGTGCTTTAGATTAATAATCTATGTTTTACTCGGCTACATTTATTAGTAATATATAATGACCAGTTTGTTTTGTGTTTTTCATTGTTATCAAATCAAATCAAATCAAATTTATTTGTATAGCGCTTTTTACAACTGATGTTGTCACAAAGCAGCTTCACAGAAATCCGTTTAGAACAAAGTTTCAACATAAAATGTAAATCCTCCAGGTGAGCAAGCCAGGGGCGACAGTGGCAAGGAAAAACTCCCTCAGAGCTGAGGAAGAAACCTTGGGAGGAACCAAGGCTCACATGGGGGGACCCATCCTCCTCTGGTCAAACTACGTACAAAATTATTATTCTACTAATATTAATAGTAGTAGTAGTAATAGTTAGGAGGTAGTAATAGTTAGGAGACTTCAGTGTAGAGTGGGCAGCCAGTCCAAGGCAGGTGGCGGTGACTGGGTTGTGGGTAACTGGTCTGAAGCGGGTAGCCGGAGAGCTCTACAAACAATCATCCAGCAGTGTCCGGCCGGACAGGTGGGCAGTCGTTTTCTCGGAAGAAAGGTAGGGAAATGGAGTTAGTTTAGTTCTGTATGGGTGTATGTATAGTAGTATGTAAAACATTTCCAGAGTGTGGCTAACGACTCTGGCAGATCTGACTATAACAGCTTAACTAAAAGGAGCGAACCAAAAGGGCACACAGACACGGGAGCACCCTGAAACAATTTGGCATCCCTCCGCTCCACTGTCCACAAACCTGAGTGATCGCGTGCGAGCGGCGGGACGACAGCACCAGTCTCAGTTTACTATAATTCCCTGCGTCCACGGACCCCTGGATCTGCTGCCTTTATCCAAGGGGAAACATTAGCTACCAAAAGCTAAACTAAACAAGTGAGTTTTCAGCCTAGATTTGAATATTGCGACTGAGTCTGAGTCCCGAACATTTTCTGGAAGATCATTCCAGAGTTTGGGGGCTTTATAAGAAAAGGCTCTTCCCCCAGATGAAACCTTCTGAATTCTGGGAACTATTAAAAAGCCAGCACTCTGTGATCTGAGTAATCGTGGTGGCTCGTAATGGGAAATAAGGTCTTGCAGGTACTCAGGAGCGAGCCCATGTAGGACTTTATACGTCAATAAAAGAATTTTGTAATCAATACGGAATTTAACAGGCAGCCAATGGAGTGATGATAGAACTGGACTGATATGATCAAATTTTCTAGCTTTAGTGAGAACCCTGGCTGCAGCATTTTGAACTAGTTGAAGTTTACTTAAATTCCTGCTGGTGCATCCTGACAGTAATGCGTTACAGTAATCTAGCCTTGAGGTAATAAAGGCATGTACTAAGGTTTCTGCATCGTGCAGCGATAAGGCATTTCTTATTCTGGCGATATTGCGAAGATGTACAAAAGCTGTCCTAGTGATACTGCCTATGTGTTGATCGAATAATAAATCTGGATCGAGTATTACACCAAGATTTTTTGCTGCTGAACCTGGTATAACTGGAAAGTCAGCAAGATGTAAAGTTAAATCTGATAATTTATTTCTTGCCACATCTGATAATTTATTTCTTGTTATGCCTTACTGTTGTTGTTTTGCTGCATTTACCTCATGTGTCTGTTTTGTTTTAGATGTTTCTCATCAGAAATCATCTGAAGCTGAGCAACTGGTGAGACTCAAGTTTTAATTTTTTAAATGAAACTATAAGAATGTCAGACAGATGTTTAGATTTGGTGGGTATTTCAAACAAATATAATTCATGAAGTATTTATGGTAATACAGAAGAGCAGAATGTTTAGGTAAAGCCGGGTTACAGTATTCAAATATCTGCGCTTTGTTCATTCAATTTATTAATGTTATTTGCCATTACAGCTGTGTTCAAAATATCGATATGGCAATATCACCAACACTGTGTCAATATTTATGAATTTACTTCTTCACAGTGCTTTAATGTGTAATACTGCAAGTCTCAGAGCCCTACAATTTATAGCATAAAGCATGTGGTAAACATGCTCTAATGGAGTTCAGCTCTTATTAATAATCATTTCATGTAATAGTTCTCTGTGAGAGATTAGAGGCATTGAACTCTTCAAACATCTGGTTCTTGTCACTGCCACTATGAACAACTCTGACTCTGTAAGTTTTTCCACAGTGGAACATTTTGTGTCAAACTATTTTTTTTGCATCTTAATGATGAAATTGTGCTTAAAAATCATGTAATTCTCCTTTAACACAGCTTTTAACAGATACAGATATCAGTACTAAGCTCACACCTGCCTCAATAGCAAATGATCATTTCTGTCACGTGTTGACTGAGGCATGTTAGAGGATGAAAACAATAGAATTGTGAATTATCTAATCAACTTTGTTGTTTTCAATCCTTCCCAAGGAACATCCTCTCTTTGGGCCTCATCCAGTATGGTGGCAGTCCATATCATTTTCAACACTCAACTGTGCTCTTACACAAGTGGCCTCATCCTGATGCTTCTTTCATTACACTGAACATCATTGTCTGAACATCAGCTATGCGTGTGAGCTGGGTGCCACACTGGAGTTCATGCATAGGTATTATTTAAAGCCTTGTCACATTTCTTTGTGTACTAAATGCCTGAGTTGATTTTAGATGAGTGAAATTATGTATACTGTACATTATATTCTACTTATAAAGGGAATATATAATGCTTTCCCTTTTATTTACTGTGTTATGTAGCTTTTTGTGCATGTAAGATACAAAGCTGAAAGTATATACCAGAGGGAGAAACTCTTTCCCACAGAAACCACTTTTCTCAGCTGCCTGAGGGCTGGAGTTCCCCAGCCCTTTTCCTTTGTTACAAGATGATATAATCCCATAACACAATTCTTATTGCCCACCTACCAGCGAGCTCGGCACGCCCTCACACAACGCAACGCATCTACCGGAGGCCATGTATTGGCGGAACCGCTCTGGTGCTTGATCAGTCAGAGCCAAGTGAGCGAGCTAACTAATCTGAGCATACTGGGCTCATCAGGAAGGAGGGGCTTAAAGACACTGGATCTCTAACAGAGCGTTTCAGACAGAGGGTGAGTAAACAATTACAGTATGAGAAAAATAATGTGTTTCTGGAACACTGAAGCATGTAAATGTATTATAGTCGTAATAAATTTATGAACATTGGAAATTAGCATAACAGGTCCCATTTAAATTCAGCCTGCTTGTGTATGCAGATCCAAAAGTAATTTCAAATTTATTGTCTTAAAATTGATTTTTTAACAGATGCATTTTCCTCATATCTCTGACAAAGAAGACCAACACTGAGAAAAAACAGAGGAAGAAGCGATGGGCTGTGAATCTGACAGTTCTCTCACTCATCACGGATTTAACTCTGAAAGGAGAGATCGGTAACATTAGCAGTGCGATATCAGTAATGTTAGTGTTCAGGCATTACGGCATGGACATATGCACACTGAGTTATCTGTGTCCTGTTTCCTGTGTCCACATATGTCCACAGCTTGACTCTATTCCAGCTACCAGCACATCTGAGTCTGGTATTAATTGTTTGATAGCTGATCATTATCTGGCTCAGGTATGTTATGAGTACTGCTGGGGTTCAGACCTCTGTATTACTCTGTTGGTCAGTTTTTCTTTTTAGTCCATATTAATTTGTCTTAAAATTGTTTCCTATCATTTATAATTGTTCATAGTACTATGTTGTTAATAACCTCAGCATAACTTATATACGGAGTAACAGCAGACCTTAAAATCAGATTCATTGGTTTGTGGAACTGTGTATTTATTGCAGTATATTTCATATTTCTACACAAAGTCAGTTAACTTGTTTTTCTCCGTCTGTAGAACATATCAAGTGTGATGACGCTATTGTACTGTGCATATACACAGTTGTAAAAACAATAAACAATAACTGTAATCTATATTTTTTGAAAGCTATGTGGGTGCTTTTCCATGGGCTATGCTTTGGATTGCAGAGTAAATTATTTGAATATAGAAGTATTCTGAATTTTTAACAGATTAACAAGGAAATACAAAACTGTAAAATAGTGATTTTCCATACCCCTTTAAATTACTTTACTGTAATTTATGCATACTTATTATTGTTCTTGTTCTCCTTATTATTATTATTTTAAAAGTTGATAAAATGATACCTTCATTAAAAAATGAAGCAACGGTAAAATAGTATGTAAAAAAAATTATTTAACACATTTTACCACATTTTTAAAACATTAAGGGTTAATTACTATAAAAAGGTATTTAAAAGCACTGAATTAAATTTTTAAATTTTGCTGCAACGCTGTATTACAAAATAGTTGCATAAGAGTCTTCCCTCATACTACCACCATGTTGAAGGCATGGTATGAACTCACAAATAAACTTTCATCATATCACTGATTCCATAAACGTTTCTAATGCAACAGAAACATTTAAAGGAGAATTCCACATTTTTCTAAACTTGGCATAATTCTGTCATTGCGATGTAAACAAAATCATTTAGTGGTTTCATATAAAATGGCTTATTGTAGAGAAAGCTACCGACTGGGAACGATGTGCCTATTATTATTATTATTACTTTTGTTGTTAAATTTGTTCTGAAATGTATAAATGTAGTATGTACTAATGTATGTAATGCTTGTATGTTTATAAAATGATATGCAATATATTAAAATAAATGATACCATTATGCATCCTACATAGAACAAAAAAATGAAAAAAAAAATTACTATAATTTTAGCTATAAATAATGTTACATTTTAAAATTCCCTTAAAATATTTAAAAGTAAAAGATTTATTTAAAAAAATGTAGGTAAAATTTAAAAATACGTATTATACATCCTACATCTTGAGACGTCTTGCGATGTTATTATTGCCAAGACATCTTAAGATCCGTGTCTATAGACATGTCTTAAAGACATGTCTTCATGTCTTAAGACATGCCTCAAGATGTCCTAAGACGTCTTCATAATGTGTCTTTAGACATGTCTTAAGACATCTCAAGACATGGTGATGGCTGGGTATTGTCTCAGGAGAAAGCTTCTCTTACTGTCAAGACATCTTAAGACATCTTAAGACACAGTGACAGCTGAGTATGTACTGTATTGATGATGGATCGCTGATTACTGAATTCATTTAGCCGTAAACCGCACTTAGTAGAAAAAAAGGAGATTAGTGTAATCTAACATAATCATAATCTTAAAATAAGCATTTCATTCAGTTCAGAGATGAAGAAGAGAGCAATAAAAAGAAAATGATGAGATTATAGACGTCTTGTATGTCAGCTGAGACTGGGGTGAAATGAGTCAGATACAAAAGAGTGAAAACATCTGTAAGAGAAAAGTGAGAAGGTTTCTCAGAGCTGAAAAGAAACAGAAGACGTCTTCAGTCTAACTGTTCTCTTGTCTGCTGTAGAGCTTTTTCACTACAGCAGTAGTACAATACAATAACTGTTTATTCTGCAAGGACACTGAATGTTGACTGCCGTCATGGCTGCTACTATTGGTGTATTTTGTTATAAATATGTTCTTTTATGACTTTTATTGAAGCATAAAGTAGTAATGTATATAATGTACTGAATTTAAAAATTGTGATGATCAATATGTCCCTTGTAAGACACTGTTCTAAGTTTAGTACTGTACTAACTCAGTGACCTAGAAATACTTCTTTGCTAAACTAAATTTTAACAAACAGTTTTACGATCTGTTAAAATAAAAAAAATAAATAAAATTCGTCAATATTTTTTTATATTTTTCTGAAAATGATTTTTCACACTATTAAAGTAAACATAATATTGGGAGACAACAAAATTTATCCCTGATAAACTGCCCAATAGGGAGTTTGTCCCCATTTGCTGCAGTAACAGTCTCTACCTTCTGGGCTTACACTAAACGTTGGAACATTGCTGTGAGGATTCACTACGTTTGAAGGAGTGTCTATATACTTTTGGACATATAGCGCAGTTTTCCCCCATCTTGATTAAGCCTAGTCATTGTTTATATGTTCCTGTCCATTGAGAATCTCCATTTAAGTGGCTTAATTCCTGCTTTGGAAACCGGTGTTATGCCGAATTTCGACTCCCCAACAGCGACGCACAGCGTATTAATAAACATAAAAAGACAAAGATAATGAAGCCATATGTAACCATATCAAGAGACAATTTGAAGTATGGTGTTAGGTGGTTCCATGGTGTAATGGTTAGCACTCTGGACTCTGAATCCAGCGATCCGAGTTCAAATCTCGGTGGAACCTAACTAATTTCACTTTTTTCTTCCTCGTTTCTTTACAAAATTGAAACACACAGTAATATATTCTATAACGTTTTTCAGTTAGAATACGAGCAAAGCTAGTGTGCGGGAAGTGAGCCAGAGAGAATTTGAGAAAATATTTTTAAATCTATATCTTTTAAAAGAACACACCCAGACTGGCGGTATCGTCAGATCTAGAGCTGGTTAGATCCACTCTTTAACTTGGTCATCGCCCTCCTCGCGAGATTTCAGCGGAGAAACATGGCGGCTGCAATGGACGTAGACACCCCGAGTGGGACAAACAGTGGAGCCAGTAAGAAGCGCTTCGAGGTGAAAAAGGTAAAAAATACCGAATAAAGAAACGAGGGACCGTGAACAGTTTTTTTCTAATGGACAAATTACCGAGCAGCGGTAGCGGTATGTTCAGCCGATTAGTGATCCTTGTTCCTTCCTGCCGGCTGAATGCGTTAGCGTCAGCGTTAGCCTAGCTTCTCCATTATATGTCAATGTGTTAGCGTTAGCCGCTCTTTTCTGTACTAAGACGTTAGCGTTAGCGTTAGCATTAGCTTTTTAGCGTGAGTTTGCACTGTTTTTTCTCTTCCAAAGCCTAATTTATGAAGGATATTTGTTCGTTGATGTTGTCAAACTGACACCTGTTCTGTAATACTGATAAAACTCTGTAATATGAACCCACACCAGACTTTTCCAGAACTGTTGGGATTAACTGTTTCTTAAAGCAGGTTAAATCCTGGACGATTAGGTGGCGCCGCATCATTTAACTACGCGTTAGACATTATTCCAGTGCTTCAAATGTGTTTTGTAAATTTGTCAGTTTTAGATCTTCGAAATACATATCTGAAGATTAACCTGGGTTTATTATGTGCACATTTTGTGTTTGCTTGTATGGTTGACTATTAGTTTCCTTCGGGATCAGTGCAGTAGTTTATTCACTTGGGACAATGCACTTAAAAGAAACATTTCTGTAAATGTAACAGTTTAGCCAGTTTGGGTAATTTTCAGTTGTAGTCCTTGGGCTACCTGTCTGTCTATCTAAATGGCTGCCTGTCTTTCTACATAATCCTCCGATTTCTCATTCATTCAGGATCATTTTGTGTTTTTCTCCACTGTTGGACATAGCCGTACTGTCCATCCAACATTGCGGCCTAACAACCAAAAATCTCTCATCTTCATGCTGCTTTTGACTTCTTTAGGTTAGCGTGACACCGATTTACAGTCTGTACTGTTTTGGGTGTCATTTGTCTTTGCCGGTTCAATTTAAAGGAGAATTCCACAGAGATTTTAAAAGTTCAGCATAATTTAATTATTACGATGTGCGAGGACTAACGTTAATGTAAAATACTCCATTTAAGAGAAACTTTACAAATCAGAATTGTTCGAAATAGGATTGATTGGAATCAGACGTCTAAAGCTTTTAATGCTAGAAGCTACCTCACATATAATGGTTACACTGGGATTTTCTTTTATGATAGTTTTGAGGTGAGGCTTTGGCCTTTTAAACGAATTAACATTGGAAAGGTTATTGTATGGCGAAGTAGTGCCTAAAGGAAACTTATTTTTTCAGGTTTACCACTATTGTACCGCTATCAACATTACATATGAAAACCCAGCAGACATGTGTAGGTTAACAGGTTTTGGGTAATCAATAAAATAGCTAGATTTGAATTGCAGACATAGGGCCTGCTGGTTCCTATCACCACCAATGTAAAGAAAACCTGAGTCTTTAAATTTCTCTAGAATACAAGGTTTCACATCAGGCCACTCTGAATGACTTCGATCACGTATCAGTGGTTGAATTATGCAGAATTTTGCAACATGAATGGAATTCCTTGAGATCTAACCTGTGTATTTGTCAGTTTGAGTAGTGTTAACATGTCTCTCTCTGATGTAGTGGAATGCAGTGGCTCTCTGGGCCTGGGATATTGTGGTGGATAATTGTGCCATCTGCAGAAATCACATTATGGACCTCTGTAAGTACTCGCTCACCCTTCATTGTATTATTTATTTATTTATTTTTGTCTCCTTGCAACTTGGGTATAGTAGTTTGGTGGGCAAGATAAAGGAATGTTACATTTTAACATGAATACTGTCCAGTTTCTTTATCACAGATGATTATTTTAACCATTTTTTTCTGTTTGCATCTCTTTGCATCTCTGTTAAACAAACAGTATTCAATGTATTCAGGTATCCTGGTGGGAATATTTTATTGTAGAAGAAAACATAGAAGATTAAACATGCCATTTTTATTTGAAATAGGCACACAGTTTTCTTTTGGCAAAAAGTGAGCACCTACATCTTGAGCACATACGTGAATATTGTATTAATAGACTCTATCACTGGCTAATCTGTTTCTCTTGGTTTGTTGCAGGTATAGAGTGCCAGGCCAACCAGGCTTCAGCTACATCAGAGGAGTGCACAGTGGCCTGGGGAGTGTGTAATGTAAGGCTCTTTTCACACATTTGTCCTGTTTGTTTCTTTTATGATATTGTATCTTTTTCATGTGTTTTGTTTCTTTACACTTTGCCATGACTAAAGAGCACTAAATTATACATGTGATTTGTCAGAAGTTTGACAGGAATACAATTCACATTTGCTACCATAAGAGTCAAATTGATAAAATCAAGATATGCCTTCATAAAATGTATAACTATACCTATTATGTTGCATGAAAATGGCGATGTTTCATGTCTAGAAGTATCGCAAGGCAATCAAAGGAAACCTTATTTGATCTATGCTTCTTTCTGATTGATTGGTTTAATTGTCAGTTTGAATTTAAACAGTTTGCCGATGCATTGCCCAACCTATTAAAAATACTGCTGACAAAGTTGAATGTTTTGCCAGCAGATTATGCTGCAAGAACGATGTATGAATCTGTAAGGAGTCAAATGGACTACAGTCTAGTAGCACAAAGAGAAGTACATTGAAAAACATTTCATTATTATTAAAAAACAAACTGGATTTACTGTGAATCTTTTAATTGAGAAGGTATTCATGTCATATGAGAAGGCTTTGAGTGACGAATACTTTGGCCCAATCCCATTTCTTATTTTTACCCCTACCCCTTGTTTGTCACCTTGCCCCTTGGAACTAAGTTACAAGGGGTAATTGTAGGAATTTTCCCTACGAAATGGGACAACCCTCAAAAACAAAAAAAACAAACAAAAAAAAAAAAAACACATAATTTACAGGCTATTAGCAGTGCTCTGTAGGCGACCCTGCCAGTTTGCAGTGATAGCAGAGGAGCGGTAAAGTTCAGCCACCTGGCTGCTGGTCTTTCGTTAAATTTAAGGAATCATATGCCTTCGAAGAGGGGGGGATGCGGATGCGATAATTATGTATTATTGCCCACCCCAAATTCTTTGGTGATATGAAGCTGAAGTCAGCTATTTGCCAGCTTCTTGTCGGAATTTTCCCGTTCGATTTTAAATGGAGCAGCAGTTACGTTCTCGTGCTTCACCCGTATCTAAAAAAAAAACGGGACACCCTACCACTAGGCATGAACGTGCAAAACTAAGGGCTAAGTGGTAGGGGCAAGAAGTGAAATGGGATTGGGCCTTCTTCTGATGAACTAAAGCTAAAGCTCACACTGGCGCTATTCAGTGCAGTGTTTTGCTGAGGAGGACATGTATTATACACAACTAATTTACTGCCAGTGCCATTCTCACTGCACATTTGTTTTGTTTTTCTGTTACTTAGAGAAAGTAGAGCTCAGAGATTGTTGATAAGCAAGAATGGGTTGAGAGTCATGTCAACCATTGTTTTTTAAATGGTCAACTGACTTAAAATTGTTAAGTAGTGCATAAACAAAAGGAGGGTTTAATTTGTCACCTGTCCAGCCAAAGTCTTCAGATGTATTGCTAGAAGTAAATTAATGAACAGACTACATCTGTCTACGCCAGTGGTTACCCACCCTGGTCCTGAAGATCTACCTTCTTGCAGAGTCTTGTTACAACCATAGTCTGCCCCACCTGCTGATTAATTTCTTCAGAAGTGATTGATTGGCTGGATCAGATACATAAGGTGAGGAAGAGTCATAGTAGATGCAGGTTGAAACAAAACTGCAGGAAAGTAGATGTCCAGGAGGAGAGTTGTTTAAGCAAGGTACTAGTGTGCTTAATGCAGTTCATTTAAACAGTAGGGTCTGTCAACTATAGAGAGTCAGAGACATTATAATGAACAAGTGACAGTTCTGACATAGGCCCTGATGACTCTAAAACATTTATGCCAGGGGAACTCAGTCCTGCCTCCTGAAGATCTACCACCTTGTGGAGTTTAGGTCGAGACCTAATCTAACACACCTGATCCAGTTAATGAGGGTCTTCAGGGACATCTGAACATTAGAGCTATGTGTGTTGGATCTGAACTCTCCAGGACCAGGGTTGAACACTCCTGATTTACGCAATGCTATGTGGTGCTTTTTAGGGTTCTGGAGTGAACCAAATTTTGGCTATACCTGATATTTACACTGAGCACCTTCTTGTGCCTGTCATTATATTGACTTATAATTCTGCTGTTCATTGAAGTTATATAACATACTTATTGTGTATTTAAATTATGTATTTAAAAGTTTCAATATCTGGGGGAAAAAATAAAGGAAAAAAATCCCCCAATCACCAATTCTGTTTGTCTGTTCTCTTTCAGCACGCGTTTCATTTCCACTGCATCTCCCGCTGGCTGAAGACGAGGCAGGTGTGCCCTCTGGATAACAGGGAATGGGAGTTTCAGAAGTGAGTGACTTCTCTTCTTTAAAGTACACTGTCCTACAGTTTTAGCCAAACTACACTGCATGGATGTCCTAGAGGGTTTTTACTAGTGCTGTGTGGTATTAACCAATCTCAGTATCACAATATTCTCCAAATATATCACAGTATCAGATAAGTCAAACTTGTTAATGTTTACAATACTATACAAGAAACAAAGCATGGAAACTTGGTGAATCTGAATCACCCAGGATATGACACAATCCAGTACAGTAAGTTTTTATCTTTTAATACTGCTAAAACCAAAAATCAGTATTGTGCAACAAAATTAGCAGTATAGGTGAGATTTAACACTCAGCACTGATACACTGGTCTGTCTATCAGCATTAGAGTTAGTGTGACTGACTGTCTTCCAATATATTTTCCAACACTGACATATACTTTGCTGCTGGGCTCTGATTCCAGCTGTGTCATACGCTGTATGTGGCAAGGGCCTTGTGAGTAACACTTTACAGGAGCTAGCACAGTAGCAAGCAGTACATAAACAGTGTGTAATCTGTTACTGTTTTGAATCTTCCTGATGTTCTGCTCTGGTTCTGATTTCAGGTATGGGCACTAAACACCAGGATCAGCTAGAACTTTCTCAGCTGATTGCTTCACCATGTTCAACAGTCTGTGTTTATTCAGCACTTTGCTTTTTGCTGAAAATCTGCCTGCATGTTAACTGCGCAGAGTAGTTTTAAGTTAGCTTAAAAGGTTGTTTTTGATAAGTTGATCGAGAATTGTTGTAAATTATAAATAAAAGTGTCTGTTCATCATTCCTGTTGAGCATTACCTGTCAGTCTATGTGGTTTATTTTTCAAATGCTTGTTTACCTTATCTTAAAGTGCATACACTGATCAGGCATAACATTTATGACCACCTCCTTGTTTCTGTGCTCACTGTCCATTTTATCAGCTCCACTTACTATATAGGTGCACTTTGTAGTTCTACAATTACAGACTGTAGTCCATCTGTTTGTCTGCATACTTTGTTAGCCCCCTTTTTACCCGGTTCTTCAGTGGTTTGTTGGTTTCAGAACAGAACATCTTAACACGGACCTCCACGGCTGGAATATGAGTCTTTATGACTAACATCCACAAATTAACATGCATGTTAGCATAATTTATCTCAGTGTCTGTTCTGAACATGCTGAGACTAAACATGCCCAAACTTTTTGTACTGGGGCGAAAGCACAGCATTTGTGGTGGGAAGGCCAAAAAGACAAATAAGTGTACAAATAAAGAAGGCAGGTAAGATTAAATATATTTTGTAACAGAAATACATTTTTCAGAGGACAATAAGAATTCAATTAGTGTTACATAAAAACACTGTGCTCTAATTGGTTGAGGGGGTGGGGTAACTTTCTGCCAGGCCAAATCAAAGCTTACCATTAAAGATCCACCAGAGTGCTCCTCCATTCCTTGATGGAATGCTCATTAAGAATAAACTCCCTTGTTTATTTTTATTAATTTAATATATTTTACTTTAAAAAGACAGGACATTTAACTTCTGTGGGCAAATATTTTCAAAATATGTAAGCCTTTTTTGTTCAGAAAGATTTACAGCTTATTTATCTATGTAAATAAATAGCCAATGACCATACAATTTTAAATTATCATTAATAGTTAAGCATTTAAAGATAACCATTGTCACCATTCACTTGTGTTAAGTTTGTTTATCCAGAAAAAAGCAAGAAATTTGATGTAACTGGACCTTTTCAAGTTTTAGTTGAATAACGCTGAGACAAAATAGTGAAATTAATAGCAGAACAAAATAGAGTAACACTTTAATGTAGGGGGACATTAGAATGCCCTTGTAATTCTTTATAGGCTTTATCAAGCCAAATATTTATCAATCACCTGGCTGCTCATTACTATGTAATTAAGCAATAACGAGTTAAGCATTTTCTAGAGCACTTCTGTGTTCTGTTTGTGAGTTGTTGTGACACTGCAAATGAGCTGCTAGTGAGACCCCCTGCTGTGAATATTCATACCTCACCACAAAGATGGCTAAAATAAAACCGATAGCTTTCTTGATATAAAAATGCGTACACTGCCACAGTAAAACAATTTTACAAACAAGAAAAACACTGTTATAAATGTTGACTTTCTTGCTTTAGTTCAGTTCTTGTTTTCATAATATATTCCCTTTACATTAATGAAGAAAAATATGCATAGTACAACTGACGGACTTCATCCACAAAATGCAGAAACTGCATTTTATAGCTACTGCGAAAACATGCTAAAGCAGCACTTTTTCATATCATGGGTTGTATAATTTTCCTCATGTTATGTTCGGTCTTACCTGGTATTGATAGGATGCTTGAAAAACTGATACTTAAAACCCACAGACATTACTGCAACCAAAACCTTTATTGATTGACATTGTTCAACTCCATTTGAGATGCTCATCCTCCTTGATTTGAAGGACAAACACCTTTATCATTTGATTCTCTTCTTTTTTTTGCTTTTAAGAGAGAATAACAGAAAAATAAGAGATCTAGATTACAATGCGGGTAAAGAGAAAACTTTAACAAAGACCTGAGGATGAAAAGGGGTGTGAAATCTCATCAGAAATTACTGTTTCGCCTCTGAAAATCAAAAAGAAACCATTATAGTCAGCCCAGTTCAGCAGAGGAATACAGTGTTATACACGTACGGTGTGTATAAGACCAATTTGAAACCAGTTCTCTTTCCCATGACCCTATAATCCAATAATAGCTGTGAGAACCAGAGAAATCATTTAACAGTCCAATGCATTAATATTTAACAGGTTTATTTTCTGTATATGCAGTTTCAGTAACTCAATCAGTGACTGGACCATGTCAAACACACCTGTGCTGTCTTTGCACCAGCGTATCAGTTTGAGACTTACATCAGTTGCCTTTTATATGTCCTGATGTTCAATCCAGTTCAAGCTCCGCCCACAAATGCATTCTTTCACAGCAACTGCTGCTAGGTTGGACAAGCATTACAGATGGCAAGAATCTCATAATGAGAAACTGTAGCACACAACTATAACTACAGTTTATCAAAATACATTGAGCACATACTACATTAAGAGTACATATTAGTTTCAAGTCGTTGTAAAATCAAGCTAATATTAGGCAGTAAATTTGTTGCTCTTTCTGACTTGCTTACTTTTGAATAGCTACAATAATATAGTCCATCTTGTTAGTGTAGCATTTAAACTGAAGAGTCAACATTATGTAAACAAACACTGTAGCAGTTCATTGTCAATAATTTACACATTTTAACAAAAGAGTACAATAATACGTGCTACAATGTCCCATAAGGTTTTTTGCCAACGCTTTGCAAGCATAGCTAAGAACGAACACATTTATAGGTGAAGCATGGATAGATCAAGTCTATTTGAATCTACTATATTTACTCTGCTGAAGTAAAACAAGGGTCTGTGACAGTGGTTCCCAACTCTGCTCCTTGGACATGTTAGCATTTAACCAGGTCTGACACACCCACTTCAACTCATGTTAATTAGCTGATTAGTTTGATTTGGGGGATATTTTACAAAGCAGAATTTCAGAACTGGGAAACACCGGACTAGTAGAAGTTTAGGATTGGGATTAGGCCTAGACTGGACACTGTGATTGAGATTTGAAGAATCCTGCCGTGACTGGGCCTTCGGCTGCCCCTCAGTGCTAGTGGAGGTATAATGTTATAAAAATGTTCCAGGATCAGTGTGGATTAACACCAAAGTCCTTTCCTACTGTCGTTCCAATGCTTCTACACAGACTTCTCCATCCTAACACACCCGCTCCGCTGCACATAAGGATTGGATTGGTATTAAGCAAGACGGCAGTAACTCCACTTCAACCATGACCTCACCTATCCAGTCAGTCTCTTAGAAGATCAGCAAAAAGGAAGAAAATAAGCCATGAGAGAGAGATATAGAGAGAGAGCTCTGCCTCAGAGCACTGCAAACAACCCCTCACCTATTCACTCATTCAAAACACACACCCCACCCATCCCACTCCTCTGCTTTTAGCTCTCTAAGGCTGTGGGCCGCTGAACTTAGAGCTGAGTTTGTTGATAAGAGCCATGATTTTGGGGTTGCTCTGGTACTTGGCGATGTTGGCTGGGTTCTGAGCCACATCTTGGAATGCTGCCATCACTTCAGGGTCCTGAATGTACACAGACATAACAGTTGAGGACTTGGGAATACTGTCAATAATGTGTAATTTACTTCACCACTTTGGAAACAACCTTTAGTAAACATAGAGGTGGGAATATGGCAAAAAGATATTTTCACAATATTCAATTAACCAAGGCTAATCATGCACTCTTTATGATGAAACAGAGATGGCCTGTTTTTTTTAAGTATTGATGACATTCATAATTTATTTATTAAACCATATAATGTTAGTAGATATTGTCATACTGTCCACTCCTAGTACATATTCTATGTATCTCAATTTTATTAGTGGTTTGGAATTCATGGACAGCCAAAATTCATGCTTAAAGATGGCTGCTAATACTATTTTCAATTATGCAACATATATTTTCTAATATTCATAGAAACAGTAGGTTTTACATAGTCAGAAACAACGCAAGTCTACACATACTAGACACAACCTAATTTGAGGCAAGTGTATGATGATTTAAGCATGCAGTTTGCAGAGTACTAGCTGGTGGGGTATAAGTAGGACTGAGCATCAAATTTCAATAACTATATGATACAGAGCTAATTACTTCTATACTATTGAGCACTGAAACATTGTCATTCAACACCAAATTTCAATATCTTTCAAATTTCAAAGTCTTAGTATCTGTGAAATCTGAACTGCTGATTGGCTGCCTAAAGTATAGTCAAGAAGTATGCTATTAATAGCAGTGCTTCTCAATATACATGGACATTACATTAACGTTTACATTGCAGTAGCCCCATAGCGCTGGTGCAAAACTTGAAAAAAGGCGACTTCAGATGCCCAACATGTCTTGGCTGATCTTCTATATTAGGGGGAAATTATTAATTGTCTTATTGTGGTGTCTTATTGTCTAAATTAATCAACAATTTTTCTTCAACCTGAAACTCCTCATTTTAAAAAAAAAAGCTATCTGAACTGATAAATGTTCCTAAAAATGTTAAAATGTATATCATTGGTCTGCAAACTCCTTACCTTCATGGCCATCAGCACTTCAGGGTCGTTAAAGAGCTCCTGCAGGCCGGGCATCCCAAATGGAGCGCCTCCAGGGAAACCAGCGCCACCTACAGAATGATGATGAGCCATGAACTTAACATTGGTTTGCCACCGTTTAATATCTAGCTGAAAATCTCACTCCCAGACAAAGAAGATATTCCAGAAAACATGAGTACCTGGGAATCCTCCGTGTGCTCCACCTGCCTGCTCCCTGGCTTCCTGCTCCTACACACACACACACACACACACACACTTGCATTAGCTAGACTGTACATTTCTAGATCAATTTCTATAGATTTCTTGTTTCACTCCTATGTCTCTTACCCTCTGTGCTCTCTCATGCTCTTCTCTCGCTTTTTTCACTCTTTCTTTCCTGTCTCTGATCTCTCTCTCCTCTCGTTTGCGCTGATATTTACGCCGGTGCTCCAGGATCTTGTTGGCCTGTGAGGACACACGTCAAGTTAGCTCAGTCCACAGACATACGCACACACACAGATTTTAATCTGGGAGGAAATTCAGGTCAACGTAAGAATGGAGGAACTTGGGTGTAAAAAATAAAAGTAAACAAACACTGGGGCTAGTTTTTCCTGAGAACCAATGTCAGGTAAGACTGGTTCTAGACCAAATGACAGTTCCAGTATTGGTGATAACAATTACTCAAAAATATAATTATGAACATTTATACTATGGCTTCTATATTTTAAATATATTCATGGGAATTACTCGGAAAACCATTAACTTAAATGTGCGGATGGCATTTTTCACATAGAAGCAAATACAGTTGTATTTAAAGCTAATTAACCAGTTGTTGTACAGTAGTTAGCTAGTGAATGTATGTAATTCTGTGACAGCATGAGCTGCTCAATGTTCAATAGCCTGCTAAATGTGTCTAATTAACTGACAAATCACTCACAGTGCGTTTACATGCACTGTGCACAACCATGCGTAATTATCCATACAGACTTTACTTCTTTTTGAATCTCTAGCCATATTTGTTCTTTTTCTTTCTGCTCACATGGGTATGACACTACAAGTTAGCTGCTGCCCTCTTCAGGTTAAGTCATTAAATCACTCTACACCTTTTTTAGGAAAAAAAGGTTCTGTACAGGTATATTACCGTTCAAGTTACAGACCCTCAAAGGTACAACTGTGTAACATCAATAAGTTTCAGGGCGAAAGTACATATTTGTACTTTTTCATAACTTGTTTTAAATGTTTTATGTTTTTTAATGTTTTAAAACAGAACAGTAAAATAAATAAATAAGGGGTTCACAGGGTGTGTGGAGTCAATACAGCTTAGAAAATAAAACTGCAATGCAATATGGTACCTTAAGTGTACCACCACAGTGACAGTTTAGTATCCTTTTTGAAATATTTGTTGACGATTTATTTGTCAACATTACCAATAATTGTTTCAGCCCTAATTTATACACTTTAAAAGTTAGCTAAGGTTGTATTGTATTTAATAACTGTATGTATGTGTGAGACAGGGTGTGCATGTACATACTTTGGGCTGAACTTCCTTCAGCATGGCACTGGCATCTTCATCATAGTCTAGTTTGCAGGCTGTAGCCAAATCTTTAGCTGCATCCTCCCAATGACCGAGCAACCTGAGACAGAGACAGACAGACAGAGAGAGAGAGAGAGAGAGAGAATATAAGAGAAAATGAGGTAACTTTCACCATAGCATTTTTATTTATATTTTATTCATCTTTAAGCTATTCTTTCTATATTGTGATTATGGTTTATCTACATATACAATTCCATATTTTATTTTTCTATGAACCATTTCTATGTTAAATACCACTTCACAGTGTGTGTACTGTTACAAAGTGTTTATGAATGGTTTAGAATTAGTTTATTCATTATTATTAGGTTATAGCACCTTAAAAAGCAGTTATGATACATTTATAAAGTGACCTGTTATATGTGATGAATGTGACATGTATAACGCTGACTGTTCATTTCAATTATTATTATTGTTATTATTATTTTATTATTATTATTATTATTATTATTACTAGATGGAGTAATAGTCAGGGTAGCCACACAAAATCAAAATTTATTACAATCAAATTCAGCGCTTTTTAATAACATTTACTCCTCTGCATAATAAAAATAACATTTCCACTGCAAAAAGCACACTTACATATAGCATGTATTACATATCTATTTCATGCTTTGAGACTGAACAATCCTTACAAGGTTCTTTCAGTTTGTTATCAGCTCTGCTGTCTTCTAGTCTTCTATCAGCAGTCAGTTTAGGCCTTAGCACCACTGCCGGCTGGATATTGCAATATACTTCAATATACACATGATCCAGTTTTCAATATGGTCTTTTGGTATCATCTTACAATTTAATTAGAGATTTCACAATTTGTTCGTTGCCTTTTTGATCTGCTAGTTAGGTAGGATTATGTTACTCTGCCAATTAATACTACAATGAACCGATTTGCATGATGTGACATTCTGGACTGATATGTTTTGTTTTTCACCCTGCTATTTCAAAATGAGTTTGACTTTTTTAGTTTGTTTAATATATGCTTATGTTCAAATTTGATTGATGTGATTATTTGTCTTCTAGTTACTTTAATATGCAGTTAAATCACTTCATTTTTTATCATACACTTTGAACTGATAGTTTTAGGTTTTATTGGACTTCTTATGTGAAAAAAACATCTTATAGGCTAGTGAATATGCTTCAGTTTCATACGGCTCTAATGCGCACACAGCAGCTAGTCCTTTGTCTCATCGTTGAACTCGCTAGCCAGAAATGGTGCACGTGGCTGGTGAAGTACTTTGGAATTTGACAGTAAAAAACTTTGCAGGAGTGTATTTGGTAAACGGTTTTGGGAGCGTGTTGGTTGCAGCAAGCGACAGAACACATTCTCTAGTCGCATGCTCACATTTTACACGGCCATGTTTAGACAAAATGCGGCTAGTTAAACACACTGAAAACGCTGGAGCTGCACATATTACACAGTTTGAGCTTCCTCTTTAAAACAGTTCAACACTGCAGACATTTAAACTGCTTTGTTACATTCTGAAAACACTCCTCACCACTGTAGGTTGAGAATGACATCTGTTTATGACGCCTCTATCACTGCAGATTAAACAGTGCAAAAACGAACTAGAAAAAAAACCCTTTTTTTCCCGATATCTGATCAAATAAAATATGCCTGGACCTCCTTAAATTAATATCTCTAATAGTCAAAAAATAATACATTTCCAGACGTTTTATAAACTCAAATTTTCATATATTGTAGACCTTTTTAAAGGATCCATTTTAACCTTGTTATCACTTTTTTTTTACTTTATATCTCCTGTTATAAGCTATACCTGCTATAACTGCTCTTCCTCACCTGTGGGCTTTCCCTCTCCACTTGTACGGTTGTGCTGAGTCTGGGTTGATGTCAATGGCTCTGTCACAGTCCCGGATTGCAGCGTTGGGCTTCTGCATCTTAATGTATACACTGAGATGCACAAACATAGACAAATTATCATCATATAACATTTATTATGAAATTAGGGTTGAGTATACTAGAAAGCATACTGATCAGGAAATAATTACAGTAGTTGAGAAAAAATGTATTAAACAGTGTACAGGCATTCAGCAGGATAACTGCAACTTAAAATAGTTAAAAAACAATATTACTCGTGTTGTGGTACTGGGCAGCATATCAGTTTAAATCCTTCGTCAGGTATGAGTTTTGTCATAACCCATACACTGGTACGCCACAAGTAAGCACAGGTGATGTAAAAGCAGTGCAGACCACATTAATGTTAGCCTGTTTATAGAGCAGCTGAGTCATGGATGTTTCAGCCATGCTTCAAATGAAAATGAAAACAGCAGCAGATCACCTCCTGCTGTTTAGCCTGTTGCATCTGAAGTAGTCCACTTTGTTTTCAAGGCAGTGGACATAAAGCGATAGCCAGTCTTTTGAGATTAGCCTTAATCTAACATGGACACCAGAGTGGTCACCACACTTCTGCTGCCTGAGAAGCAGCCTGATTTGGTCAGCTGTATCAGACAACTGCGGTGCCTTGTGCGCGAAGCAAACCATGGACCAGCTGAAACTGATAGTAAGACTGAGTGTAATATTTTCCAAATTCCAGCACTGTCTGACAGTCTTTAGGAATTTGACAAAGCCGAAGCTGAATTTGAATTTTTCATTCCACCTTAAATTATGTAGCAGTTGCATTTATGTGCCTGTGCAGGTACCAAAACCAAAATTCGTATGTGAAACAACATTTAACACCATTTGAACTAGTATTAGTAATGAATACTGACATGGGTTTATCTACATAACGTTCGGTTTTGTTTTTTAGTACTTTGCACAATAAAAATATTTCTGATGTGCTTAGCTGTTTGTTTTTATTAAAACACGAAGGGACATCCTAGAAAAATACTGAGAACAAAGCAGCCTCATACACCTAGTTGTAAAGTGACAGCAGGCAGTTGGCTGTTACCTGGCTCTCTTGGCATAGAGGATGGCTGATCTGGGGTTCAGTTTGATGGCTTCAGTGAACAAACCCAGAGCTTTCTGTAGCTCCCCTGCACAAACCAGCACACATGAACACAAACACACAGAACTGTACTTTACAATACATCCTGTGGATCACAATACAGTCAGTTTTCTTACTTTCTACTGCTACTGCATTCAAAGCGTTGTAAAATCAGGTTACTTTTTTACACTGAAACATAATCTGTATCTCCTACCCAAAACATGACGTGTGGAAGTTCAAACTGCAGCTTTACCTCCACCTACTGTTCCCTCACCTTCTCCCAGAGCTCCAATAGCCTCCACTTTCTTCTCATTGGCCTGGTCGATCATCTCATCTGTCACCTAAAAGCAGCATTACCTTCTATTTAAAGAGATCACTTTCACCAAACAAAAAACAATAGACTGTGTTATATTCCCCCCAATTTCCCCAGTAAATGAACAACTAGCCCAAACATCAAATTTACAGTTTCATTCCTTAACAATCAGTCAACGCATGTTTGGTCTCTGAAGTTTGCTTTTTTCAGTTCTGCACTACAGCTATGAGGCTAATGTAGCTAGCAAATAATAAAAGGTTATATCTTACAATTATCATAATGCAAACTACACACCTAAGTCATCAAACAGCTGTCTGAAGGCCTTACATCATATTACATAAAAATCAGTGATGAACCATGACTATTAGAGCTAAGACTTCAATTCCATAAATATCAAAACTCTGTCAAAAGCACTAAGCTAACAGTGATTCACAACATTTTTGGCAGTTCCAGATCAAACACAGACAACTGAAGCTTCCAAAACATATTCCATGTTTCAGTTGAAGTTTGTGACTCAGTACAGTGACTCAGTAGAGAGGCCTGGTATAGAGGCTGCTATAGCGTCATCTTTCATTTTTAACAACCCTTTGATTAGACTGCTCACGGTCACAAACTTATCTAGGACTTCCAGAAGGCCCAAAGTGATGTTTTTCTGACACAATTGGTCCTGCCTATTGGAAATCAAACTGTGATTGGTTGATTCTTCTGTCACTTCGTAATTATACTGGCAGTTACTCTAATGCAGGAAGCCTTCTCTTATCTCCCAATAGGAGAGTTTTCCTAGCTATATCTACCTAAATACCATGGAGAAAAATCTTGACAGGCCAGTTTTCTACTTGGCATTTAAAGAATTCAACCCTTTTGTTTTAATCCAGGAATTAACAATGAAACAAGAGTAACTGTGTAATACTTGCAGAGTTTAAATAGAAGCATTATTCTAGTGAAGATAAATGAATAAAAATTGCATAAATGTATTAGGCCTTCTCTGAAGGCCCTGAGTGTTCCTCTCTGTCAAAAATGGAAAAAAGTAAGACAAAATTCAGGCGTTAAACTGGCTACTACTAATGAAATTAGCCTCTCCTACATACCATTTTTAAATAGACAGCAGTTTTAGGAATAAATCTGAGGTTTAGAATATTCTATTAGTCATAAAAAGTAAAAAAAGAAAACTGAATAGTAAATAAGGATTTCTCACATGCAAATTAGCTTCTCTCCAAAGTTGTACGTTTTCAGCTCAGAAGCTGAGATAAGCTGCCTGAACTCTACTCTCCACCAGAGGGCAGTATAGAGCTAGCCATTTTGGTCAGAGTTTCTAATGGAGGTTAACATAGTTAGCTAACAAGTAATGGAAGCTTACGTTCTATCATTTATCATTGTGCAAACTACATGCTGAATTTAACATAATGGGGGAAAAAAAAGTCTGAAAACGTGGCCTGTGAAAAGGTTATAGCACATAACTTTCCAAATATGTTAAAGAGTCATTCAAACATCTGCATACAATTGTAAGCAAGTCTGTTTAGGATGACTGCACATCGCTTGAGGAAAGTGTATTATAATTTGGGCATGCAGTTTGCATTATGCTAAGCGGTGGAGCATAATCTATTACTTGTTAGCTACATTAGCCTAGTAGCTCCAGTGAAAATATATTAAGCAAACTTCAGATGCCAAACATGTCCTGACTGATTATCTAAACTTGGAGTAAAAAAATGGTACATATATTAACACAGTCACACACACAAACACAGAGATAGTTGTGTCCCAGAGAGTATTGACCCCGTGTGTGATTTACTGATCCACAGTGGTTCTGCTTCTAACGATGTGGAGTGATTACCTCCAGGTTTTCATAGTCTCCCATCTCCTGAACATCATCTGTGTCTGGCTCTATCACTCCTTCCATGTCAATCTCTGCAGGGAGACACAGTTTCATTTAACACAATCACAGCTGCGTTCTGTAAGTGCTAAACCGCTGAGGCTGATGCTCAGCCTCTCTGTGTGTATGACTATGAATCTACAGAGTGCATTTTCCTTCATCAAACTAAGAGAACATCTGACTGTAATGCTGCATTAAACTAAACTAGAGCTCATAATTCTGAATTTCCCTCCTCTGACTAACAAAATCCACAGAAAACACCTCATCTGAGAATTCCTATTCCTAAGCTTGGGAAAGTGTTATAAAATCAGCTTAAGCTCATGCTTGCATTGTAAAAAGCAACAAATTGCACACTGCATGCAAGAGGAACCACTAAAATAAAACACCTGATGCAGGTGCAGCATGAAATTTGTGCACTGACCCATTGAGCTTTACACTCTATAATATTAACCGTAAGATTCAAAGCTTTGAGAACATAAATGCAACACAAACTTTAACATTGTCTGTTAATGTCAGTTGGCTAGCTTGTTGCTAACAATGCTAGCTTTTGTGGAGGTCCACTTTTTTTCCCCTACTACTACAAAATAAATGTGCTGCTAATTTCTGATACCTTTCTTTAGCTACATTAGAAATCATCAATATTTAAAAAAAACAAAAAAACAGCAAATGGTTTAATTCAGATGAAGTGCAGTCAACAATGCTACAAGACAGCTTACTGAGGCATATACAAGTGCAACACTTTATGCGCACAACTTCCCAAATTTCACAGATTTTTAGCAGCAGCTCATGCCACAATAATGCGTGTCAAGAACTGAATGTTAAAACAGGCCAACTACACAGACATTACACTCCTGATGTGCTGCTACAAGATGAGGAATGCATGCTCTGATGGAAAGGACCACCACATTTCAGACCACCATAAAATATTCGTTCCTGAAACAGCGGCATCATGCTCACTGGTGACTACAAGCTTACATTCACCGTTAGTGATATTACCATATGCTTGTTAAAAGTAACACAGGTCCAGCTGTGACAGGGTGAAGGGTGCACTGATGGAAAAAGCCCTTAGAGGAAAGAGAGGTGTCCAGATACCTAATTCACTCTCCTCGCTCTCTGAGGGCGGGGAAGGCTCGGCCTGTGGGGGCGGGGCTGTTGTGGGAGGTGGCCCTGCATCACATGGACAGCTTCCCTGTGAAGAAATGAACACAAATGTCATGTGAGGTCCTGCAGCATTCGCATAAGAGAACACACTGAAGTAAGCAATTTTGTACGGTAACGTTACGCAGCTCGGCTAATAACTCTGTGACAGCAGCCACATTGTGCTTCAGGCGACACAGTGCATCAAGGGTGCTCTGAGTCCACTAGGGTACTTTGTGTGCACACAAGATTGTACTGGATGTTCTTTAGGGCTAAAACTGTATACATTTTGATTGGGTTTTTTTGTGCATAATTGGGAAACTCCAGATGCCTTTAGTATTACGTTAAAATTTCATGATGAACCGACAAATAGAAATGTTCCAAAATGACCTAAATAAAGTGTGTAATGGCATTAACATTCAATACAGAGTAAGAACGTCATTTCCTTCTCCTGAAAAGCTACGGTTTTGCAGATATGAGGTTTGGTGCCGACAGACAGTAGGGACATCGAGGACGGTATCTTTTGTTTCAAAGAGAGGCAGCCATAAGGCCTTTTAATATCAAGTCCCAACACTGTCCTTCACATCAGCGCTCTTGGCAGCTCATAGTATTTTAAAGCTTGGAGGTGATCCAGAGCCTCAAACTCCTCACAGTACAGCTATCTGTGACGTTTTCAATTTCTGAATTTCTAATAGATAGTCTGGTTCCATTGACTTACATTAAAAGTAGAGTAGGTTTTTTACCTCTCTTGTAAAGTTACCATTTTGGACACAGAAGGTTTTCTTCCAACAACAGCGATATGTTTTGTTCAATATTATACACAAATGGCAGACTCTGAAAAATATCTGTGTAAAATGATCCATGTGTGAATGTATCGCTGATACAGCCTTTGCTGTTTTACGAGGGTCTCTCATTTATCATCTTCTGTGTAAACCACCCTCAAATCTGGATGCAGCCTATCAGAGCAAAGTGGGCTCTGATAGAGTGTGAGGAGCTTGTGCTATACAGACAAACATACTTAAATGCTTTTAATTTATCAGTTACAAACTGTAGGGGTTGTGATTTTTTTGGGTTATTTTGTTAGAGGGTGGCACAGTGGCCGCTGAAAAAGTTCTATTGACGAGCTTTCATTTATCTGAACCAAACCAATCTATATAAAATATAATTACTGTAGCATGAGTTTTAACATTCTTAACTCACATGAAAAAATCTCAGAATTAAAAATCATATAAAACTTGAAAAAAACTATTCACCTTGCATGAGGAGCTGTCATTTTGGGTCGCTGATGGAAGGGTGGCTCCCAGACTGAACGCAAAAGAGCAAAAGTACATTTGATGATGAGTCAGTGCATTAAGTGCCAGCACAGAGAGGGTTACACACTAATACATGTTGAAATGCACAGTTGCCAGCATGCTGTACCAACAGATGGGCTACTGGAACTTTCTAGCTCGATGAGTCGACTGATGCAGGGGGGCGTGACAGCAAACACACACACACACACACACACACACACACACACACACACACACACACACGTGGTTGTTTTGATGTTCTTCTGTTTGAGTATGTAAATGGTTCTTGTGTTCCACCTAACCTGAACTTCGGCAACCAAAAGATCAACTCTGGCCTTTTACTTTCTCTGATAACAGCTGCAGATTTTTTTTTGAGAATTCCTTTCTATAGAAATTGCCAGAGTTCACAGGGATGGTGATAGGAATCAGACATCTGAAGACTCTAAAAGCCACCTCACAGAAAGTTATTACACAAAATGACCATGAAAACATTGCCTGATGAAATAGCCTTATGCTTTCATTTTTCTTTTTTAAATACATTAATGGCTTAATGGATTAGTTAAATAAGTTATTCTTTACTTCTATATTATCGTTATCAACATTGTATACAAAGATGGGGAGAACTTGTGCAAGTTGACTGGATGTTTTGGATAGTAAATAAAATGGCTACATTTACATCGTAGACCTCATAACCTCTGGTTACTATCACCATCACTATTTTTTTTAAGAAAGCAGTTCAATGCACTGTTCAAGTTTCAAAAAGTGATATTCACTCTCTACTCCATACTATCAATGTATTGAAATGCACTGCAAAAACATCGCATTTTTAACTTGTTTCTGTGATGTCACAACTCATGCATATATACACCTACTCACAGCCTACAGCAGCTTAGCTCTGCCCATTAACATTTAAGTTGTAAAGAGAGTTCCATCCCAGACTGCTTTTTAATAATGTGCACAGCCAATCAGAGCACAGGCAGTTTACATTTTTCAGTCTTAAAGGCACAGTAACAAAAAAAAGCCTGTTTACTTTTGAGGTATGGAAATTATGAAATTGTAAAAATTAAATATGACCATTTTCGGTACATGAAGCTACAGAAATGTTATAAGTGGACCAAAAATAGAAAAAAAAAAAAAATAGAAGGAAAATGTAGAAAATGGGCCCTTTAAATATCTACAGTGAAGCATTTCACATCAAACCATTCTGAATGACTTCTTGTTTACATCTCAGGGAATTATGAATCCATACTTTTGCAAACAAGTGGAACTGCTCTTTAATCTACATAGAAAATATATTTCAAAAGATTTTTTTTTAACTCGTTTCCGAATTCATCGGATGTGATGTTTAAAATCAACGTACATGACATAATGTGCCTCATTCACTCTCATACAGTAAAAAAATATACACACATTCATAATTTATCACATTCCTTCACTTTCAGCACCTTACACAACTCCCACCACTTCCTACACAGTAAACCCAGCAGTGGGAGCCACATGGCGCAGAGCAGAGGGGGCAGATCAGCCAGATCAGTGCTCAGAGCGGTTAGTGAGTGTGTGTGTTTGTGGGTTTACCCCTGGAGCCAGGTCCGAAAGAAGCCCATCTCAGGCAGGTGCAGCACGGCGGGATTATCCGTGCACAGCTGCACAAAAGCCTTCAACTCGGCCACTTTCCGCGGGTCCATAATCCCAACAGGAGCGAGCAAACACGGCCTTTAAACCTGCTGGAGGCACACGAGGGACACCAGGCACTGCGTTAGCATTGGCAAGGCTACACTACTTCCATCCAGTCTGCACTAACTCCAGTACAAATCAGCACAAAGCTGCCCCAGTGACCCAAGATCCCCGGGATTATAATCGCACCCGATGGAAGCTTCTAGAATAAACGCGCCACTTGCTGCTTTCGCTTCAGTGTGAGCGCTCATGATAAACTAGTCAAAGCACAGCCGCATGTGGACGCGTTCACTAAACAATCGCACTGTAATCCTGTGATCGTGCTACCTGGATTAAAGGTTGCAGTATTATGGCTCCTTTTCTCCCGCACAGACTCCAACTAGCAGATCGCAGCAACAACAACCCAACTCCGCATTCAGCAGCGTTGCCGTTTTTCAGACAGGCGAGCGCCGGGCTTCAAAAGTGAGGAGGGTCTAATTGCTGGGCGTTTCCAGAGCCGGTTTAAGGGCAGAGCCATGTAGAGAGTCTACGGGGAGCCTGGTTTCCTCCTATTTCCCCCGTTGTATTAACAATATGACTGCAAAACGCCAGAGGGCGCCCGCCAGCGAGTCATCAATGAATGGGCATAAATGAAGCTGAACGGCTAAAAACGAAAAATTAAAACACTTTCTTATCACTTGCCCAGAATTTTCCTTTCATTTTAGAAAGTAGTAGGATGTATGTAAGTAAAAAGGTAAAGGAAACTTACCTATATTTTTCCATTTTTCTACAGCAAACGGGTTTTGGGCAGGAGGACGCTAGCATTACTGCTATTGAGTGCTGATTGGGTGGCGAACAGAGCAGCTTATTGGCTGTTCGCGCTCACAGACGTCATGCACGTACATGAGGCGCCCTTTTAAACCCCTGTAACGAGTTCAAAGGCTTTTAAAGTGTAACAGCGGTGTTAAAATATTTTATGCTGTTCTGTGATCAGGAAATTTATATACTATTTTACATTAAAATTGTTTAAGCATTTATAAAGGAAAAAATGAAACCTACTACGCACGTTAGGGATCATAAAACCGCGAGACAGTACTCTATACAAATCATCAGAAGCTATACATTCGCACATATTTGTTTTTAAATGCCAGATGCTTATTAGGTAAATATGTAGAAACAATGCCAATTTAGAATAACTAACGTCTTTAGTTATTTTTGCCATTGAGTGGACTCCGGTAATGAAAGAATCCATTTTGCGGACATATCGGCCAATGAAAGAAAAGGGGGCGTTGCCGATGTGGGCGTTCTTGTTTTACGAAAACGCCTTTCATTGCAGTTTGACAAACGTAGGCATTTAGCAGCGTTACTGTTTTAGACAGGCGGGCGCCGGGCTGCAAAATTACGCCAGTACGAAAGAGAGGCTGTGCTCTATTGTAATGTGCTCGCTCTTATGCCCTAATCCCTACTCTGCTCCCTACTTCCTTCACACAGATAGATAGATAGATAGATAGATAGATAGATAGATAGATAGATAGAACTTTTTATTGATCCCAAACGGAAATGCAATGTTACAGTAGTAAGACATTTAATTGCACATAAACTTACATATATTAGGCAGAAATAAAAATAGAAATAAATTTGGCACAAATAAAAAGGACATAACTCAGAGTAAACTAGGAATAAAAGTATATCTATTTGTATATTAAATAGCATATAAGATTTTTGTATTTATGCTGTATTTGTGCTGTTGTTTTGCTATGACCACTGAATATTGTAACCGAATATATGTGTGTGTGTGTTTGTGTGTATATATATATATATATATATATATATATATATATATATATATATATATATATATATATACGATAGTTTATATATATCTTGGAAAACCTGTGATGTCACATATAAACTCATAAAAATTATGTATATGTATGTATATATATATATATATATATATATATATATACGTATGATTTTTATGAGTTTATATATGACATCACAGGTTTTCCAAAGGTGCATAAGTAATCTATCTATCTATCTATCTATCTATCTAATACAAAATGTCCACATTGAGTGTGCACACTTCCTAGTCATCTATATGTACACTTATTGAAGCGCTTACCGAGGCCCCGAGTCAACTAGCGTCGCTCCCTGAATGCAGTCAGAGTCGACTTGGCCAATCAGAGAGCGCGCTATGTCAGTTACTCGACCAATCGGAGCTCGAATTCAAAATGGGGCTGGACCGAGCCGTTCACCTTTGCGAGTTCAACATGTGAAGAGGGTTTCACCCTCGGTGTGGTGCGGTGCTGTTGCTTTCTTCCGTAATGTTAGTGTTTTATAAATCGTCCTCCGTCCACATAAAGAAACCCTTCCCTCATGCTGAAAGGCAGCACATACACAGACGGTTCTGCTTCTACTAAAAATGCTGCAGCCTCCCTCCCACATACTGAAAGCTGCCATCCAGTTTGTGTCCAGAACACATCTGAGTTCAGGTAGGAAATGTTTATCTCTCTTCACTTTCATCCGGTCTGCATATATTTTGATGCATATTTTTGAGGGATTTCACATGAGAGTTCCTTATCTACATGTGATGGTGTGATTGCTGTTGGCGTGAGATATTATTACATTGGTCAAGTCATTTATACAAAATTTAATGCATAGAAACTCCAAAGACAAGTAGCTAAGAAAGTCAAAATTTCATAATGGAGAATCAACATTTACAACCAGACACCAAATAAACTCTTTGTAAGATGTGTTACAACGTGTGGAAAACACTGTAAGATGCTTAATGTGGCTCAAAACCCATCCCCATAGGACAATGTATATAATACATTTTCATTTTTTGTGTTTCTTTTTTTTCTTGAGGTAAACTTACTGTATTTGTGTGGTATTATATACCAAAAACAGTCATAATTAATTTTTACATGACAGTTTTCTAACCTCGCTGGGTGAAGGAGCCTATACTGTGCCTTTAAAGGGTCCATATGACTGAAAAAAGAAATTTTCACGTTTCCACTGTTTTGATTGGCTGCCATGTATTGCGCCTCATTCGATAAACTGTTCAAGTTGAAACACTACTTACATGTTCAACATGAACAGGCGGATGTACACTATATGAATAAAAGAAATAAAAACTTGGGATACACCTCTTAATCGTTCATTCAGACATTTACATTTACAGCATTTAGCAGACGCTCTTATCCGGAGCGACTTACAAGAAGTGCTTTGTTTATCTAGAGAAAGTATCTTTGCTAGTTACTAACAGGTTAGAGAGAAAGCCAGTCCTGAGCTTAGATACTGCTAGAAACAAAAGTCCCTGTTGATACCCAGAGAAAAAGGAGCAGAGTTAAACACAGAACAGTGTAATACAATACAATACAATACAATAGATTTCAATAAGTCCCATTGCCACAGGTTAAAAAAAATCAAGCATCTAGCCATGCAGTCTGCCTTTACAAACATTTGTGAAAGAATGGGTCGCTCTAAAGAGCTCACTGAACTTGAGCATGGTTTTGTAATAGCATGCCACCGTTACAAGTCAGTTAATGAAATTCCTTAAGTCCTAGATATTCTACAGTTAGCTGTGAGTGGTATTATTGAAAAGTGGAAGCGTTTAGGAACCACAGGAACTTAACCACGAAGTGTCGGACCACATAAAGTTACAGAGCGGGGTCTCGGAGTGCTGAGGCACAGTGTATAGAAGTCGCCAGCACTCTGCTGAGTTCCGAACCTCCTCTGGCTTTAACATCAGCACAAAAACTGTGCGCCGGGAGCTTCATGGCATGGATTTCCAAGGCTGAGCAGCTACATGTAAGCCTTACATCACGAAGCACACCGCCACTGGACTTTGGAGCAGTGGAAACAGCAGTCTGCCAGACGAGTCAGGGTTTGGTGAATGCCAGGAGAACATTACCTGCCTGACTGCACTGTGTCAACTGTAAAGCTTGGTGTAGGAAGGATGATGCTATTGGGTTGTTTTTCAAGGATTGGCCTAGACCCATCAGTTCCACTGAAGGGAAATCTTAATGCTTCAGCAGACCAAGACATTATGGACAATTCTATGCTTCTAACCTTGTGGGAACAGTTTGGGGAAGACCCTTTTCTCTTCCAGCATGACTGAGCCCCAGTGCACAAAGCAAGATCCATAAAGGCATGGCTGAGTGAGTTTGGTATGGAAGAACTTAACTGGCCCACACAGAGCCCTGACCTCAACACCTTCAGACACCTTTAGGATGAACGAGAATGGAGATTGTGAGCCAGGCCCTCTCATCCAACATCAGTGTCTGACCTCACAAATGCTCCTCTGGATAACTGGGTATAAATTCCTGCAGAATTTACACACAAAACCAACACTTTTAAATATATCTGTGTATTTGTTTTGAAGTTATAATTAGTCTTTCAGCCCGATTGTTTTTTGAATGAGGCGTGATACATGCCAGCCAAACAGATCAGAGGTAATTTACGTATATTGGTCTTAAAGGGCCAATTACAGGGAAAAAATGAAGTTTCTTTCCTTTTCTTGAAAAGAAGGAGTTTGATGTGACATAAACATTATTCCTGTGCAGTCCTTGAATAGAAACCTAAACAGTCAGTTTTGAATTTGTTTTGTGATGTCATGAAGACCAGCGCATTTACTGTATGACCACAAATTCAGTCTACAGCACTTTAACTCTGCCCAATGTATGCTGAAGTTATAAGGAGTGTGTCAGTAAGGGCTGCTTGAATGAGGCACAATAAGGACAACCAATTAGAACAGAGATTATTTGCTTATCGGTCTTAAAGACACAGTAACAAAATTGAAAAATGTTTTTTATTGAGGCACTTGCCTCAGAGGCAAAGGGAAAAAGGTGGAATCTACCTCACCTGCCACTTTGAGTCTCTCTCCTCTTGTGGTTTTGTATAGTCTTCAGTACTTACTTTGGATTGTTTGTTTCATGTATTTTTGCCTTACCTGCCCTCATCCTCCCCACAGGTGCTTTAAGGTGTCCATGCAGGAACATCTCTGTGAAGACGGGAGGATGGAAGACCAAGAAAGTTCCTCAACGATACCTGGGACAGCCGAGCCCCTATACACACCCCCACCTCATCAAATATGGTACCACACAGACACTGTACTATACTGTACTCACAGACATGAAGAGAATCCCTGACAGATGCAGACCTATGAAGATGTTTGGTCACTGCTGGTTAGATAACATGTTTTGTTGATTTTCTAAGTGAAGATCAGTTAACGTGTCCTCCAGAAAGAACATGCTTCTGCGCAATTTAATACAGAATTACAGTCTTATGTAGAAGCTTAGAACACCCATGTTCAAATTTTGTTTTGGTGATTTTCTAAGTGAAAGGGAGCAAAAACAAATATGGCCAGATTTTTTAGATATTGAATATAAAATGTGCTGTAACTTTTGCACAGGCTGAATTTTATGTATTATTTTCCCCCCAACTTGTTAAATTAGCGAATAAACAATAACGGTGCATTAAAATGTACAGATGTGATCTCTGTAGAGGACAGGTTAAAGTATTTTCACTTAAAATCGAGACCAGGGGCGCCCAAATTTGTGCATTTGACTATTTTAGGGTAGGAAAATAAATTATAAAATGTGGCCTGTGCAGAATTATGGCACATTTTATATTTTATACTTTAGTATTTTTGTTCACTGTGTTAAACTCAAATAAATAGAAACAAATGAGCATATTTTCTTCATTGATTTGCAGTAACGTTACCTTTTGAAGAATAAACAGGTTTATTTTTGGAAAACAATGTTGTGTAAGTATTTGTGACAATATTAGAAACAGTGCTTAGGCTGAATGTCAGAGTTCACCCATTTTATCCCCTTGTTATGATGTCAGCACTCATGAGCACTCAAACCTTTTAGCTGAATAAACTGTCTTTCAACAAAAGTGTTTCAGTACATGTTTTTAAAAGGGAATTCAACCCATTCAGTCTTTGAGCTGTAAACTAAGGCCCAAACCCATTTCTTATTTTTACCCCTACCCTGTTTTCCGAGTGTCACCTTGCCCCTTGGAACTGAGTTAGGAGGGGTAGTGGTTGAAATCTTCCGTTATGAAATGGGACAACGCTCAAATTAAAAAAAAGAACCTTACTTCATTAACAGGCTACTAGCGGTGTTCTGTAGGCTGCCCTGCCAGTCTGCAGTAACAACAGAGGAGGGTAGAGAAGTTCAGCAACCTTGCTGCTCATCTTCAGAATTTAGGGAATCACATGCCTTCAAAGAAGGGGGATGCAACAATTATTCATTATTACCCACCCCTAATTGTTCTGTGATATAAAATTGCAGTTGGCTATTCGCCAGCTTCTTGTTTGAATTTTCCCGTTCCACCTTAAATGGAGCAGCAGTTACATTCTGGCGCTTCAGGTGTCAGAACTGCTGCATTTAGGGTGAAATGGGGAAAAAACTGCACCATTTAAGGTAAAACGGGAAACCTAGCTAGCTAGCTACTGAGACATTAGCATACTACTAGCGATTTTTTATGCTTGTTATGAAGAAAAAGATCATAAGACATTGTAATATCTTAGTTTAAGATAGTTTCAATGGTTATCATAATTTATTAACAGAGAAAATACTCACATTTATGAGTTTCTTTGCTCGCTTGTGCAGCCATCTTGCTGTTTTTTCTTCTTTTTTTTCTCATACCACTCCGTTTGGAATGTGCCTCTGAAAAAACCTCCGTTTGGAGGGCCATGTAGCTCTAACAAACACCCTAACCCTCTATCTCAGCAAAAATTGGGACACCCTACCCCTAGGCGTGAACACGCAAAACGAAGGGGTTGGGGCAAGCCGTGAAATGGGATTGGGCCTAAGTTTAAGAACCAGTGGTCACTATGTCTACAGCACAAATATAAGCTTTTTAATTACTATTCAAAACCACCAGTGAGCCTACGCATGTCTTCATAGTTTTCATATGTAATATTGATACTGGTAAAACAGTGGAAAACATGAACTATAAGTTTTCTTTGGGACTGTTTTGCCTTACAAACCCTTGCAAGTATCCTTCTTGCATAGGGTTATACCTTTAAAATAAACTTCACCTCATAACATAAAAGGATGTTATTCCTAACCATTTAGTGTAATAGCTTACTGTGAGGGATATTAAACTCTTCAGACGTCTGGTTCTTATCACCACTACTGTGAACAATTCTAATTTGGGAAGAATTTCACATCAAATCTCTCTTAATGACTTCATACTAAAGGTGTTCAGAGGGGTTGAGGTCAGGGCTCTGTGCATGCCACTGGAGTTCCTCCACACCAGACTGATCAAATCATGTCTTGAAACTTGCTTTGGCACAGTCATGCTAGAACAGAAAGGGCCTTCCCCAATCTTTTGCCACAAAGTTGAAAGCATACAGTTGTCTAGAATGTCACTGTATGCTAAAGCATTAACATGGTCCTTCACTAGACTGAAACAGCCCCAGACCATTAATCCTCTTTCACCAAACTTTCCCATAGGTAGCGTTCTTCTGGCATCCGACAAAAATAGATTTGTCCCTGTGACCTGCAGATAGTGAAGCGTGATTCATTATTCCAGTGAACACATTACACAGCTCCAAAGTCCAGTGACAGTGTGCTTTACACCACGCCAGCCAACACTTGGTATTGCAAGATGTGATCTTAGGTTTGTGTGCAGCTGCTCCTGCAGCACAGTTCTTATGCTGATGTTGCTTTCGTAGTTCTAGTTTGGAACAATTTTTATGCACTACAAGCTTCAACATTTGGTGGCCCCAATCCCTGAGTTTGTCTTCTACTGCTTTGTGACTGAGCTGTTGTTGTTCCTAGATGCTTACATTTCATAATAATAAAATTTACAGTTGACCAGGGCAGATCTAGCAGGGTAGAAACGTCCTGAACTGACTTGTGGCAATGTTTGTCTATTGAAATTGTGCTTGATTTTATCCACCTGTTAGCCGTGAGTGTGCCTGAAACACCTGAACTCATTAATTAGTTAACATACTTTTGGCTGCATAGCGTATCCAAAGATTAATTCACATCCAAGAGAGGATTTTAGTGGATCACACTAATATGTTCTCTATTTCTCTCTTAGGTGAGGTGACTCCAGGTTTAACTCAGACGGAGTTCGAACTGCGGCGGCAGCGTCTGGCATCTCTCATTGAGGCTCATGCCGAGCGGCTGTCTGGTTCCAGCCGTGCTTCTGACTCCGCCCACATTGTCATTGTCCTGTCACACCCCATTCGTTACATGACCAATGACATTCCCTACCCGTTCCATCAGAACCAGGACTTCCTGTACCTGACAGGGATTCTGGAGCCGGATAGCGCTCTGGTGATGTTTGGTTCCGGGCGACCGGACCAGGCCGTTCTGTTCGTGCCCCGTAGAGACCCGGCTCGAGAGCTGTGGGATGGGCCACGATCAGGGCGGGACGGGGCAGCTGCACTGACAGGACTGGAGAGGGTCCACTGTATCGAGGAGCTGGGCATGGTCCTCAAAAGCCTTAAAGGTAATATCCACAGAGCCTTAAGATCAAAAACATTAAAGTGCCTAGTAGAGTTGCAGCTAATTATCATTTCTGTAATCGATTGGCTTTTTGCTGTCACCATCAAAGCCAGTGTAAGAGTAGCCTGGCCACTTCCTATTTCCCCTATTGTTAGAAACATGACTGCACTAGAGGGTTTCTATGCTCATTGTCCATTTTATCAGTTCAACTTACTATATAGGTGCACTTCGTAGTTCTACAATTACAGACTGTAGTCCATCTGTTTCTCTGCAAACTTTGTTAGCCCTCTTTTACCCTGTTCTTCAGTGGTCAGGACCCCCATGGACCCTCACAGAGCAGGTATTATTTGGGTGTTGGAGCATTCTCAGCACTGCAGTAACACGTGGTGGTGGTGTGTTAGTGTGTGTTGTGAAAATCTGAGTGGATCAGACACAGCAGTGCTGCTGGAGTTTTTAAACACCTCAGTGTCACTGGTGGACTGAGAATAGTCCACCAACCAAAAATATCCAGCCAACAGTGTCCTGTGGGCAGCGTCCTATGACCACTGATGAAGGACTAGAGGATGATCAGCACAAACTGTGCAGCAGCAGATGAGCTATCGTCTCTGACTTTACATCTACAAGTACATCTGCAGTGCTGAGAATGACCCACCACCCAAATTGTACCTGCTCTGTGAGGGACATGGGGGTCCTGACCACTGAAGAACAGGGTAAAAGGGGGCTAACAAAGTATGCAGAGAAACAGATGGACTACAGGCTGTAATTGTAGAACTACCAAGTGCAGCTATATAGTGAGTGGAGCTGATGAAATGGACAGTGAGCGTAGAAGCAAGGAGTTGGTCATAATGTTATGCCTGATCGGTGTGTGTGTGTGTGTGTGTGTGTGTGTGTGTGTGTGTATATGTATATGTATATATTTGCGCATCTCCAAACTTTACAGAAGAAAGAAAAAATGTACTTTAATGTAAGTCAGTGGAACTAGAGGTTTTTTTGATGTAATTTTGGGCCGTTTATTTTGGTTTGTTCATCATGAAATTTATACACAAAGTAAGGGGCAACAGGCATTTTTAAATTATGTCAAAACTGAAAAATGAAAATGGAAATACAAGGTTTTGTTCTGACAGCAGCGATATTAGAGACTTTGTAGTGGGGTGAACTGGCACTTAATAGTGTCTTTCGAGTTTGTCAAACACTAGTGGGTGCTCCAGAGTGAGTCCAAAATCAATTAGTTATTATAGAACTTTCTGCATATATAAAATCATTTACAAACCATGATTTTGCAGAAAGTAAGTAGTTGCTAATCCTACATCATCAGTCTAATCTTATTTCCCTTGGTTTCCGATCACAGTAGTGTTATTTGAGTGTTATTAAACCCCAGCTCATGTGCACATCCATCTTAAAATCCATGGTTTCGTTCAGTGGTGCATTCACCCACTCAAACGCCGGAGCTATTACGGTTGCAGCTGTAGATAGAAGCTGAAAGGATTCTGGATTAATATGCATCACATGAAGCATAAGCAATTTCACGGAGGCAACTATATTGACTTTCACAACATTAACTTTTATTTAATTTTTTTTTTTATTTATTTAATTCTTTTTTATAAAACAAGCTAATAGTTCTGAATTTTGGGGGAACTCCAGTGCCCTTAAGTTGAGTTAACTAAAAAATACTGTGCAGCCAGGTTTATTTTTTACAGCACAGTACCAGGTTTAATGGGTGTGAAGAGCTCTAAATCACTAAACTGTGAGACTAACTCCCAAAGCCTATAGGCACTGTATAAAAGCAAGGAAAGTAGTTGAACAAAACTTGGCAATCATTTTTTCAAATAATACTTTATAATGTGCAGTAACCTAACAGTCATTAATAACTGACACCCAAACCATGTATGTAACCACATGGTGCTAACGTAAAGAATTAAATATCTTTCTCTCTCAGGAGGGACAGTTTGGTATGATGGGTCTCAGCCCTGCCACCCTCGGTTGCATCAGAGCCATGTGCGCCCCCTGCTGGAGGGAGGGGCTGTGGCACGCTCTCTGCGGCCCCTAACTCATTCACTCAGAGCCATCAAGAGCCCCGCTGAAGTGGAGCTCATGAAGGAGGCAGGTCGCATCACCGCAGAGGTCAGTGTGTATGTATGTGTATCAGCTTATCATTTTTCCAGGGGGGATTTTCACAAAGCAGTTAGCCAGATAACAAAACCCAAAGTCAGCGCTGTCTAGTAGGAGAAGAGATAAGGGATATTCCTATGGAACAATCTTATCAATTGGCTTAAGTTAGCCCATTTACAGAGAAATCCTAATTTGTGGAATTCCCCTCAGAGCAATGCCACAAGAGTAGAAATGATGCCATGCTTTGTGATTATATTGGTTTGACAAACTGAAATATTCATGGTTAGATGACAGCACACAGTTTTCTGCGTGCTGACCATCTGACCATTCTCAGTTTCAGTAAGGTTCGTGAGAGTTGACATTTGCTGTGATCAATATATTTACTGTGAATAATGTACTGCAAATATTTTGCATGGACTGACTGCCTTGTGTCTGTTCAGGCTTTTAAGAAAACCATGGCGATATGCAGAGGGGACATTGATGAGGCGCTAATCTATGCTAAGGTAAATTGAGTGAAGTGTTGATTTTTGCTAATCTAAACTGGAGGACGTTATCTCATTAAAGCTGTGCAGGAACATGGGCTAATTCATGCAGATGTAAATCAGGGCGGTGCCAATCTATGCTAAAGTAGATGAGGACTTGCTAATGTATGCTAATAGATGAAAAGTGTGCTAATCTACACTGAAGAAAAAGGACACAGTGTTAATCTATGCTAAACTAAAAGGGGGAAGGCCCTATCTACGCTAAAGAAAATAGGGGCAAGTGCTAACTGATGCTAAAATAGATGAAGGTAGTGTTAATCTGTGCTTAGGCAAATTCAGAAAAATATTAACTGGTGCTAATGTAAAGTAAGGAGTGGATTAGACACTTGTCAAATTAATTTGCAAACAAATAATAACAAAACACATAAATAATAATAACAATCCTACTACTACTACTAATAATAATAATAACAATAAAAACAATTTTATTTAAAGAGCACTTTCCATACAGGTAGCAGCCCAATGTGCTTCACAAACAAGTTTAGTAATAATATTGGAAGAAATAAAATGTAATAAATGATTGTTAAGAGGATTCATTAAAATAAACAATAACACAGGTAAATATGTGAAGTTAAATGAACAAACATTGCAGAACTTTGATTAAAAGCTAAATTAAACATATGTTTTCAAATGCTTCTTTATAGTCTGTACCATGCCTAACTGTCTAAGCAACTTTAGTGATTGCATATACATGTAGGATAAAACATCTAACATCCAAGATTACACCCAGGTTTCGTACCTCAGATTTGAGGTAAAGAAGTAAAGGGGCCTTGTACCTCACAAAGCAGCTTTATGTGAATTTTAGTACCAAATTCAGTCGAGCAAAGTTTGTTTTTTCTTGATTTAGTTGTCAGTTATTTTGAGACATTCACTAAGAAATATTTTTGCTGAATGATTTTCCAAAGAGACAAAATTATACCCAGTCAATCTTGCGTATAAGCCCTGTAACACCTCCTTGTTACAAAAGCTGTGCTGCTACCTTTCCAGAACAAACATTAACATTATTATGTGGGTTGTTGACTATAATATTTGGCAAGAGTGTAATAATACACAAATTGCATGATATTTTAAATAGAAAAGTAAAAAATATACAAAGCATTTTGTGTATATTGCAGAGAAGGTTTTTTTTCTTACTTTCAAGGTTTTAAAAATGTTTTAAGAACATTTTAAAAGAAAAGTGAAAAAAATAATTAATTTCACAACATTAAAAATAATTAACTGTATTGATTCATAAATATATTTTATCGCAACCACCATATAGGGAAAAAAATGAATACTAACTTGCCTATAATATGCCGTAATATTTTGAATAATTGAACTGAAGCAAAATAATAGATGTATTTACTATTATGAATTAAATATAGCTTTTTCTACTTTTCTAGCAAGGCAAATCAGTGACAGCACAGCATTTGCTGGAGGTTGCTAGTATGTATGAGGGATTTTGATGTTTCAGAGAACATAAGATTGTTACACCTTTTGTTGTCTCACCTCGGCCTCTATCGTTGTCTGACTGTGCCCATTTTTCTCTTGCTCTTAGTTTGATTTTGAGTGTCGGGCGCATGGTGCTAACTTCCTGGCGTATCCTCCAGTGGTTGCTGGTGGAAACCGAGCAAACACCCTTCACTACATCAACAACAATCAGATAATTAAGGTACTGTAACACTGTAAAGTGATGGAAATAATTGTACAATAGTTAGAACCTTACATTTTTTAGAACAATGTTTAGGGCTTCTTTTCTTTACATTTTCCTTTACTTTGTCAAACTGTTGTATAAAAGCAATAGATCACTTTGGTCTGTTAGAGATGTACCTTTCAGTTTTAGTAGGGCCTCATAATTCAGAGAGGAGATTCTACAACACAAATCTTTGTTACAGCATGCTATGACAGTCAATGACACTAAATTCACCTTTTCTATTTAACATATTACATTGTACTGTACATTTGAATGCAGGGTTTACATGAACCTGAACATCATAGTCATGTGATTTCCATAGAGTGAACACGTATTCCAGTTTTCATAACCAGTGTGAGCAATGGGGCTGCATATTTCAACAAGTGAGTGTTTATATCATATGCACTGAAGAACCAAAACATCATGACCACTTACAGATGAAGCATTAACATTGATTTAGATGTCAAGGTCTGGGATATATTAGATGGCAAGAGAACAGTTCGTTCTCATAGTTGACATGTTGGATGCAGGGAAAAGGGCAGACAGGGCCAAATCACCATGGCCAGATGACTGGGTCAGAGCATCTCCGAAATGGCAAGGCTTGTGTTTTGCTCCCAGTCAGCAGTGGTGAACAGAAGTCTGAGGAGGGACAAACCACGAACCGGTGACGAGGTGTTGAATGCCCAAGGCTCATCAATGTGTGAGGGCATTGAAGGCTATCCTGTCTGGTCCAAACCAACAGAAGAGCTACAGCAGCACAAGGCTCAGAAATTTTTAATGAATGTTATGGGAGGAATGTGACACAGCGCATCATACTCTTTGCACCAGACCGGTCAGAGAGCCCATGTTAACCCCTGTCCACCTCAAAAGCACCTACAATGGGCTCACAGGCGTGGATGGTCAGTTACATGTGTGCCATTTACCTGGTGAAGTGATGGCACCAGGATGCACTGTGGGAAGAAAAAGAAAAGTCAGTGGAGGCAGCGCAATACTGTTGACAGTGTTCTGTTGGGAAACCCCCGAGCATTCATGCTGATGTCAATTTGACACATGCCACCTACCTAAACATCATTGTAGACCAGGTACACCTTTTCATGGCAGTGAAATTCCCCAGTGGCAGTGGCCTCTTTCAGGAGGATGATGCAAGCTGACAGAGTCAGAGTTCAAGGTGTTGTCCTGGCCTCCAAATTCCCCAGACCTCTATCCAATCGGGCATCTGTGAGATGTGCTGGAACAACAAATCTGATCCCCAGTGGCTCCACCTCGCACCTTATAAGATTTAAAGGATCTGCTGTTAATGTCTTTGTGCCAGTACCACAGGGCACCTTCAGAGGTGTTGTAGAGTCCATGCCTTGGTGGGTTGAAGCTGTTTTGGCGGCATGCAGAGGACCAACAGCATATTACACAGGTGGTCGTAATGTTTTGGCATAATCAGTGTATGTCAAATATACAGTCAATGGTTTGAAGGGTCAAACTAGGAAAATGTGTCAACAGTGTCAGCCTTACTGTAGGGCAGTGTTCATAAATCTGCATAAACATTTATTGCTTATTTCAAAAGGCATTGTCTGTCATAATGGCTGCTTTATTCAACTTTGAGGTCAAGTTGACATAAAACCTATGCATTAGGTTGTCATGAGAGCTTTTGAGTGAAATAACATAGCATGTAGCAACAGCTGACATTGTAGCTTAATGTACATTACAGTGACATAATGCTGAAGAAACTCTCACTCTCTCAGGATGGAGAAATGGTGTTGTTGGACGGAGGATGTGAATATTATGGCTATGTCAGTGATGTCACGCGCACATGGCCAGTTAATGGAAAGTGAGTGAACTGTTCTCTATGGCAGTGATATTCAACAACACAAGAAAACATTTACGTGATCATCCACATGGCTAGTACATCCACTAGGCATGCCGCCATAAGTGGAGCACCGTTTCCAATTTTTTTCAACACCAACATTTAAACACAGCATTTCAGTCAAACACAGCAGCTAGATGCTTAATATGTTTAATTGTAGATTAGCACATCTTTGGAGTTCCTTGCACACATTTTTGAAATGATGGAGTTAATAAGGTTATCTGAACTGGAATACATTTTCATAGTAATATTCCCAACCCTGCTGTAGGTTCAGTGAGGCCCAGCGGGAGCTCTATGAGGCCGTGCTGGAGGTGCAGCTTGCCTGCCTGTCACACTGCTCTCCTGGCGTCAGTCTAGACCACATCTACTCCACCATGCTCACTCTGCTAGCCAAACAGCTCAGAAAGCTCAGCGTTCTACCTCACAGTGCCAACGACGCAGACGCTATCAAGGTATGCATTAATCTACCCACACAAGTTAACACACCTGACTGTAACATTCAGATACTTCTGAACACTTTAACCCCTTAATTAAAGGGGCAAAAAAGCATCTTTTATGGTGTTGTCTTTTAGCCATGTAAAGAACAAGATCTGACAACAGTAATAGTGCATCAATTTTTATTTAGTTGGTGTGACAAATTACCATTTTAAGCAAAAACACATTAGTAGCAGTATAATTTACACTGCAGTTCCTCTGATGAAACAGATCCATACCTATTCCTTACTGGGTCTGAGTTCTGTTGTGAATGTGTGCACATGCTTGCTTAGAAACTATCACAGTGCATTTACAACTATAGAATGGTGCAGGGGCAAATCTGGGGGGGGCGTGGCAAAGATTGGCAGCTAGTGTTTGCCACTCCATTTCTGTTTAACACTACTGCATATACAGCATTTAAGAAATAGTTCAGATACACACATGTCCATTATCTCTAGCTAACTTGTCAGTTGTAGCAAGTCAAATGAATAATCATAGTTACATTGGAGTTGCATTCTTTTGTCAGTTATTGTTCCCTCATTGAATGTATTTCAAGATTTATTTTCTTATTTCTCATTATCTTCTTTAACCCACCGATCACTGCTTAGGAAGTGTTCCTATCAGTCTTTCAGTTCTTTAGCAGGGCATCTTTGTGATGTGTAGTTTGAATTTAAAGCTCTAGCTATGGTCAAAATTGTGTAAAATGTGTAAGATGTGTAAAAATTTCTACCCATTTCCAAAGCCAAAAACACATTTTCAAAACATCAGCTTTTGTTAAAAAGGTTCTTTACCTTTGATCTGTAAATTTGGTGCTTAAAAACTCTTTTACTAAAAAAGCTAAAATAGCTAAGTCAGAATATCAAAGCAGATGTCTACTTCCATGCATGACATCATCAAAGGTAAAACATAAACAGTCCATGAACATTTTTTTCTTGCCTGCTTTGCCAGTATAATGATTGCACTGCCAGGCTGTAGCCTTATGTAATGACATTGCAGGACATAATGTGTTAGGATATTTAACTCTCCCTTGTAGTTACACCACTGGCTTAGTGCTTCTTTGCGTATTGATAGAAAACACAGTGGCACACAGGAAGCTCCAATTCCATATACTAATCAATTTTACTATGGCCAGTGTGGACATGCCTGCAGGTCAACTACCGTTGGTAGTAAGTAACTACTTGGTAGTTATTACAAACTACTGGGGCAGATTATAAAGACTCAAAATAGGAGACTCTCAATGGATCGACGACTGTAGGGTTAGTTTTGATCTTGGTGTAGGTGAAAAAGCTGGCCGTGTGTGCTATATGAGATGAACATTTTCAACCATTTCAGCAGCTGCCTTCTTGGTGCTCTGTGCAACAAAAAAGTTGCATTTGCCTACTTGCCTTTGTCCTTTTGTCACTGTGATGTTGCTTTCCCTATACCTTAAAAGAATAGTTTGGCTAATAAAATCAAATTTACACCATTTTCGCCACATGGCATTTATCTAAATGACTATTATTATTGGTTTTAGCTCTGATCATTTCCTCCCCAGGTTAGTCGTGGCCAGGTCCACTGGTAGGAGAAGGCTAGCATGAAGCACTACAGCATCTTTTTCAACTGCCACTAATGCACAAACACTGGACAGCTCAACATTCCTGGAGCAAAATGCTAATTGTGAGTTCTGTTACCTCAGGTAGCAGACTCCTGCGTTGGCTAGCATCTAGTGATGCGAAAATTATGTTTTGAAGCAAACCGACATCTGTTTGCCCAAAGCGACGCAGTTGTTTGAATTTGTATGTTGCTGTGTGCACCGACTGCTGAACAGAACTGGACCGCCTTGTTTGTTCTTGCCCTTGATCATGATTGGTTCCAGTCACTGTATCCATTGAGGCCAATAGAGTTCTATTTAACAGAGGTGGAACCTACTCTTATTATAGTATTTATGTAAATTTTTCCCTCTAACTGTATTTTTTGGAGCAGAATTCAACTAAAAGTACTTTTATTTCTAGTACTTGTACTTCATGAACTTAATTTTTAATAACCATCAGTAAAAAACAAATGTGTTTCAGCTTATAAACCAATTAGAACAAAGCATGTTTAAGATTCAGTTCTAAAAGCCAGTCACAGTAGCGCCCAACACTGCACTTCATGCCCTGACGTGTTCAGAGACATCAAATTTAGTGGAGAAAGAAAGAGAAAATATGCACCAGCACACATGACAAACACTTTATCCAATTCGTCATCTTCATTCATTTCCACATGAACTAAAGAAAGCAGCTATTATCAGCTGCTAAACACATCGAGAGCTCCACTTTTCACAACTCCCATTTTGAAGAAGCACACAAGCAGTTATCTGGCTAAATAATCTTAAAGTAACTCAAACTAATTATGTGAGCAGATTTTCCAACAACTTATTTCCTCTTACTTTAGTAATTTCCTTTATTAAAACCTTTACTTGTACTCAAGTAAATTATCACTACAGTAACTGTACTCTAACTGAGGTAGGAATCAGTGTCTTAGCTAGATTAAGCTCGTAGCTCCAGCACAAAATTAAAGAAGCAAACTTCAGACACCGAACATGCCTTGCCTGATTAACTACATTTGGGGTAAGAAGGAAACTGGGAAAATTTATTATTTTTTTGCCAGACTATTTCTTTAAGGAACGAAGGACAAGATTCCTTGAGAAAGGGGGTTCTTCAGAAGTTCTAGTTCCAATCTGGCTCTTGTGCGCTGTGTGTGTTTGTTTAGGATTTTGCGCCAGAGCCCTGTGGTCAGGAAATGACTATAAGCTCTTCTGGGCCAATTTAAACTGTAAAGTCCTGACCCAATTACGCCTCTATAAAATGCCATAGTGCCGCATGTAGCGCCCATAAAAGGCACGGCTCTCTAACGCACTCTCATTGCAGCGGGCCTTGGGCTCTATGATGCTTTGGCAATGTGGTGGCACCTTGGGTGAATTTCACAGCGTCGTGGCCACAGCCGCTTGTTGCGGAGCCCACAAATAGAGCAATAATACACTAGCTGACACAGTGCGCATGTGAAGAAACACGATTTTCCAGGAGTGCTCCGACACCTCATCATTTGTTACAAAGACATTATTACTGTGGTTTCCTGTGCTATAATGAGTGCCAGCATGTGTTAATACATTTGCTTATTTACAGGCATCCAGTGATTTAGGAACTGTGTTTTCTAGGAATAGAAATGCCTGAGTTAATGTTGCTTTATTATTAATTCACCTTGTTCTTGCTATCTCCCTCTTACATCTTTTCTCTCACTTTTCTGATTCACTTGCCTTTTATTCTTATCTCTTTCTTTCTTTGTTCTTGCACACATACTTGACTCTTTATTCTTTCTCTCCCAAATTCCTTTCTTTTTCTTACTCTCATCTTTCTCTGCTTTTTTTCCTCTTGAACTCTTTATTCCTCCTCTGGTGATGCTTCACTCTCTCTCTCTCTCCCTCTCTCTGTCTATTTTCCTATTTTCATGCCATTTGTATTCTTATGGACTGGTTTTTCCCTTTTCTCTGTCCTTCCCTCTTTTTTCTCTCTCTCCTTCTCTTTCTCCCTCTTGCTCTCTCTGTAGGCTGCGAGGCGTTACTGTCCCCATCATGTAGGTCATTATTTGGGTATGGATGTCCATGACACCCCTGAGCTTTCCCGTTCTCAGCCCTTGCAGCCAGGCATGGCCGTCACCATTGAGCCCGGTAGGTAGAATCCACATTAAACACAGCCAAGTGAGGTGTCCAAGTATGCTGTAAATCCAGGTGTGCTATGCAGTCTATACAGCAGGGGGGTCATTTGTTGAGGGGCCGCAATCTGAATGCGGACCCAACAGGTTATTTCAGCAGACCAAACTGAGCGCTGTGTGTAACCGTAGCAAAGTCGATCAACATATGCAAATAAATTTTCTAACCATGAACCAACACATCCAATCCCATGCATTTATGTAAATTACTTAGCCGAAGGCAGATCACCTGAACAGAAACTAGCTACAGAGCTAGACAGCATGTCTAGCTATCTAATAATTTCACATACTTTTGTGGATTTTTAATTTCATTTACTGTTTTTGGTCTGAGAAGTAAAGCAACAACATGGCTTATTTAGGAAAAAGGAAAGGTGAGGACAAAAGCAGAGTGTTTAAAAGTTGATGAACAGAGAACTGAGCATTGTTTCTTACCGTTTCAAGCTCTCATCTGTTCAGAGTCCCTGGTGCTCGTCAAAAATGGAAACATTAAGTGTCTGTGCCGCTGCTAAACAAATCACTTCGAATTAACCTACCCACAAAATTCAGATCTGAGGACAAGTGAAAGAAACCCAAAGCTCAACATGAAAGCTCCATTAGAGTGCTTGTCCATTCCCTGACTGTGCAAGAGAATGAAATGCTCTTTAATGATAGCCTTTATTCATTTTTATTTTAACCATTAATAATTTAATTAAGTGTTTAATGGTAAGTGTTTTTGCCATTCACTTAAGTTAGTTTGTTTAACCAGACCTTTATAAGCAAGAAATGAGTTGCAACTGGACTTTTGCAAATTTTAGTTGAATACCCAGATATAGAGCATGAAATTTTGTTTAGAACCTAAACCAAGTCCAACCTGACCTACATCATTAAGTTTTGAGTATGAATCCGAACAGAGCCCGAAAAAAAAAAAAAATCTGTCCAAACCCAACACACCCTGAATCACATCAAGTTTTGGAAACTGACCCGAGCCTTTTCTGTCTGGAGTGCTTTCGAACAACATCCCAAATGTTTTTTAGTCTGGACAAACTTTCCAAAATGTGATGTGGGTTGTGTGGTGCTGATATGTAGTTCCGGCCACCATCATTGGCACCCCTGAAATTTAATTACATACTGTACAATATCTACAAAAATAAAAATGTGTAACATTTTTGGTCAGTATACACTCATGTCCATTACACAACAGCTAAGGGTAAAACTATTTAAAATGGAAATATGGATATGACACAATTATTGGCAACCTATTGATGAATTCCATTCAGATTAGACTAGATTAGACTCACCTGTGAGAAATTGGAAATTAGAATCACCCGACATGACTTAAAATTAACCAGTGAATGATGGCTCTAGTGTTTAAAAAGGCCACTTTATTTTCCCTGATCCCTTTCCACAATGCTGAATACAAGAGAACTGTCTGAGAGCATCAGAAGTGCTATTATCTCCAAACACAAGAATGGTAAAGGGTACAAGGCCATCCTCAAAGTCCTTGCCATCCCTGTTTCAACAGTGCGTAATGTAATTAGGAAGTTTATTGCTCATGGAACTATCAAGAACCTTCTAGGACGTTGGTCAAAGAGGAAAATCAGTAGGCATAGTCTCCAAAGGCCGGTGTGAACTGTGGGAAAAAACACTGTGTATTATCCAAAGAGCTAAAAGCAGACCTAGAGCAATCTGGAGTGATGGTTTCAACCCGTATCATACACCACACACTCAACCAAGAAGGACTTCATGGGTAAAGGCCAAGGAAGACTCTGTTGCTGAAAGAAAGACATGAGAAGGCATGACTGATCTTTCCAAAACATACCTAGATAAACCTCAATCCTTTTGATTGATAAACCTGAAACAAAAATAGGGCTCTTTGGCAATGCAGACCAACCATTTCTTTATATGAAACAAAATGAAGCGTAAAAGCAAAAGGACACCCTACCTCAAACATGGTGGTGAATCCACAATGTTGTGGAGTTGCTTTGTTGCCTCAGGTACTGGAGGCCTCAACAGAATTGAAGAAATAATTAAATCAGAAGATTACCAAGGCGTTTTACATTGAAATGTGCTACCTAGTGTAAGAAAGCTAGGTTTGAGGATTGTGGGTCCCCCAGCATGATGAAGACCCAAAGCACAAATCAAAAAGCACAACAGAATGGTTGCAAAAGGATAAGTGGACTGTTTTAAACTAGCCAGCAATGAGGTCTCATCTCAACCCCAGTAAAAATCTTTGGAGATTTTGAAATCTGCCATAAGGAATGGACACCCTGCAAACATCCAAGAGCTTGAAAAGTTTGCAATGGAGAAGTGGGGAAAAACTACAAGCAGACAGGTGAAAAAAGCTTGTACATGGCTACCAAAAATGTTTGGGGGCTGTCATTGCTGCTAAAAGGTGTGCAACAAAATATTAGGAAACGGTGCTATTAATACTGTCCATGCCATATTTTGTTAAAATATTCTAATGATAGAAAGTTGGTGTATTTCCATTTATTTATGAAGATATTGTAAATTTTATATAAAAAAAGAAAAGGGTGCCAATGATCTTGGCCAGAACTGTGGCATGATGTTAGCTTTTTCTGTACATAGAACATATGTAAGGTTTTTGGCCAAACAAATTAAATCTGAACATCCATTTGGCTGCACTAAACTGAACTCTCCTGAATCGTTTTGCGTTTTAGGTATCTTTCATCCATTTTGTCATGAGCGGGGGCTTTGTGGACCATGTTACTAAGTTCTTTCATGCCCCAGCATGCAAGGAATAAAGATTAAAAGTAATGAAAGTGAGGGGAAAAATAAAGCAGGGGGATATACAGGGTTAAATCTGTTAAAAGTTGAAGGGGGGCTGCCAGAACTCAGATGTGAAATTGATGTGAAATGAACCCAACGTGGGCCTGACAGATATTTGGGAAATGACATTCGAACCTGACGTGAGCTATCGGGTCCAGTCAGGTTTCAACAAATGTTTAAGCTCTACCAGCTTTTCCATCAGTTAGTATGTAATGAAGGTTAGAAGACTACAGTTATTATTATAATTTTGCTATTTAAATGTAATTATCTAATTCTATGTAGGTAATACAATTCACCCAACTTAATACACACTTATTTAGGAAATGAATTACATTTACACTTGATTTACATTCTGTATTGAGATGTTTGCACATCAGACTTTTTTGTTTCTCTTTGTTTCAATGTCAAAAAATAACAAAAACCAGGCAGTTTTGCTTAGTTCAGTGAACATCAGTGGGCTAAGTTATATAAAATCACAAGAGGCTTTTCTTACTGACAATAATGGCAACCACTAAGGGTTAAGTCCCTTAAGGGGCAAGGCTCCTATTTTATAATATGAGTAGCAGATCAAATGAAATTGCAGTTTTGAAATGAACAGTATTTATTTAATTAGTCAACACAACAGAGATGGATTAAGAGCAACTCAGTGGGTCAGGCTTCAGATGGAAGTGGAGAGATACTGATTTAAATTGATAGAGGAGTTGCATAGCTACAAAGAAAAGTAGCCACCTGAATTTTGTTCATACTTTTGTCCTTTTTTATAGATAGCATACATGCAAACTTGTCACCTTTCAACAAGATTTGCTGTTTTGAGTACTGAATATGTCAGAGTCATGTAGATTTGATGAGTTTTTCATTTTAACTACTGCTAAAAGAGAGAATCTGTCCTCTCCCCTAAACACAGCGCAGCAGCCATTCACGAATATCCTACAGATGTAGTGTTTAATTTTTAGTGGCCAATCACAACTAAGATGACATTTCAGAAATGCGAAAAGAGAGCGGTGAAGTTGGTTTTGTTTTTGCTTATTCAAATTTCTTTTTTCAGTAACTGCTGAATGAAGCTAATGTTAATAATAAAAATGTTAATGAGTAAATTATCATTGTTAGCAGCCAAGACAATCAGCTCTCATTCAGTTTTTGTCTGAAACTGATATAGAACATGTTGATTTCTGTGAACTATAAGCCAAAACAGCCATCCACAAATAACATTGCAAATGGCAATCATCAGGATCCAAGCACTGTGTGCCTAATAGAACCAGTAGAACATGGATGGGCAAAGTTTTTAGAATGGCCTCGATTTATAATGGATGTGGGATCTTAAAAATGGATGCCTGCCAAATTTCATACACACTAGCAAATACATCAAAATACCTAGAAAACAGTACATTATTCTGTGTGACTGGTAGTTGTATAGTTGAAGTAAATAATTCCACAGCAATCAGCCCTGAATGTTAATCAGAATTTCATATTAATATCTACTAACATTTTCTCCTGGGAACAATGCTGCTGAACTCAGAAAAAAGGTACAAAACTGTCACTAGGGCAGTACCCCTCTTGTCACTGGAGTGGTACTCTCAAGAGTACATCTCGGTACCTTTAGTCAAGGAACACAATTAACCGTAATCCATTGAAATGATATTTTCTAAGTTGTATTGAATCCACACCCCGTCTCATATCCAGGCTTTTTATTTTATTATTCTGTTTCAAAACATTAGGTTATGAAAAGGTACAAATATGTTCTTTTCCACAGGGAAAAACTTATTTCAGGTACACAAATGGACCTTAAAACCACGGCTGTACCTTTGAGAGTATGTTTACATTGTTTGTACCTTGAACGAAAATGTACCTGCACAGTACCTTTATTTCTAACAGTGTACAGTTTCTGAAGTTGTCATCTTTTTCACCGCTTGTTAGTTTTCACATATATAGATATAAGTATATAATACATGTTATGGTGAGGGATATACTGCATTCTTCCTTCGTGTGCAGACTCACTCCACACAGTTCCACAGGGACACTGCACCAAATAGAGATGTCACTGGAGAATTTGTGATGCCTGGGTTTATCAGGATTAGCACTACCCTAGACCAGAGCCATTATTCCAGACTAAGCATGCTAACCAGAGATCATTCATAGTGGGTTGAAAATGGCCCCATATTTCCACTGCACAGTCTTTCTTCTACCACAAACACTGCCTGTGAGAAATTTGAGGATGATTTTATACATACATGTTTTCTTTGTTGGATTGCAGTAACCTAAACTAGTTTAATATTAAAGACTAAGTATGGTTATTTTGAGGAAAACGTTATCAATATTGTAAATATGTCATTAAAACAAATACAATACTTGTTTTTATAAGCTTTTTTATAGGCATGTAGGAGGTTTTTAAGAGAGATTTTGTGTGTAGTTTCATTGGTTTTTTATCATTGTGACAATTTAATGTTATTATTGTTTTCCTTAAAATAAACTTAGTTATTCTTTAACTGAGAAAACAGGCATGAAAAGCTAGGTGGTCCCAAACTTTTAAGAAGCAGTCTATATACAAACATTAAACATGTTACTTAGCAATTGGATATTGATTTCTTTAAATCTGACCTAAACCTTATTCGTGTTTTTTACTTAAATTTCTTTTGAGCTGTGAGGTAGGGCTAGAACAAAATGAATGATAAAGTGTTAAGAAATTTCATTGTTGATGTTGATTACTTAAAGTGCTCTATAATGCTTTATAACAGTAGTTCTCAATCCTGGTCCTGAAGTACCACTGCCTTGATGCAGCTAATGAACTAATTAACAAGCCCTCTTGAAGTGAACTGGGTATGTGAGACTAGAAAAAATGCTATCACTTGCTGTGTAACACAAATAGTTGACGCTGTAAAAAGTTATTAGGCTTAAACACTAATGCGCAAAGGTTTGCACATGCACAGTGTACATAGAACTAAACTTACAAAAAAGTTGACGCTCGCCTGTGTAGAAGTATGGCTGAACATGCTGTGTTTAGTTATGCTGAAGAGGATGATGATATTCAAATGAAATTTAGCTAGCTGCCATGAAATAAAGACCACTCAATTAACTCTTTTAGGCGCTGTTTACGTTCTGAATGCCACTAAGAATCATTTTAGTCTGAGAATTGCTGTAACGTTACTTTGTCCTTCATCTATCCAACAGTGCTGTACGACAAATTCAGAAGCACTTACGAAGCAGACAGAGGAGTTAACTCTCTTGTAAATGTGATATTTTTAATTAGGTGAACTGCCTGCCATTTAAAAGCAAAGGGAAATATTTTAGCCACTGTGGGTTTAGTTACAGCAGTTTAATGTTAGATTAGAAGCAGCTGCTTTGAAACGAGTTAAATTATTTTCTGCTCAGTGGATGACGTAAATGTTGGCTTGTCGAGGCATAGAAATATGTTTTCTAACTTCAGATAGCCCAGCCACATTCATTCAGACTTGTCAGTCATGTATGTGGCAATTGTGTTTTTGAGTAACGTTAGAAAGATAATATATAGATCTCTCATTGGCCATTTGAGCTACTAAACACTGAGAATCGTGCTTCAGCTTTAGACTGCATCAAATATTTTCATTACACCGGGACTGCTAGATTGTGCTACAGGAATTTTAGGGATGATATAGCTTCTAGGTTAGATTCATATCCTTCATTCATTGTCTAATACAGACATAATTAAACAGATGGGACTTCGAAAGCAAATGTCAGCAGGTATAATACTTTGATTATTCAAATGAATCAAGTAATAGTCAATAGGTTAATCGATGATACAAGGAATCGTTAGCTGCAGCCTGACTGGAGTGTTTAGTTCTAACTCTGAGGCCTCGTCCACACGTTTTCAGATATTTAAAAAAAAAATCTTTGTCCATAACAGCAGCGTTTTTGAAAATCTCTACGTCTACATGAGTATGCAGACCTCAAGCAGAACATTATGAGCACAAGTCCTGCGCAAAATATAGAGGGCGCCATGAAACTAAATTTTCAAAAAAACATAACTTTGACCTGCAGGCCATCAGACCTGCATTAGTTGATATTTTACACGTATTGCTTTGAAAAGTAAAGGAAATTTAACCTTTTATGCTCGAGTCATATCTTTGGAATCATTGAGGTATTTTTAATATTTGCAGTCAAGATGACCCCAAGAACTGAGCACAGTACATTTTTCCCCCTTTGCACTACAGTTTAATGAAAAAGTGATGCTAAATTCAATGATAAATATATCTGCTCCCAAGTCACCCCCAAATTGCTGAGCTTTCAGAAATAACCCAGTTGTCAGTCGTATTTCAGACCGAGTTCTGCATGCTTAATAAATTCAGACAGCTACAGACAAACGGTGTGATGTCAGCTGTATGCCCACCCACACAAAAACACTGAAAACAGTTTTCAAAAAAGAGTTTTTAAAAATCTCTACAGTGTAAGGCATTTTCAAAAATTCTTTTTCAGTAAATGAAAAAACTGTTTTTTCATGGGTGGGAGGCCAAAATGCAGAAAAAAACAATGTTTTCAAAAATATCTGAATACATGTGAACAGGACCTCATGGGGTCTAGAATGTTCAGGAGCAGCTGAATGTCTGGGGCTAAGTTCTGCAGTGGTTATAGCTCCTGAGCATTGCTGAACATAATTTTCTAAACGCTGCCCTAAAATTTATAAAATTTAAAAGCATCATATTTTCTATATATATCATGGTATCAGCATTAATAAAAGGCCAAAAAAAGAAAGCCTCTCTTTTAAATCTGATGCCAGAGGAGTTGCTGTATGCGCACATTCTTATTGGCAACAGTGAATTATTTTGTCAATTTTAGCATGTAGAGCCAAAGCTTTCTGTGGGTTACCATGTTTTCTATCAATGTACAAAATATTCACAAGGCTTTTCTGTCACCAGTTTTTTTTTCTTCACGCAAGCTCGTTCAGTTTGGATCAGTAAGTGCTTATTGTTTTGTTTAATCAGAGTAATATTAAAGCACTTGATGTGTGACTTTTGTATTGCTGTTCATGTGTTTTCTTGTTCAAAATAGTAGTTTGTGCACAATGTATTTAATAGACAATAGTCTATTCACCCAAATCTGTAAATACATGCCCAAAATGTCTCTCAACTACATCCAGATCTGAATGTGCTGAATGTGTAGCTGAAGTCTCATAGGCATAAGTATGCTACAGGTTATGTTTCTGTTGTCACTATTTATGCATAATAGTGCTGTGAAAAAGTATTTGCCCTTTTCTCAGTTTCTTCTATTTTTGCATATTTGTTACACTTGAATGTTTCAGATCATCAAGTTACTTTTAATATTGGACAAATATAGTAAACACACAAAATGCTGTTTTTAAATGGTGATTTCATTTATTGAAGGAAAAATGCTGTTCAGCCCTGCCTGGCCTTATGTGAAAAAGTAATTACCCCTTAGCTACTAAATTAACCATTTAACCAAATTCAACTAACTTGTGGGTTCAACTTCACTCGCCACACCCAGGCATGATTACTGCCAGTCCTGTTGAATTTAAACATCACTTAAATAGAACCTGTCTGGAAATGTAAAGCAGGCTAGAAGGTCTCAAAAAGCAGCACATGATGCCACGTTCTAAAGAGATTGAAATACAGATGTGTAACAAAGTCATAGAAATCTACCAGCCTGGAAAGGGTTTCAAAGCCACTGCTAAGGCTCTGGGATTCCAGTGAACCACAGTAAGAGCCATTATCCACAAATGGAGAGAACTTGGAACAGTGATGAACCTTCCCAAGAGTGACCAGCCTACCAAAATTTCTCCAGGAATGCATCGAGTCATTCAGGAGGTCACAAAAGAACCCAAACTAACATCTAAAGAGCTGTAGGCCTCACTTGCCTCAGATAAGGTCAATGTACATAATTCAGCAATAAGAAAGACACTTGGCAAAAATGGCATCCATGGGAGGGCTGCAGGGCGCAAAACATCTAGATGACCCCCAAGATTTTTGGAATAATATTCTGTGGACTGATGAGTCAAAGTCTGAATAAAAGTCCTGACCTGAATCCCATTGAGATGCTGTGGCAGGACCCTAAACAGGCAGTTCATTCTCAAAAACCCTCCAATGTAGCCAAACTAAAACAATTTTGCAAAGAAAATTGGGCCAAGTTACTGCAAATGTTAGATTGCAGTTGTTACTGCCAAGGGTGGCACAACCAGATATTAGGTTTAGGGAGGTAGTTAATTTTTCACATGGGTGATATAGGTTTGGAATAAATCTTTATCTTCAATAAATGGAACAATCATTTTAAAGCTGCATTTTGTATTTACTTGTATCATCTTTATCTTGTATTAAAATTAATTGGATGATCTGAAACATTTAAATGCAACAAATTAGCAAAAATAGAAATCCAGTGAGGGGCAAATACATTTTCACAGCACTGTATAGGTTTAAAAATAGAAACAACATAAATTGCAAATGTAATCTATTGTCCATATGCCTGCATGACATGGGTGCATGCAACAGGGAGTTGGATTCCTTAGGGGAATCAGAAATCAGCACAACACCCCTGCTGTCTAAAATGGCTGACCACAGTGTTCAGCTACACTGTGAAATTATTTATAGTTCATTTTTATAGTTCATAGCAAGTCATACTGTGTCCCAAACCACACTGACAAGTCTAGACGACTTTACTGTGGTTTGGGGGGATTGAAAAGTTTTGAGGACATATTTACGGAAAAGATTTGAGTGAGTATTGACTTCTAATGTTTGTTAGCAACAATACCCTTGTAGCACATTAAACTAAAGAAGCAAAATTTGAACACCTAACAAGTCTTGGCTGATTGACTACATCTTGGGTAAGTGTAAAATTGTGCAAAATAGATTTTTCACCAAACTATTCCTTTAATTGCTCCATCAAGCAATCTGAAGCATCCAGCAAATGACACATTGATGTGAACTGTTAGGGCCTGGATATCATAAAAAAGACTGCACAGAATACAATGAAAAACTTAGCAAACAGGTTTGCCACTATTTTAGGGGCATTATATCATGGACATAATACTCATTGTCTATCAAACATATTGTTAAATATATGTCAGTATCATAGGTTAACAATACCAACGAAATATCACCCAATTCTACTCCAACCCTTTCTCCCTATACAGGATTGTACTTCAGTGAGGATGACGAGTCGTGTCCGGAAAGGTTCCGGGGCTTTGGAGTGCGGATAGAAGACGATGTGGTGATCCAAGAACATGGTGGTCCACTTATCCTGTCTGAAAACACACCAAAAACAGTGTTGGACGTGGAGACAGCATGCACACAGGCAGAATGCTGAAGGTGGAGGACAACACAAGAAACTTTACAGTTCACACCACATCCCACTGATGGCACCATCCCTTAGTGCTCTACTTTTCTAGCACCCCTTTCGTAATGCCCTCCTTTCTTTGACTTTCCTGTTTTAGGGCTCTTTGCCTTTAAGGGTTCTCCTCTAGTGCACTTACCCTGGTGAGTCTGCATCAGTGAGGATGAAGTCCGGACTGGAGGCGTTTAGGACACAGCAGGACAAGCATACTGGAGTCGCACTGTAAAACTTTAACAGTATGAGGAGAGAGTCTATGAAATTCTGGATCATGAAGGGCTATGTGAGTGTACAGTTGTATGCAAAAGTTTACATGATTTTTTAAGTGAACATAGAAAAAATAACGAATTTTGGTACATTTTAATGCACAATTACTGTTTATTTGCTGAATTTAACAGGTTGAAAAAAACATAAAATGTGGCCTGTACAGAAGTTATGGCATATTTTACATTTTATTTATTTATTATTTATTTTCCAATATATTAAACTCAGCAAATAAATTTAAGTTGTGCACTTAAATTTGCAGATAAATGCCATATTTCATTTTATTTCTGGTAGAGGATGTGTTAACATATTTTCACTTCGACAGTCAATAAAATGTATAATCTGACCGGGGCGCCAAATTTTTTGCATACGACTGTGTGTGTGTGTGTGTGTGCGTGTGTGCGTGTGTGTGTGTGTGTGCGCGTGCATGTGTGTGTGTGAACTGTGAGATGGATATTTACTGGATCTGATGGATATAATGACAGCATGGGTGTGATTAATTTTGTCTGGTTTTTTGTTAGTTGTAATAAATTTTGAATCCTACAGAATTATCAATATTTAAGACATAATTGTGCCCTAACTAATTATGACATTTGCCAGTTACGATTTTACAGCAGGCACATACTTTAGCAGTGTTCCTCAAAGGAAGAATGTAAAAATGCATTGATTTGAAGGTGGAAATTAAACCGCATTCATTTTAGAATGTTAGAAGTGACTGTTAACCATTATGATAATATTCAATATAGTATATACTCATTTTATGGCCATGATATTGGGCTATTTTCAAACATAAAAATCCAAAATAAAGCTTGCTGTCTAGTTTGTATTGTCTGTATTCCACTACAATCAGGTATTCTTAAAAAATAATTCTTAATCATACCACAATATTCATGGTGAAATTTAAGATTTGATTTTGTTTGAAATTTAAGTGAATTGTTTCCTGAAAAATCGTAATCAAATCAGAGACATAGACTCCTATGTACAAAGTTCTCACTGTTGTATGCATATTTAAGGTTCTCCGTTTTTGCATTAATTGCATTAATCTTCATACGATACAGGGAGACATGCATCAAAGCTTTGGAATCATCTCAGCTGTTTGAGGGGTTGTTAGGATGGTCCTCACGCTGCCACCTTTAAGAAGTGCTTGTGGGGAACCCTTGTCAGGAACAGTGCAAATCCTGTTCACAACTTTTTAGTTCCTTCTGCACCTAAGGTCAGGGAGGCCAAAGATGTTCTGTACTTTGGATGTGTCTTGGAGGGAAACAAGCTTAGTGTAATGGAAGAGATTTTTTGAGTGCAGAACTACTAGACCAAAATTTCCCAACACCAGCTCTGTAGCCCACCAGTACAGCATAGTTTCATGTTTTCCTGCTCTGAAACACTTGAGGGATGTTTCACAGAACATTATTTCTTAGTAAAGCAGGAGCACTTAGGCCCAAAGTGATGACTGTTCCATAGTGGTGACTTACATCTTATCCTATTGGACAGGTTGGGTTTTTGGCTTAAGTTATCCAGCTAAATTGAGAAATCCTGCTCTGTGAAATACTCACCCAATTCGCTTTCAGAATTAGCTAATGATGAAATAATGATGAATGGCTCTCTGGTAAAAAGAAAGCACAGTGGGCTTTTCAGGATTGAAGTTGAGAAAATTATATTATTCAAACCGTTGAATAATAATGTCAAGTGTCCTGTCTATGCAGTTGGAAATGAATTTCAAATGTTCCCTAATCCAGTGATTGTCAAACAGTCAAGTACCCCCTAGACAGTCCACATATTTGCTTGATCCCAATTCCCAACACATAGAGCAAAAATGTGGACCCTTTGGCGGGCCCTGAGGGCCGGGTTGAGAATCCCTATGTAGTGCACTACAAAGGTCATGAAATAAAGGTTTCTACACCTACACCTAAGTGGACTATAGGGAGCCATTTGGGATTCAGTACATGAGCCCAGCCTATAATCCTTGGTGGTTTATGAGAAACACTGCTTCTGCACTTTTCTGAGCTTTTCTCCTTCAAGGATGTTCAATCTTTGCTCTTTTGGTTTCATCCACCAAGGATAAAACCAAAAGAAATAGCCTTTTGGGCATATGACCCCCATAAAAAAACAACAAAAACAAACAAACAAAAAACCAAATTTAAAAAAGGACATCTGGACCTTTGCAGAACCTTGCAAGTCTGAAATAGTGAGGAAATCCCAAGCACCAACTCCCCCACCCCCCGTTTTTCTAGTGTTGCTGTACCTCCAAGCCTCCCTCCCTCCCCCCCATGGCAAAGGAGTAGAAACAACAAGCCGCCATTTTGTTAGTGCAGGGCAGAGCGAAGGAAGCAGCGGAGACCGAGGGGAGCGCGACGGCAGTACGGCGGAGAGGGGGAAAAACGGGAAAAAAACACACACACCCAAACCGAGATAGGAGGGGAGAGAGCGGGCGAGAGAAGGAGGAAAAAGCCCTCTTGTAAAAGAAAAAAAAAACAACGGAGGAGTGTTAATGGAGAGGCGGAAGAGGGCAATAGATTTTAAACCGACGGGAAAGAGAAGCCTGCGAGTGCGAGAGAGAGGAGCGCAGCGCTGAAAGAGATTTATTTCACTCGCAGTCAGTTCGGTCACGAAAAGTGGAAAAATCCTCGTCCGCGGTTCGGCGAGGAAAAACGACGGAGCCGGTCGGTTTTTAAACGACAGCTGCGCGAAAAAAAGTGAAGGAAAGAGGAGAGAAGAAGTGAGAGAGGGAGAAGAGGAAAATGCAGGGGGGTTCAGAGCATCACAAAGCCTGGGGAAGCTTTCAGAGGAGCCCTCGGTGTGAGGGGCTGGGATGGGAGGCTGTGCTCTCTTAATGCTCTTCTTGCAGCTGCGTTTCGTTTATTGACATTATTCTCTGCTCTCTCTGCTTACCGGAGGATTTTTTTTCTTCTTTTCTTGCATTGCGAGCTTGTTAGTTAGCTTGCTAGCTCCTTATTCCTGTGGGCACACTTCTTTTTTTGCAAACTACTTTTTATGTTCAGTGAGCTGAAACACAAATATCAGTACTGATAAGAAAATCCAGCTGTCCACTCTGTATTACTGTAGCCACATTGCTCAGCTGTCCACAGATAATACTCTTGCAAGAAAGGTGGTGGGGGGGAGGTCCGGTGCACATCAAAATCTGGACCTGACACTTGGTCATTCGTCTTGAACTGAAATGATTTCTTTGCACGCATGAACTTTGGACATTGTGTGCACGAGGACAAGTTTCAAGTGCAAAAGCGATGGGCAGAGATTTCTCGATTCTGGCAAAGATTGTGGTCAAGTCTCCGTGCAGTGGATAATATCCACGGATAGGGTGAAATCTGCTGCATGCATACATGCACAAATATAGCCCTGCACATTTTATTGGTCACTTTGATGCTTTGTCAAACACTACTAAAACCTTGAGCAGGATTAGAGGAACACCCCTTTCCAAGTGTACAACTTACAGTTTAGAAACAGAAAAATTAGTACATCGAAGGGTAGGCTAGTTGTGGTTGCAGTCCGGGGGGTGTTGAGTAGTATTGTGCACGTCATTTCCGAAGAAGCACAAATGATTTGATCTTGACTGGGTTACAAGCATTTCTGAAGGTTTGCATGCATTCTTTATGTGCACTTCATAACTGAACCGTGTTCCCTTTGCACATTTCCAACCATCTAAGTGTTGTGTCTTACTGGAGAGAGTGGAAGGCTACCTTGGAGAAATTGCAGTATTGATGAGGCGACGTTTGGGGGACCTCAGTACAGACCCCCAAAATCAGAGCAAATCATGATGTTTGAAAGAAGCAACGCTGACTGCAATGGAAACCCAATGCAAATGGAGAATTTCTGGATCTTGGGCGTTTTCATAACCATTGCCTGAGGGAGAAATTGATAACCAAGAGGTTGTTTTGGCTTCCAGTGCATTGCTTAATCTACCATTTCAGCTACGTCTCCAATCTCTAAAGCCTCCACTTGGTCTCCAGCTATGGCAGTAAAGATGGATCCAGCCTTGGAGGAGAGGTCACGGCACCAGGTCTCCGTCGCCCATGAGGCTACATGAGTCCACACAAAGCCCTTAATGAACAGCTTCCAACACCGTCTCACTATACCCTTCACCCAGATTTCACTAATACACCACAACATCACTAAATATCACAAGGAAAGAGGAGATTTCAGCCCTTAACCCAGAGCAGAATCGAGGAGAAGATAACGTTAACTTATTTATTTTCGGATGAGACTTTTCCCTCCCACTGTCCCAGTAAGTTAAAGGGGGAGAGGAGTTCAGCTTGTCTGATGACTTTTTAAAAAAGGGAATAAAACTTGTAAAAACTCCCAGGACTTCGGATAAGGGAAACTGTACTGTCCTCTGCGGGTATCTATGCTTTAATAGTCATTTGTGGAAGAAAAATATGGCCGATAATGTTTTGGACTCCGGCCCGTCTTCAGCCAAGAGGCCTAAGCTATCTTCACCGGCTCTCTCCTTATCTGCGAGCGATGGAAATGGTAAAAATAATTTTATTTTATTTAAATGTCATTGCCTATCTAAGATAACACGGCTAAGCTAACGTTAGCATTAATGGCTGCGTCTTCGCTGGCTAGCTAGATAACTAGCTGTCGTTAGCTAACGTTGGCGTTATTTCTGCTGTTTATACGTATTGCATGGTTAATTTCTTTACAAAGGTTGTAATGCTTTCGTGATTGTTTTGTTTTGTTTATTTTAAACGATGAATTCTTCACATTTCGTAATTTGTGTTTGTGCTTGACGCTTTTGCCAAGTTAGCAAGCTGGCTATAGCTAACTAGCTAATTGGCTTTGTGTTTTTATTAGCTAGCCGGCTAGCTTTGCCATTCTTTGCCAGACTTATGTGAAGTATTGCGACGATATTCTGCAAAAGTGGGAAATTAAGGGGAAAAAATAAGATTACCATGGCGTATTTTTCCTTTTTGCAATTTAAAGTCGACTTAGTTCATGTGGTCGGTGAAATAACGTTAAATACAGTATATATTTGTAACTTAACCTAATGAAAAGAGGATAATGTTGTTACAATATATGCTTGGAATTGCCCACAGCAGATCATCATCACACGGTTGAAATTGCTTAGCTTACTGAAGCTATTAATGAAGTTTGTGATGCATGTTTTGCTCGCAGACGTTAAATTCGCGAAGAAATCCTCTTTATCCAAGTTCGTAATGTATTTTGTTTTAGCTACA